CAAGGTGATGCACAGCATGTGCCCTACTTACTCTTCAATGTAATTTGAACTGTCATCAATGATTTACCACCTATGCGGCCTCAGTGTGGATCAAATGTATGGTGCTGTGCTTTGTGCATGCAGGATACTGGAGGTATTTACATATTCTGCACCCCCTCATTGATGCACCTTTGTGACCTGTGTGCATTGGGGAGGAGAACAACAGGATGAAGAAAAAAACAGTTTTCAGCACATTAAAACCACAATTAAGTAGTTTCCATTTGACCTTCACTTTTGAAAAGCTACGATAGGTATAGTTCAACATTTTGATAAATGAGGTTGGTACCAATGGAGACAAAGCAGCTCATAAATTGAAATGATTATTTGGCTGGTTAAACACTCGTACAGACAGATATGAAGTAAACATGATAATCAGCTAATCTAACTCTCCATGGTAAAAGCAAAGAAGTACTGTAACTATTCCTTGAAAAAACATTGAGTGTTGTGACTTTCTGAAATGCTGCATAAGGACTGAATAATTCATTTAAACAACTACATGTAGCTCTTTATGTCCTGATACAGTGGCCACATGAGGAGTTGTGTTCTGAATTAGATCCGTGCCGAGTTAATCTTTCTTGCGGAAGCACCTTTTTGTACCCGTTAGGTAGATTGTGCTTTTCTGTAAGGTCTTCGGTCACCTTGTTTGTGCGTGTTTTTCAGTGTGCGCGCGTCACTTTTGTAGAGAGGAGACGGCGTCTCGAGACCTGAGCTTTGTAAAGGTTTCTTAAGGTGAGTCCACAGTGCTTCTGCATACTGTCTCTGCCAGTATCAGTATTCTGTATGTGAGGTGCAAATGGAAGAGATTAGATTTCATACAGTTATGTGCATGTGTGTGTGTGTGTGTGTGTGTGTGTGTGTGTGTGTGTGTGTGTGTGTGAATCCAATACCATCCTCACACTTTTCTCAATTCGATTGCTCTCCTTCCCTGTCTGCTTTCTTCCTGTGTTGTCCAGTGCAGCGACTCCTGTTGCACCTCGGCTGCATCTATAAGCACAACTGCATACACACACACACACACACACACACACAGACCGACACGCACACCCTCCCTAACAACTTTGTTTCAGACGACCCGGAGAACCAATAGTGGCTGATTCAGCTACTGAATGATAGAGAGCAAAGGAATGCAAAAAGACGGGAGTGACAGCCTTTCTGTGCGTGTGTGTGTGTGTGTGTGTGTTTGTGCATCAGACTGTCTGGACCACAGCAGACAGCAGCACGCAGGTCATCAATGGAACTGTCAGATGATCCAAGGTCGAGGGGGCAAGAGGACGCTCCCCAAAGGCTCCCGTCCTGTGTGTCCCAAATGAAGAGCAGCACAGTGGCGTCCAACCAGCAGGCCTGCGACGCCTTCGTCTTTTCCCATCGCAAAGACAAACAGTTGAGATGTCTGTCACGTACCTCTCGAGCATCTTATCATGAATTGTTCACCTGTGAAACCGCCTTTTAAGGGTGAGGTGTATGTAAATATAAAGAAAAGTTAAGAGGACCATGGTACAATTATTCTTTGGAGGTATCTCAAGTGCGTAATGTATTCCAAGGAATTTATTCACACCGAATTGTCCAACATGCGAAATGGTATTTTGTGATCCCCGCAGGTATTAGTTACCTGGAAAGCCATTCATTATAGTTGGCCTGAGGTGCAACAGCCGCAGCTCTGGAGAATTGGTGCTGGTGAAGTGTACAATTGAGCTCTGATGCCTCCAACGACAATTGATTACCACTGCTGCCCCACACCCAGTACACACCTACACAAAGAGACGCACAACCACGACCGTACTATCTCAGTAATGTAGTAATCTCAATCATAAGCGATTTAAATGACAATATAGAAAATAAATTGATACATTTCTGTTAACAGAGACTGAAGTTGAGGCCGTTGGGTTTTGGACAATCAGGCAGAATACACACTATGAATATATCACCCAGGGCTTTTGGAAATTGTGACAAGCATTTTACATGACAGCCTCAGAGCAGAGATTTATATGCAGTATTTACCGCTGCTCCGTGGTCTGTGATAGAGTTGTCTGATTTGCACAACTGCACACTATGTGCACACGAATGACACTTGAGGGTTGAATTCTGAGTAAAATGACACAGTAAAAGTGTGTGTCTGTGTGCGATGGAGGAGAAGGTGCAAGAAAGGGATTAGCCAAATAATGCAAACAAGTTCCATCATAAATGTATAAAACAAAGATGAATCACTTTTTGAGGGGAACCAAAACGGTCGTCTGACTAAAATTGCCTAAAGCTTTTATGCATTTTTATTGATTTGGAAGTTAAGATGAATAGTTTTCTTTTCAAGTATATTTCCTCACTTTCACTATTATCTCAACCATGGAAGTTATGGTTCCTGTCCAGTAATAGTGTGTTAGTATGTTAGTTATCTAGTTAGTAAGTCGGAAAGTTAGGCCTTTTGAAAAGGTCTTAACTATCTAAACGATTAGTTTTTGGTGAAGACAGTTTGCACCATGTTGTCATAAAGAAATTTCCTCAGATAATATACTCAATTAATGTTGTAGGTCAATTTTGAATTTATGCTGTAATTATTCATTGATAATCGAGCATGGAAAAAGTTACTTTGATTCATTAGGAAAATATTTTAAAATGTCGCGGCAACCCAGTTGTATTTCCATAAAGCCTATTCTAGAGTTTTACAGTTTTTTTAACCATCAAGTGTCTGTAGAGAAATATATTTTATGTTTTATTCTTGTCGTCATCTCTGGTCGAATTCTTAACCCTTACTGATGTTGCTTGAGTCATTTGTCATGCTGCCTTTTGACTGCTGTGGCTTTCTGTACTGCACAACCCGTTGGGGCTATTTCTCACTACTGGATCCATGTTTGCACCCCGTCCACACGCCCTTTGGCATTAGTCCCAGAAGTCTATCGTTGCATTGCGCCAAGTCAGCCTTCCCTCAGCACAGATCACCCCGACTTGTACCTAAAAAACACCACACCCCCTGAAACCTGCTGCCGAGCTGCTCGGTGTGAAGGTGAAACACCTACGTTGAGGCATCCTTCATTGGCTCACCGGGGCTGCGTTTAAAAATAGGTTGAAACAAGGTCATCAAACCTTAGACGTCAAACCATGTTCTCTCACCACCGGACAGGATTTACCTTCGGTCCAATTTCCTAATCCGAATGTTCCTCGCAGTGTGTTTGTTAAAGACAAAGTCTATTTTAAATTGGTCTCTCGTGAGGGAGAACTGTTCTGTACATCATCAGTCTGGAGGGACTCTCCTGCAAGGAGCGCAGCTTGAAAAGCGTCCAGATTTAATAAGAACTCCAAAAGCTGTACAACAAAACGGAAAAGAAAACTGTGCTGGTAGGCATTATTTCACGTTAGTATTCAATGTTCATCTTAACGGTTTCTCGGCCCATGAAGTTGCTCAGCTATAAATTGCCCCGTGGTTCCGTCTCAGCTGATGGTCGGGGAAACGGTGAAATCTCTTCCTGTTTAAATGTTGGTTCGACCCCATATCTGCAGGTTTGGGAGCATTCGTCTCTCTCGGGAAAGTCTGTCTCTTTCTCTCGCTCTCTCTTTTTGACTCACAGGCAGGGTGACGTGCAGAGGGCACCTGGCCCAGAAAAACACAGCAGGTTCTGCTGCAATTACTTTGTTCCTTGTTGCCGCCGATATCTCTCTGGAATCCCACACAGTGCTTCACAAGTCCTCTTAATTATAAGTCAGAGACACTGTGCTTTTCTTTTGGACAAAAATTGACACTGACAAATCATCACTATGCCAATGAAGATGAATCAAGCTTGTTTCAAGCTGTACAATTACTCTGCGATTGGAACGTAGTCGGCATAACGAGACCACCGCTGCACTGACATGGAACTTTCCAGCAGTGGCGAATTAAATACGGGACACGATGGTCTTGGCGACATTTTGACATTCAAAATGTGTCTTCCACATACAAACAGTTCTTTGGAGTCGGATGTTGACGGCCTATTTGACCTTTTGCTGAGCTATCAATTCAAGTTGCTTTGAGACATTGGTAACTCATTATGAAACGGTGAAAGTGTTTGTGCTGAGTCAACTTACAGGAGGTTAACGCCACCTTTCCGTTGTGGTATCGGGTCGCCCCCCCCTGTTATAATGGTAGGGAGAAACACTGACATCTCGTATCAATCCATCCGGTAGTCTGATTAGAACATTTTCCAAAAGCACACTCCATCATTCCCTCATTGCTCTCCTTTCCCCCGTGATGTCCTTCCTTTACTCCCCAGACAGTACGGGACTCATAAAGACAACAGCCGCATGCTGCTTGAGTCAGCAGCATATGGTGCTTTCTGTTTTTAGGCAATGCTGTAATCCTCTGTCGGAATATACTGGAGGAAGAAAGTGGTTCAGATTCCGTCTCGCCAACCAAGGCCCTATAATGTACTTTTGTGCAATAGATAAGGACAAAGCTTTAGATTTCATGTTATATAATACAGTGAAAGTGAACCATGTGCTCGGGAATCTGGTGCATTAATGAAAAGCACATTTATTTAAACACTGTCAGGATTAAAGCAATAAATACTGCTGATTTATAGTAATGCCACAAGAGAAAGTTATAATGTGGCTCCATTTTTGGCTACACTGGGCAAAAGAGTGTGTGTGTGTGTGTGTGTGTGTGTGTGTGTGTGTGTGTGTGTGTGTGTGTGTGTGTGCGTCCCACCTAATGAGTTCAGAACAATTGCAGCAGCTGTCACACACGTTGGCTCACCAATGGCATGTTTTAGCATCCGTCTCCTCCAAGCCAAACCAAATTTTGGCAGATGAGTTTTGTTCACTAGGCAGAAGAAAAGAGGAAGATAAAGAGGAAGAGGAGGACGAGGAGGAGGGTTGCCGGGGCTCGGAGCTCCTGCTTGGTATTGGCTGTTTGAGCAAGAGGGGTTGGGTCTTTTTCCATCTCTCTCATTACCTCCACCGAGAAGCGGAGAGTGAGCAGCACTCGCAGTCGGCTCACACACACACACACACACACACACACACACACACAGACTGGACGAAGCATGTCAGAACATGGGACGGACCACGACTCGAGGTGCACGCACGTACGTTCCAGGACAGTGAAGAACCAGCTGGGCGAAGAGTGAAGACGTCGGAGCAGGACGGGCTGAGAGGAGGGGGTGATGAAGACAGAGAGACAGACGGAGGAAGGTGTGTGACTGAGCTGCAGTGCCTCCACCTGTCAGAGAAGTTTGAAGGAGTGCCGCTCTCATGGCGGGGCCGGCCACACAGGAGCCCTTGAAGGTGATGTTTCCACGCTGCGTCCATTTAAAATGTGATATTAATTGTCTGTCTGATTTTAGTGCATGTTTTCCTTCAGCTTTTCTTTCTTGCTTCCGTAACATCATCTATTCATGTATTGATTTGGATGAAGTCGTAGATTCAATTACCCAGTTAAACACGTATATGTAAAGTAAACACTGTTTGGACTCATCGGATCTACATTTTCAATTAATCTACATTTACATTAACTGTTTCTTTAAATATAATTAATCAAGCAGTCGGTCAAATGTTGGGAAATTGTGTTACAATCCCCCAAGAGGTCGTCCTTGGATTTCTCAAGTAAATCTACAAGATATAAAACAGAAAAAAAGAAAATACATTTGGGAAGCTGGTACCAGCTTAAAAAATAACATAGAAACAAGTGTTGCAAATTATTTACTAAAAAAAATTAAATAATAGATAAATAAATGATCATCGCAATTTGTGCTTAAGGGGAGTAACACGAATAGCACAAAGCCACAGCACTAGTTCAATGTAACAAGCAGAGAAAAGAAAGAAATCGCTGCATTTGAGAAGCTGGAAGCAGCTAAAATTTGGCAACCTTTCTTGAAAAATGAAAATGATTTCGAGAGTGATCCTTCACTCAACCAGATGTGGTGAAGAGCTCAGGTGTCTCAAACAGTGTCAAATAAGTGACAAATGAAGTTGACAAATAGACTGTAACCCCCCCCCCACAAACACACACACACACACACACACACACACACACTTCTCTCTAATGTGATGTTGTGTGTTATTTATTTTGTTTTTACGGTAAAATGTGTTTAAGAATATAAAGTTGTTGATCTTTCAGAGTTTCTGCTGCCAAACCAATCAGTGGTGTGCAACTCATGTGATTGATTGAGCCCAGCTGAAGAGAATATATAATGTGATGTGTTCACACAAAACCGATGCAGCCAAACAAGGCAGGGGAAGAGATGGTGAAAATGTGTTGTCGTAAGCAAAACAGAAGTGCCTAACTGCACTTTTAAAAGAGTAGGAAATCAAGACTGCTCGGTCTGGATCGGGGCTGGAAGGCTGCTGCTCCATAACCACCGAGCCCACCGGCTGTCTCTCAACCCTTATTACAAGCAGCCGATAGCATATAATGCCACACACATACATGCACACTAATATAGACTTTAATATCGCTTGTCATAAACACGGCATTGGGCGTGCGGATGCTGGCCCAGAGGTCATAAAATCCCCTTCAGCTGGGGATTCGCTTCAACAACAAAGCAGACGGTACACAGGAAAGTATGAACCAGAGTCGCCAGCAATTTCTATACTGTCGTTGGGCTTCGGCGTGTATTAATTTGCCTTTGGCTGGAGAGTGTTACACTTCAGTTGTCCTCTGCGCCGTGGCATAAAGACGGATTGTTGAAGCTCAGGGGGTTTCGCTCCACAGCTTTGAACTTCCCTGCAGCCAAGTTGTCAAATTAAGAGTTTCTACAGTCTGGAGACGACGAGTAGTTGTGTTGCATCATTTGCGATTCAAACTTCTAATCAATGCGATTGAATGACGCCATGCATTCAATGTCTGATAATGGCGGATAACGTCCTTTTTGTGCACCACCCAAAACTGTCCCATGAATGTCTCCACTGTCTTTTGTGTTACCGTTCTGTTACTAGGAGAAGGGTTGTACAATGCTTTCGTCTGTGTGTCTCACTCATCTTCCGTCTCACAGACCCAGCAGAAGTGCATTGCCATCTTTGCCCTTCTATGCTGCTTTGCTGTGCTGGTGGTGTTGATCTTCTCATCGGTGGACATTTGGGGGGATGATGAGGATGGCATCACGGAAGAAAATTGCAGCAGGGACTGCAGGTGTGACATTATATATACATATATATACTTGAAAGGTCTGCTGCATCAACATTTATGCAGTAGAGATATTATCTTGCATTCCACACATTTTTCTCCATTTTTCAAAATCTACACTACCCATAATGCCACTCGACTGCCAACATCTCGGTCAGAGGTTCTCAAGGGTTATGCTAGTGGCTTTTGGAGCACCAGGAGGATATGAGGAGGGGGACACGCTATCTCCACAAAACCTAGATTTAGCCACAGAAGGCTTTATACAACGTGTAGAACGTACGCAGTAGCACTCCAAAGCGGTGGTACTCCTAAGGAAGTGTGTTCATTTCTAGCATCGTGCTGGTGGAGAATATTCCAGACGACGTCTTCCTCCCCGTGGATGGCAGTCCCCACCTCCCTCTCTCCGTCGCCTTTCATACGTTGCTGGACAAGGCGAAGCACTCGGTTGAGGTGGTGTCACCCGTCTGGGCCTTAAACCCCTGGGACCTTGAAGCAGCGCCGAGCCCTGCCAAACAGGTACAAAGTCACGTCAGACAGTGTGAATGTATCCATTCACGCAGAGCACGAACCAACTGGATGCCCCAGGTCATTACAGGGCGAATGCAATTGGCATTGGCCTTTTTAAGGGGCATCTGGAAGCACTGCTCAGCGACAGTAATGCAGAACATCCCTCTCCTCCTCTCCAGGGTCAGCTGTTGTTCCAGAGACTGCTCGGCCTCAACTCTCGTGGGGTAAAACTGAAGATTGCCAGCAGTCTGACTAACTCTGCTGAACTGAAGACCTTGGCAGCGCACAGTGAGAGGCTGTCACATTTTCATTTCATGAATGCAATCTGATATGCCACAGTAACCTTCCCGAATGAAGAGTTATAGCTCCCAGCTATTCACCCGTTTTCTGTGCGCAAACTAGTTTTTAAAGGAGAAGAATTTCAGTGAGTGTTTTGGTTGACAGATGAAGGCTCGTTTTCACACCTGAGCCCCATCCAGCACCTTCACCACGAGGGTCCTACAACCTTCATCATGTGGGCCAAACGCCACGATGAAGGTCATAAAACCGTGAACGTGTTTACGTACGGGCTGCCGGTCCGCCTGCCTGCTTTTCCCCAATGTCTGTCAGAAGCTCCCTGACCACTTGGCGCATTCCCACAACTCTCTCCACCCGTCTCTCTGTCTCACAATGTCCAGATGCAGAAGTTCATTTTGTTAATATGACAGCTCTTACCAGAGGAGGACTGCATTCCTCGTTCTGGATAGTGGATCGGAGACACATTTACGTCGGGAGCGCTGACATGGACTGGAGGTCTCTCTCCAAGGTAACGGACAAACATCGACCAACACCCGTGTGCAGAACTCAGTCGAACCGGTGGACAGATGAGCTGCTGCAGTTGTGTCTGGTCAAACCTGCAGTTCTTTTCTAGCCTCAAAATGGCTACAACAGATTTTGGCCTCTCAGAAATACATGGACAAACTTAATTAAATGATAACATTTGCACACAATGGGGACTTAAAACATAGTCGGGATTAGTTCCACTCTTTAACCTGTACCTTTTTATGCAATTACCCAAGTCAGTATTAATGGGCATTAGGGATGATTTAAAATTGCTGTCTGAGGCGGGCCAGAAAGACAAGTAGCATTTCACTTTGCATTTAGTATGTAATTCACTATGAAGAAGGAACCCGAGGAGCATTAGCATACTACCACTTGAAGCGATTACATGTCACTTTTCATACTTCACTGCTGGCTCGAGGTACAACTGCTGTGAGATGTAATTACCTCTAAACCCAGAGGGAAGGAAGGGACACATATAGAAAACACACACACACACACAAATGACAGAATGGAAGGTAGGAACAGAGGCAAAATGAGAGCCACCATTACTTCACTATAAATTGTAGTAGAATAGATTGCTTCCTCTGTGTGCTTCCTTCTGGGTCACTCACCAAATTAGAATAAATGCTTTGCTCCGGACTGAAAAATAACAATTTAATGGATTGCAATTAGTTTGCACATTCATCCCAGAAAATGAATTCTATTGACATATGTGAGTCCCTGACTTTCCTGAGGTTGATGTTTGTGGTTTTGCGTAAAATGTCTCCACAAGCATTTTGATTGAATATGGAACAAAATAATCTTCACCTCACCTTCTCATATAGCACCATCATAGGTGAAATTGGGTCTAATACTACTACTACTACTACTACTACTACTACTGAAAAACCGTCATTCGCATCGGCCTCGGCTGTTGGTCAGCAAATGTGCTAAAACACTAAAATGTATGATATTTATGTTCACCATATATGATCAACATTATACCTATAAAAAGGTCAGCACGTTATCATTTTCATCATGAGCATGTCGGTGTGCTTAACCGAAAGCTTTGTGGTCCTAAATACCCTAACCATGTTGTTTTAATATAATACTAGATTATCAAATCCCCTCACGTACTGTTGCTATTATCCCTTTAAAATCAGCATGACTTTTTCCTTTCATCTAACTCTAATTTCTTCTGTCACATTGCTAAACACACTTACAACACAGACTGCCACCTTTCTGCTGCCTCACCTGCTCCTGTGTGCTTCTTTTTGACTCCCATCAGAGGAAAGAACTGGGGGTGGTGGTGTATAACTGCAGCTGCCTGGCTCTGGACCTCCACCGAGTCTTCTCGTTTTACTGGCAGCTCCACGAGAGGGACTACATCCCCTCCATCTGGTCAAAGAGAGTTACGGCCCTGTACGGGAGGGACGCCGCCCTGGAGCTGCAACTCAACAACTCAGAGGCCACCGCTTATGTGTCTGTGAGGAACGACTTTGCAGTGCAACCTTATTTATCACTTCACCTTAACGCACAAAGTGACTCGACACAAAATTCAGAAACCAAGGGCCTCGTCTGTAAGAAACAATTCAACTGTTTTATATTCCTCTTAAGGCGCCGATAACCTGACTCTGGATCAGATGGTGAATGTCTTTGTAAAAGTTTCATCACCAACTGATATCGGGCACCGGCTGCCGGTGATTAATCACGTTAATATCACGCTGAGCAGCATCTTGATTCTGAATAGCTCAGCCTAATTTGACAGTAATGAATCTCGTTACCCTCAAAGCGACAAGTGGTGTATCAGTGGCATTTAGGTCATTTGTCATCCTGCAGTAACTAATGGAACCATGCTGTTAGAAGCTGCTCGCAAACCCGACCTGCTGTTGTGCCTTTTCTTCTTGCCAGTGTGCCTTGTTGTTGCCCTTCACTTTGACAAACTTTGCCTGGAAAAGTATATTCCTAACTGTGTTGATCTTTTAAGTGTAACATTTTAAGTGCTGTATAAATGAGGTTGTTTGAATTTGGACAAACTTAGTTTGAAAGTCATTCTAATCATATTTTTTAGACAATGTTGTCCCTCGAGAGGGGGGGGAGGTATTTTCCACAGCACTGCACATTTATACATTTTGATGGAGAGTAGCACACACACACACACACACACATTCAATACTAAAGTTGTCTGAATGATGTATCCTCTCTGCAGACCTCCCCTGAACTCTTCTGCGCTAAAGATCGCACCAGAGATGTAGATGCCATACATCAAGTCATCCAGAGCGCAAAGACATTCGTCTTCATATCTGTGACGGACTACCTCCCTCTGTGGAGCAGGAGTTTCAGAGGAACGTCAGTCACAAGGTATTCTGTAAGACGGATGTGATTTGTGTGGGTCTTGGGATTTAAAGTTGAAAATGAAATTGATTCATTCAGTAGCTTAAATTTGAGTAACATACCGTTTGTATCGGCGCCTTTAAATTGTAACACTAGTTGTCTAATTCCAGTGGTTGCATCAACAGGTACTGGTCGCCTATTGATGAGATGATCACAGAGGCTGTGGTGCTGAGAGGAGTGAGGGTTCGCCTGCTGATAAGCTTCTGGAAGAAGACTCACCCCCTGACCTTAAACTTTGTCACCTCCCTCAAGTCGCTCTGCATGCAGCTGCACAACTGTTCGTTAGAGGTGGTGCGTGAATTCACACGGTTCCTTCCAATTCGTTTCTTGAAAGCTGCAGTTTGGTATTTGGAGTTAACTTCCGAACTTGTTCTTGATTCTCTATTCTTGCATATTGTATTTAGAAAAAGGGCGGGTGCTTTACACACTGAGCATGATGAATGCATTTTTTTCAGAGGTTTTTTAGCCGCAAGGAGAAAGACAATGATATTCAACATGGACTCAACCACAACAAGTACATGGTGACCGACAATGCTGTCTATATTGGTACGCAATGTACACTGTGTTTGCATTCAATTCATATATTCAAATTATTATTTTTTCCTCGTTGTTTGCTCTCTCTTTGCAATGCTTGCAAGAAGAAAAGCACAGTAGTGTAACTTCATATCTCGAGATACTACACAGACACACTATGTAAGGTGTTCTGTCTCTCCACAGGTAACCACGACTGGGTCGGGAGTGACTTTGCCATCAACACGGGAGTTGGGCTGGTAGTTAAGATGAAAAATAGCCCTGAAGGCTCGGGGGTCCTGGAAGACTTCAAGGCTGCTTTTGAGAGAGACTGGAGGTCACGTTACGCTAAGAGTCTTCAGGGACACAAAGATCATCATCAGGGCAAATATAGAAACCTGCATGGAGTGAAAATGAAATCTCAGACAAAGGAGGAAAACGAGCGGAACGACCCTTTATCTTCATAAGCACAGAATGTCTTTATGTATACTTAAGCCTCATCAGGCTGAATACGCTACAATTTTACAACACATGTACACGATATGAGAATGTGACGTACATTATTAGACTTGACATTCCTTTTGTGAGATTATTTCATTAGATCCATTTGCAATCAACAAAGACAGTATTTGAGGTGAACATGTCACTCAATACAGTTGCAAGTTACAGTATCAGTATCTAACTACTTCCTTAAATGTTGACTGTTATATGAGCATGCTTTGCTGCATGAACATTGGAAGCAATATTCAAATGTAATCTTTAAACTATTCCAAGCACTATGCTGATTATTTGACAATATACTGTATGTGAATCGTATTTAAAGCCATAAAGATACCCGATCAAACTCACCAAAACAAAAACTTCAGTATTGAATGATGATCTAGTTTTAATTTATATTTTAGACACTTTTTAATACTTGTTTTGCAAAGCATTCAGAACTTGAATGCTATTAACGAATCGCACTTAGGCCTATGCAGTAGTTTTACAGATGTGACGATCTCATTGAAAGTCTTTATCTGACCTAATAAAAAGTACCTGTTTCCTAATTATTGTTGTGTTTATTTCAGCATCGCCTCTCTTTTCAGCATGGAGGGGCCGACATTTACATACAAATTCCCTCAAAACAAGGTTAGGTGCTTCTCAGCAGATCATTATAAAATGATCGTGGCCATGTTTTCTGTTTTACAGAATGTAATTAGCATTGAATTATAAAGTGCTACCCGACCATTGTTCATATTGTCCTTGTTTCAAAGTCACTAGTGATCTGTGAGTTACATACCATTGGGCCTCATGCAAAGGGAGAATAAAGATTACATTTGAAACATAAGGGGGGCTTTAGAATAATCAGTTAATGATGACCTTTTCATTTTAATTTCATTAGAAAATACAAGCATCATGCATTTATGCAGGAAAACATTTCAACAGTAATAAGGTCAGTACACATTAAATAATCTCATTGTGCACCGACAACACATGTTTAATATTGCATTATTCCAAAGCATACATAATGTCTAAGAAAATGCTATTTTACACTAGAAACAGTGCAAAGCATGAATTCAGTTTGATTTAAAGTTGTGTGTAATAGTACAGTGATGAACTCAGTCAAACTGCATGAACCTAATTTGGCCACTGGTAGGCAGACAACTCCCAAACAAGATGATTTACAAAATAACCCGGTTGTGTGTCCGTCGTAGTTCACACCATCTGCACAAAGTTCAGCATTTAAATCCCAAATGGAGGAATTTCAGTTAATACTACGTCAGATAAAGTTGATAACTATTTCCGTTTTTATTCAAGTGGCGGGTTGTAGAAGCGGGTTGGATTCACGGAGGGAATTTGCCGGTCGAGAGGTGCACGAAGTTGTGGAGGAAAATACGGGACAAATGTGTCCGATGAAAAGCAGCAGTGGCGATGCGCGGGGCAATAAAGTCTATGATAAATAAACAAACAACAAAAACACGTCACTCCGCCTGTTGTTCTGGCGGTGAATTGCTCTGCAACACACGCAAGACTTTTGGAAGCGTGAATTGAAACGAGTGCGTCGACGCAACGACGCAGACGCAAACGCAGAAGCACGCGCCAGCTTTCAGTTACTAGCGTAGAGGGGGGGGGGCTTGTTGTTATGGTGACAGATTGAAGCCATTACATTACTTCAGCTCCATCGGCATCTTCACGACACGAAGGCAGGGACGCTGGTAGGAGGAGGAGGGGTCAGGAGGGTGGGTGGTGGGATGGGATGGGGGGGTGGATGCCTTTGCAGCGGGGGGACCAAGGGGGATGCCAACGTTAGCCGGGGACGAAACGCGGACCGGGTAGGACGGACGGAACGTTTGAACGGCGATTTGGCGACATTTAAACCGCCGGTTTGCGGTGGACGCGGCGCGTGCGGAGACGTTAGACGTTCACGACTAAACAGCACGTACGGCACCATTTGGACGATGCGCTCGAGCGAGACCGTCTCCAAATGCGTGTGCCGGGCGGCCGCCAGCGTTTGACTGACATACATCTGGGGTTTTCTGTTGAAGGTTGGTCCCCCGCAGCCCCCGGTAGCGATGGAAGGAGCCGTTTTGCCGCCCCGTCTGGACGAATTCATGCGGAGCGCACTCGTCACTTGGGTGAGTGTTGCAGAAGGCTGTGGTTTGCCTTCAGACGTTGTGAAACTGACCTGTCATCCTGTGAATTATTTCAGGTGAGGACATTCGTGCCACTAGATGGGGACATGAACTTTGACTTCTCTGTACTACTGGACGGAGTCTTTTTGAATGATGTCATGACACAAATGTGAGTCACTTCGTGCCACATTGCTCTGTTTTTGAAGCTTCTCTTGCATTTTTCACATGTATAATTCAGGTTTTGTAGTAGTCTCCAGATGGTTATTCACATTAGTACCCTGTATTTAAAGCTGCACACATACTTGAATAATACTTGATGGGGGGTGAAGATGAAGTAGATAGTAGTTCAAGTACTAGAGCTTAATCATCCTTATTACGCTTTGTTGAGTTTTTTCATCTTCTCCCTTTGTGGCGTCTATAGCAGCCATTGGTACAGTATCCAGCGTCTGTTAACATACTTATCCAGCGAGCAACAGTAGTGGCTTTGTCACTCTTCAGTGATAAGGGGTATCTTTGTCGTCAGCAGAAGTCTTAAAATTCAACTTCTCCATTACTTAGAAGTAACGTTGAACATTAAAGACACTGAGGGACTTCACCTGAAAAAGACATGAGGTTCATCATACTGTCAAGACGCTTCTTTAAGAGGTTATGATTTTGGTGCCTTATGTTCTGGGGGAATTAACTTCCCCCTTAATAACAAACATGAACTGATGGTCCTCTGTCAGCTCACAATGAGACACAAACTGCTGTAAACTGACATGTTGCTTCAGTTCGTTTTTTCGGATGACACATCGATGGTAGAATGGAATTCAAGAGTTGCTAAGCAACGTTTAAAAAACTAAAAGACCTGATCACCCAATGCACGTGTGGATAATGATGTCTAGCCACCTCAAGTCCACAGTATGCATTCATCCCATTTATCCCCCAGCGGCACAATAACCAGCTCTAAGTGCAAAACAATGCTGTGCCGAGGGGAGGGTTAAGAGGCGGGATAATCTCCCGGATTGGGAGACCCTCTGGGATTATGGCCTTGTTGCTGGTGTTTAGTGGCACTGGGACACAGATGGGAAGGGACGGGAAGGGAGATGTCACAAAAAAAAAGACAGCACAGCGACGGAGGAAAGCCTATAAAAACCATGTGATGTACTCTGCGGCGAGGCAGCATCTTTATCTCTCTTTCATCCATTAGTTCAAATCAGGTTTGGTTTCCTTTCCTGGGTAACAGGGTGAGGTCTGCCCCCATACAAGTTGCATTGCCCTAGCCAACAGCTGAAGAATCCAGCTAAAGAGTTCCCTTTGGGTGAACAGCTTCATGCCACCCTATTTGGCTCAGGCCGTGTGGTTTGTTGGCTGAAAGGAGTGACGTCAGGAGGCTAAAGTTAGAGATGAATAGAGACCTCATACATGTTTTCATGTCGATCCCTGAGCCAAGACTTTCACCAGCTTGCAGCTTCTCACTCAGTTCCACACACAACGCTTTATTTGTTTGTTTGTTCGTGAACAGCAGAAATGTCAAGTAAACTTTCTTTATGTCGTGTCCCGCTTTCAGAAATCCCTCAGCTACACCTGCAAAGAAAGTGAGCAGGGATCCGAGTCAGAGGACGCAGAACCTGAACGTTCTCGTCCAGCGAATCAAAACATATTACCAGGTGAGTTCAGAATGTTTCCTCCTGTTGTTTCTCATCTACATCTTATATAATGTCTCCAAACCGGCGACTAAGCTTTCCCCGGGATTATTGCATCTGAACATTGGATTTTTCAACTCTTCTTACATTTTTGTGTCATCCATCACGTGCACACGGGCTCACGCACGCGCAGATAGTTGGTACCACTTGTGTCACGGCAGATCATTGGGTTCCTCTTAAGATGCATGCCCTAAATATCCGCCATGTACACATGTGTGTAATCAGCAGAGGAGCGAGGGCCCGGTCAGAGCCACAGAGCTTTAGAGCGACACATGAAGCCACACGAGATTCACGGACGGACGCTGATGTTGGATCTTGGATTTGCTGTCTGTGTCAGAGTAATTAAGTAACATTCCAGATGAGCTTTCTCTTGCTGAGAGCACGGGAAAAGTAATTTGACTGAGGATGCTAGGATCAAGTGCCTCAGATCAGCCCTGCAAAAGAACAAATAAACCAATAGATTAACAGCGTATGTGAAATCATTATGATATGATACCATTATATTTTACTCTTTCTGAACTTAAGGTTTGGTCATTTCTAGTTAATTTTAACTTTAACTTTATTCTCTTATCTTAAATTAACCCATAGCCTTATTCTACTAACCCATGGCGTTAGCATTTTATTTTATTTTAATACTCGTGCACTGCTGTCTTGTTGTCTATTGTCATACTGTCTACTGTTACGCACCAACCGCCAAGTCAAATTCCTTGTATGTATGACATATTTTGGCAATAAATGTTTCCCGGTTCCTGATTCCTGATTAGGATGATCTGAGCCAAAGAAACATCAGTATTCATTTAAACTTGCGACAGACTGCAGCTTTTTATTAATGCTCCTATTAAAATAACTATTTCATGCAGACTGCAGTCTGTGATCAGCTCTTTCAGCAGCAAAGCTAATATTTTAACAATCACAATGCCAACGTGCTGATGTTCAGCAGATATCTTTTTGATTGTTCACAATGGTCACCATGTTATTTTAATTTTTCAGCACACAAACACTTTGTAATTTGGCTCTAGTAAACTGTGGGTCTCCTTGCGTACAGGAATCAACGACAGATTCCTGAACTTTATGAGGTGTGAGCCTCGCTTCACTTTATTAGGTTGACCGAACACTGCAGCAGGGAAACTGTCATCAACCCATTCAGGGGGCTCCTCCATTTGTTGCCTGTGTTTCTATACGTGTATTTAGGCAGTTGCTATGTGCTGTACACACATACGTCCCTGTGCATTCAAGCACTTTGGCTCAACCGCGAGATGTGTTTGTATTCAGTCCTCGTTTTAGTTTGGCTTGAAATGTACTCATCTTCCCTTCTGCTCCCTCATCGCTCGCTGTTTCTCTCCTTTTTCAGGATAACCTGAGACAATTTATCATGATTCCTTTGCCAAACGTGTTGCTGCTTGGCAGGACTCCTTACTGTGGTATGAAGCACTGCATTGATTTCCAATAACAGACCTAAAATAAAGCAATGCGTAATATAGACTATTTTATAGTGTATTTGGCTAAATGATGTGTCTATAATTTGAAAAAACAATTAAAGCAGCTCATTTAATACAACTAAAGTGGACCACTAGCAATAATGTAGTTAAATGCATTAAGAAAATGTTAACATCTGAACAATATGAAAGTTATGACAATCTATCTAATCTAATTAGCGAACAAATCAAATCACTTAGCAACTTCCACTAAAAAGGGCTCGTGATACAGTTTTCTGATCACTTTTATAATAAATTGCCTTCTATGAGTCTGATAAGCACATTGCTTTGTGATGTAAAGCCACCCAAATTCACCAGCAAGCAGTTCACTAAATCCAAGGCAGCAGAACTTAGTATACTTCAATCTGTTATTGTATTTTTTTTACAAGCCTTTTTTTCCCTCTTAACAGAACAAAGTCCGGAGGAAATGAATAAGCTTTTAATGCTTCTGTTGGGATGTGCAGTTCAGGTAAACGCTATCTGATCAGAAATCTGGAAAAAGACAAGACTGCATAAGGTGTGGAGATCTAAACTGTTACTACTTTTTCATTTTCAGTGTGAGGAAAAAGAGGAATACATTGAGAGGATCCAGACACTTGAAACAAAAGCTGCCATAGCTGCACACATTCATGAGGTATGTGCCCGCATGCGAGATTAATATGGAGTCCCACATCGGTGTTATTCAGCAAATTCTGTGTAGTTGTGCGTCTGTCTGGTACAAAAAAGAATTTTATAGATACGTAGTCATTGTTGTTAGTACGAGAAATTCTTGAAAGTTGTAATAATTTATTCAGAGGTGAAAGACAAAACTGTCACTGTCATTTTGTAGCTGCACAGGGAAGATCCTTGTGCCAAACTTGTATTTGCTCTGATCATTCCTCTTCTTTTCCTTTACCAGGTGACCCACAGTCAGGAGAACGTGCTGGATCTGCAGTGGTTGGAGTCCAGCGAGGTTCACCCGACTGACTTTGAGGTCGCAGCGAGGAACCTGGCCACGCACCTGCAACGTGTGCTGGACCAGAGGGACACCCATCTGGAGGTATATTTGTCATATTTTCTAAATTATTGTTTAATAGTTTTTTTTATGTGTGGGAATCAAAAAATATACAAAGTTTAACATATTGTTGATATGCTAGAAAGTGTTCATCATAATAAGACATGTGGATAGTGAAACAGTTCATACTGTGAGTGCACTGGGTGCTGAATTAAATACTAATCTATAACCGGTCCGCTTGCAGACTATAGCGCAGCTCATGCAGGAAAAGGAAGGTGTGGTTAGTCTGCTCAACAGCCCCTCCAGCCCGCAGTCTGGCAGCTACTCCCCCAGCATGCAGCAGCAGACAGGTACTCAACAACACCTGTCTGTGGAGCTGGCCGACTCTAAGGCCAAGATCAGACGACTTCGACAAGAACTGTGAGTACCAGACACCTCCTCCACTGAGTAGTGCATTCTCGTTAAACAAAAAAAATTGAATGTGGGGGCTAAATGTTTAACATATAATTTAAACAATCAAAAAATGTCAGTATACTAGTGGACAGCTATGAAATCATCAGGAAAACAGTGGTTCTGAGACGCAAACCGCATGGGATCCAAAAGAGGAACCGGTTGTCCATTTCTATACGAAACGAGTGTTGATCATTGATGCTGTCCGCTTCAGGATGCATCCATCCATCCGTTGTCAAACCGCTTATCCTGCACACAGGGTCGCGGGGGGGCTGGAGTCCATCCCAGCCAACTTCGGGCGATAGACAGGGTACATCCTGGATTGGTCGCCAGCCAATCGCAGGGCCAACACAGAGACATATAACCATTCACACTCACATTCACACATCTACGGGCATCTAAGTCCCCAATTAACCTGATCCCCAGAGCATGTCTTTGGACTGTGGGAGGAAGCCGGAGAACCCGGAGAGAACCCACGTAGACACAGGGAGAACATGCAGACTTCACACAGAAAGGCCACTGGGCAGAATCAAACCCAGGACCTTCTTGCTGTGAGGCAACAGTGCTAACCACCACGCCACCGTGCCGCCCTGTCTGCTTCAGGATGTGTGTTGGTAAAGAGTTCGCCCGTCCTCTTGGAAACTTCCAATAGCAAGAGAATAAAAGGCAGAGAGAAAGATACTACAGGATAAGAGATGCCCCTGGGAGTTTGGCCCACATTCCTGCCTGCTCGGCAGGTTCTATGGCTGTGCACCAGCACTGACCCACATTATGGCTCAGCATTTCAGCCAACACTGCATGTACACACACACACACACACACACACACTAATCCCGATCCCATCAAGATCTCAGCTCCATCATTGCTCTCCATCCCATTTACTCGGCTGTATTGTCCTTTCTCCTTTCTTGTTGGGATGCTCAGATTCAACATACTGCTGACGCTGAGCAAACACAATGTCACTCAAAGCAGCATGTATGGCCTTGGACGGTTCTCTCATGTGTATAGTACTTAGCTAAACCTGCGTCAGCATGGCCGCAACATGTGAGAAATGAAATAAAATGGGGCTTAAGAAGCGTTACGTTGGAAGCTTGACTTTGGAATCAAGTCAAGTGAATATGCGAAACACAAAATGCCATAGTGGTATTTGTATATGGTCATTTAGAGTATTTGGTGGGAGGAAAGTAGTTCACTCTAACCAGCCGGCCTGCTTGTCTTTCTGCACCGCCCATCTGACCCCACTAGAGAGGAGAAGAGTGAGCAGATGCTGGACTGCAGACATGAGCTGGAGAACATGGAGGTGGAGCTGAAGAGGATCCAGCAGGAGGTTTGTAATTAGAAAAGAAAAAGAATGCATCCTTCTGAGGATGACACACAGTAAGCTTTGGTTTGCTCAGCAGATTATTGCACTCCATACTTTTCTGCAGAGCAGTGCTTAATGACAGCGAATTTAAACCTCTGAACTCAGAGATACACGCAAAGCTTATATGGATTTGTATTCCCTGCTTTAGCCTTGTGGCTGCACAAGTTGGCATGGCCAACAGGGTGGTTTTGGCAGCAATTTTAATCTTTAGACAGAAGCAGTCGTCTTGTTTTAGTCATTTTTATCTTTCATAGTTTTGGTCTATTTTTAGTCGACGTTGACCCAAATGTTGAAGTCCAATTTTAGTTGGTGAAAGGTCTTACACATTTAGTTTACTATGATTCAAAATGTGTTCTCTCTCTTTTTAAACTATTCCAGCCATTTGTCAAATGTCCCTTTACATTACTTACATTACTATTTCAAATAATTTTCAAAATAATACATTTGTCATTTCCACATACAACTTTAGTTAAAGAGGTTAAATTTACAATACAGCTTTGTCTCTATGGCCATTTCAAGCAAAAATACTATTTTCACCGGGAATTATTAGATGATTGGTCTAAAATCGAAGATCCGTGCAGCGTTGATAATACATAATAGTTGTAAGCCGTCGATGACTTATGTTTAGACACTTAACATAACTAGACGAGAAAGAACGATGCAGAGCTCCTTAATTCTTTGCTTTAAATCGTGCATCCGTCTTAACCTTCACCAGAACTCCCAACTGCTGGTAGACGCCCGCGCAGCGCGCACGTACCGGGACGAGCTGGACGCCCTCAGAGAGAGAGCCATGAAGGCAGACAAGCTGGAGAGCGAAGTGGGACGCTACAGAGAACAACCCAAGATGGAGGTCTGCAAAGCCAAAGTGGAGGTGATTGTTGTTTTACTAATTCATTTTGTGATAATGACTTTTGATTATTCATGTTTTTGAATCAAGCGGAAATCGGACGTTAATTGTTTTTTTGGTGGGGTGGCGGGGGATCCATGTGTACGTCAGGAGTTAAAGGAGGATAACAGAGTGCTACAGGAGACCAAGGAGGTGCTGGAGGATCAGTTGGCAGGCTGGAGAGCAAGCTCCGATAGAATACACCATCTGGAGAAGCACAGTCTGCTGCTGGAAACCAGGGTCCATGACATGGAGCAGGTCAGACATCTGCACACGGGGGGATCAGTGGCATTATTAAACAAAACATAAAAAAATATGTTGTTATTGTATGTTCTCATGTCTCTGCTGATACTGTATCCCCCTCTTCAGGAGAGGGAGGCGGAGCGAAAGCGCACTGAGGAGCTGCAGGACGAGAACCTGGCTCTGTCTTTGGCTCAAAGGAGGTTAATGGAGGAGTCCCAGCACCTGGGCTGGGAGTTAGACCAGCTTACCAAGACCACTGAGAGCTCTCAGGGTAAGAGCTGCTGATATACTTTATTATTTATTAGAAGTTCTTATTTACTATAAAGATGTTTTCTCTGAGTCAGAAATATTAAAGGTTTATGTTTCTGCATGCAGTTTTGGATATATGGTGAAATGAACACTGCCACAGATCCCATTGCTATAGAGTCAGCTAGCTGTGCACAGATATGATGAAGATATCAAAAAGCCTGTCTAATGGCACTTACAAATCGCCTTTCATCTCAAAACGTCTGTCTCACGTCTTCACCCCCTTCAGTTCATTGCCACCATGTGTTTGTCTAAAGGCCACCAGACTCTGAGCGACGAGGTGAGTGAGAGGACCTGCAGTCGCATGCTGAAGCTGGAGAAGGAGAACCAAAGTCTCTCAAAGACCATAGAGGAACTGAGAGCTGCCTCCATTAACAATAACACACGGACGAAACATGGCCACCGCCTTGAGCGTGATGTCTTCCAGGAGACCTGTAGCATCGGCAACCTTAACTTAGGGGAACCCACATACTGTCATCAGCTATTCCCTGCAGAAGATCTGGAGCAAGTCCAGAGTGAAATCCTCCTCACAGAAAATCCAGACCTTCTTGCGCGGGAGAAAGGACAGCTAGAGGACGTGGACCAAGGAGACCATTCAAAAGAAGGGATGTCTGATCTGAAGGTCTTAGAAAACAATCACAATAGGCGCCATTGTTTTGTTGGGTCGCGTGATCACTCCCCGGGCTCAAAGGACTGCAGTCCCTGCCATGACAGCATCTTCAAAGGTCTGCCAACACATTCCTCCTATGCCAGAAAGCACACACAACTGGAGGCCAAGTGCAGGGCCTTGGACCTTGGTAGGTTCTGTTGCTCGAACATCACAAATCAAACTAAAAGATTCAGTAATGCAAGCGTAAAACCCACCCTCCGTCTCCATAGAGAGGACAATTCAGCGTCTAGAGGCAGAGGTTCAGGAGCTGGAGGCAGAGAACCAGATTCCGCAGGCCAATTTTGAAGAAATTCGGATCTCCGCGCGGCGCCTGGAGCAACTGGAAACAGATAAGCAAAGTCTGGAGCAGGAAACCACAACCTTCGAGCGGGAAAAGAGGCATCTAGAGAAAGAGAATCGGGGTCTCCGCCAGCAGGTAAGTCGGCATGTCGCAAAGGGAAATGTGTCAGCTGCTTGCCCCAGGTAAGGTCATGCTTGAAAGACCGACTGATATCTCCAATAAAATGGCTCCTGTTGTTCCTTCTTAGGCTGAGATCCAGGAAGCCAATTTAGACAGCAGCAATGTGAGCATGGCCGGCCTGGAAAGGGAGATGCCTTTTCTAGTGAAGGAGGTGGAGGGGACTGCTGAGAGGGTCAAAGGCCTGGAGAGAGACAACCGAGAACTGACCAAGCAAGCCGCTATCGACCAGAGGACCCTGGCCACCCTCCGGGAGGTGAGGCGAGACGGTCTGTGCTGTCTAGTTCATGCTGACTGAGTAAATTATCTGCCGAGACACACCGTGATGTTTCTTCATAGATTTTACTTTTGGCTGGATTTTATGTGCACTATGATTCCTAAATTACTAAAGTCTATTAAGGAAAAAATAAATGAAAAATGGTGATTAAAGCTAAAGTTAAAATAGTGTTATAATTTCTAAATAAGCCAAATGTTTGGAAAGCATTATTCTATTGTCATGTTATATCCTAATATAAAGGCTGTAACAAGTTCATGGTTCTAATGGTTCAACTACTTTTTGCAGATTAGCATGAAATAGCAAAGAAATTATTATTTTTAAATGTGGATTTATAATGCAATCTTGACCTTTTACCACAAATGAACATTGCCAAACTATCCTGAGATTCTTCCAACCACCATTTCAAATATTCATAATCTTTGAGATCAGATCGTACTCTCCCAAACAGGGGATTGAATGAGTACTTGGTGTGTAAAAAATGATGTTACGTGTCAATACGTACTTCTTTCAGATGAATATGACTTGTGAAATCGACATACGCTGTCTGTCTTTAGGAGCTGGTCATCGAGAAGCTGAAGACCCAGCAGAGAGAACTGCTGTCGATGGTCCATGATTTTGAAATGAGGGTCCTCAACCAGGAGAGTGTGCAGCAGGCTGAAGAGGAGGCCCCAGACAACAGGTGCTTGGAGTTCCCGTCCCGTGACACTTATGGAGAGTACGAGGAGAGTCATAATGAATGCCACAGATGCTAAATTTCTTGTTTCCTCTCTGCAGGAGGTTCAAGATGCAGGAGTCAGAATTAGAGTCGTCTCTGAAAAAATCTCTTCGGATTAAAGATGACAAGATGGCAGCGTTAGAGCCGCGTCTGCTGGAATCCTCCACCCTGAGCCTAGAGCTCAAGACTGTTAGTCACGTCATTAAACGTCAGGCCTGCTATTTAATAAAAAATAAATTGAACTTTGTAATAGATCCATTTGAAATTGTACCGCAGGTGAGGCTGAGCTATGAGGCCTTGCAGCAGAGGCTGGAGGAAGAGTGGACGGCGTCGAGTTCCACCCCGCCCCGAGAGACTGGCAAGGCAATGGGCGAATGGCTTCGTGAAAGCCAGGAGGCCACCAAGGAACTGCTGAAGCTCAAAGACCATCTCATTGAAGTGGAGAGGAATGTAAGTGGTCGGCTCATACAGTGAACAACTTATAAAATAGCAGTACTGGATGTTAAACCACACCAGCACTTTTGACTTTAGTTTATGCTACTGGAACAAACAATGTACTGAAGGCATATCTGCATGTCACATTTTGGAATAATACCATCCTCTCCTCTTCTCCAGAATGCCACACTTGAGGCAGAGCGCCAGGCAATGCAGGCCCAGCTGAGGCAGCTGGAAAATCAGTCCGACAGTCAGCAGGCTCAGGTCCTCGCCCTGCAGAGGCAGGCCGCCACACTGCAGGAGAACAACACAGCCCTGCAGACACTCAACGCAAACCTGCAGGTGCAGTAACAGTGTAACACGCCCTATTCTCTGTGCTACCCGTAACGTCCACACATAAGTATATTCGCACATCTGCAATAGTATACAAGGACGCGGACGACACACACTGAAATATTACACAATAACTCCTAATGCTTTCTTCTCCAGGTGGAGAAATACACACTGAACTCACAGAGTGCTTCCCTCATGGCCCAGAATGCTCAGCTGCAGCAGCAGCAGTCAGGAACAGAAAGCGAGCGGGACAATGCCACGCGGGAACTTGAGGAGCTGCGCGCTGTTCAGGAGCAGCTGTTAAGAGATCACAAGCTGCTGGCGGAGCTGCATGAATGGCAGACCATGGATTACGAGGCCCTGATAGACAAGCATGGCTGTTTGAAAAAAGCCCATTTCGCGCTGACGCTGGAGTATCGTACCATGCAGGACAGGTAGGGGAGACGCACGATGATCACGCCACGTTGCTGGAGTTTCCTGCTGATTCATTGTGCATGTGTTCATTGGCGGTGTTCCGTAGCTACAATAGCCTGTTGCAGCAACGGACCAAGCTAGAAGATCTGGAGAAAGTTCTGAAGGAGGAGCAGATGAGGATGGCTTTGGAGAAAGAGCAGAATAGGACCACCGCTGCTGAGTGCTGCAGGCTCCGCGATGAGAAGGACCGGTGAGGAGAAGGCATTACATGTTCAGTGCCCTCCAATGCACGCTCACAGGGAAGAACGAGCTAGATGATATCACGTACATCTCTTTTTTTAAGGCTGAACCTCACGTACCGTCAGCTTGTTAACGACAAGGAGTCACTGACGGCCGATCATAAAGAGCTGAAGAGCCAGCTGAACGAGGCCAAGCTGGAGCACACCTGGTTGGAGGCGGACTTTTCCAAACTCAAGAAGGAGTTTCAGCAGCTGAACATCACCTCCACGAAGCTCACCAACCAGTGTGAGGTATTGACATGCAATCAAATGAGCTTGAGTGTTTGTTCCCATAGAATAATATAAATATACCTTGTAATTAGCACTTTATCTCAGGATACTGTACCAGTCAAACGTTTGGAAACACTTTCTCATCGGATTGAATGAGAAAATGTGTCCAAACGTTTGACTGGTACTGACTTTAGGTATTGTTATGCAAATGTTTGTTTTTATAATTGTAGAACAGTGTATTGTCTATGGTCGTACACATGCCCATATGTCCGTCTTGGTGATGTCTAGCTGCTGAGCCAGTTGAAGGGCAACCTGGAGGAAAAGAGTTGCCTCCTGCTCGGCCAGATCGAGACCCTCATGCTACAGAACCGAACCCTGCTGGAGCAGACTATGGAGAGCAAGGATCTGTTTCACGTTGAAGAGCGACAGTATATGTAAGCAAAAAGGGACAAGACCATGACAAAATAATGTCGTATTAAGGAGCGCCTTATGTGTTCATCTACAGCGTGTTACAGTTATTTTTAAATTATCTAACATATTAATTTGTTTGATCACACTAATCAACAGCTGGCACAGAATTATAAACTGCAAATCTTTCTATCTGCCCATCGTCCTATTCAGTGACAAGCTTAATGATTTGAGGAGACAGAAGGAGAGGCTGGAAGAAAAGATAATGGACCAGTACAAGTTTTATGAGCCATCGCCTCCACGTCGGTAAGATGCATGAAATAGTAACAACGATTCTTTTTTAATCATTTTTATAATGAAATGATTGTGACAAGCCACATTTCTGTTTTCACATTCAGCCCGTTATACATTTTCATCACTATGAGACATTTAACTAACCGTCACAAGTTTAGTTATGTCATTTTCGGCTCACATTTATAACAGTTCATAGACATAGTTATTTAATCGATCAAGAGATGTTGCAGTCAGTAATACATTGAGCTTCATAGTCTATTGTACCTCTGTTCAGTCAGACATGTTTTTCCTCGTGATAATTGCTTCACCTTTGCTCGATTGGTGGTTGAGTGATGGCTTCTTGTGAATCTGCCCTTCTACAGACGTGGAAACTGGTTTGCTTTAAAAATGAAGAAGTTGATTAAGTCGAATAGCCATGAGCATGGACCCGACCGCCCACCGACCCCCACGCACTCAGGCGTCGCTGAGCTGCACCTCTCCAACTCCTCCATCGGCGCTGACGGCTCTGGAGCCTCGGGCGCCACCTCAGCAGGTGATGCCGTCTCACCCCAACGTAACAGCAGTGAGTAGGACCCTTCTTGAATTCACCAGATCCTCTCCCATTGACTTGGCAGGATCGGACACAGTTCACTTCCTTCAGCCAGGATCAGGAAGTAAGACCAGCGTCAGAGGCAGGGCCCAGTGGCCATTCAGGAGTGTCTTCATGTAGAATCACGTCCACAGCCAGAGGAAAGAGCGACGACAGCCACAGCAGTTACATCAACACATACAGTTCCATTTGAAGAACAGAGAGTTTTGATAGAATATCCCCCTTCACCTGCCCAGAACTCAAATGAATGTTTTTGAATGTAAAACTGTGCAATAAATATTGAAATAATACAGCTATGCTGTGTTTAAAAAGCATATGTGGGTGTGAAGAGTCCTCTATGTCTTCCCATGTCTTTCTTGGATCCTAATGTGTTTCTTCACTCCTGCCTTCTGTCTTCCCCCTTGCCTACTTATCTTCTCTCCCTCTCTCTGCTTGCATCCATCCCTTTGTCTACCTCCCATGTGGCTGCACTTTGCTGTTAAATAGCCACCAAAATGTTTCCCCGTATGAGGAACAGGCTGAAGGACAGAAAAAAAGTCAAGTCCCTCTTCCAGCGTTCTATGTGTAAGAAAGACTGTGGTCCGGTGTCTACCCTCATCTTGACTGTAGCCGTTTATTTAACTGCTAATGTGATAATGCTAAGTATATTTATGCTTTATAATTTCCACTATTACATAACATAACACCAAAGTAACCTTAGAGTGAGTAGGATTCATCATTGTCAGTAATTATCCATCCTAACAGGTGTAACATCTGCTGTCATATGGAGCAATATGTCCATTCATTTCATGCTCATTTGTTGATTTTTGAAGATAATCTAAGGTCATTTATCAGAAGTCAAAGAAATTGTGCATTGCAGGAGGACGCTGGTGTTGCATGAGCTCTGTCCTACCATGACCTAGCTTCACTAACAGTACAACACCACGCTTCAAGCAACACACCCCTACCTCCCTGACCAGTTCACCTGTCCATCCCTCTCCCTCCGTCACCCACTTCTTCCACTCCTTGGTACAACAACGCAGCCCTGAGCAGCCTGGCGTACCCTTCGGCCGTGTTCAAGGAGGAGCGTTGGGCAGACGGCCCAGCGCGGTTGGAAGGGTCAGGGGCTGTTGAGGAGGACAGGAAGAACGCATTGTCCTCATCTCTTACCACATCCATCTTATCCATCCTCCACCTTAATGTTCCTACCACTCTACCATCCGGCCACATCACCATCACTTCCACTGACACCACCGACAGGGTTCCAGATGTTTCTGACCTTTGGGTGACAGGTAGAGGCCACCGTTATGATGATGTCATCGTCATTATTTAGATGATAGAAAAGATAGCGCTCTTTTGGGCTTTTTTGTTTTCCAACATGAAAATAAAGTGGTGAAAAAGTGTCATTTGCTTATTAACATTCACTGATTTCTCATTTAATGCCCCACAGACAAGGATGCAAATGATGGCGCTGTGCCATCTGGATCTGAGGACAACGGCGAGCTGCAAAATCACGGTAAAGCCCCGTGGATACACGTTGAGAGGATTCATCAAGCATACAGATGTATTACCAGCTCGGGAATTAGAGGAAATCCATCAAATTGCAATCATGACCTTGTTTTCATATTAATCTCCGGACAGAGGCCAACAACTGTTTTAGAAAGACTTTCCTCTGCTGCCCCCTGTTGTTCATTACGAATATGTTCAGACTACTGACACATTTTCATTTTCCAGGGATGAATGGCGTGGAGAGTCGAGCCCAGAGCGAGAGCAGTGGTGAGTTCACTGTGAGCCTGGAGAATGAGCCGTGGTCGAATGGCAGCAGCCCTGTCCAGCAGCCCCCGTCACGTTGCTCCTCCTCCTCCTTCCAGTCCCCCAGCGACACCTCCACCCCCCAACACACACGGAAGCAGCACAAGGAAGAGGAAACTGCTACCATGCCCTTCACCAACAGCCCACGTTCAGTTATCCAGTCCTTACCAAAACAGAAAAATCCTGTGATTTCTGAGGACTTCTGGCTCACAAAGGGTACAAAGAGCATCCAAAGGGGGTCAAGAGGGAAAGTGACACGTCGGTCCTCAGATTCAGCTGGCGCCGTCAAAACAAACCCAGGGCTCAATGGGATAACTTCAAACTCGTCCTCTAACAAAGCTGAAACAACCCGGGCCTTAGCTTGTTCACCTATCACAGTGCTGTATGTTCAGGGCAAATCTTCCTCAATGTCTGGCTGCCTCAACTGCTTCTCCACCCCTCTCGGGAAAGAGTGGCGAGGGAAGGGGTCAAGGTTGCCGAAAAGTCTCCCCCGAGCCAGCGGTGTCATTTCCACCGCGGAAGGATCGTCCCGACGCTGCAGTGTAAATAGTGACTGCAGGGTGACCGTCAAGACTGACCCGCTCTCCATTCAGGTGTCAGATAACGGCAGTAAACGGGTGGAAGCCCCGAGTCAACCTGAACCTGAGGCGAATAACAGTGAGCCTGACCCAATGCCTCCTGTCAAACCTCCCAGAGACCCAACAGTTGTTCCCACAGACAACCCCAAATCTCCCGGGAAGGAGTCCCTTCTTGGCTCTTCTTTCACTTTCCAATCGGTCTTCTCCAACACCATTTTCAGTGAATCTGTGGTCACGACCATGACCGGTTTGGAGACCCTTGAAAACAACCAGATATCTCCCTGTCCGAATCCATCTCTGGTCCAAAATGGTCCCCTGGAGAGCCAGGAGTCGTCTCCTAACGAACCACAAACGTTGCTCGGCGTGGTTGATGAGCAGAGTCAAAATGCAGAACACGCACCTGCGCAGGAGGAGCATGACGAGCCCCTCACGAGTGCATGAAAGCAGCCGTCACATAATTGAATATTGTGTAGTTGAATACATGTGGTATCTGCAAGGCCACTTTTCATCACGTCAACAGAAGCACACAATTAAGAGTCGCTGTAATGTAGTAAGTATGAATGCCTGAGCACAACATATGCCTAAAGGGTATTTTTAGGATATTCTTTCCCACACAGATGTTGTATCATTCGTTGTATACCTGAGTAATAGTTCACAGTATTATCTTTCCATTTGGGTTCCATTCTGGTTGTCTTTTTGGACAATTCGGTTTCATACAACTTAATAAAGTATGGATCAATGCCCTTCTTTTGCCCATTTTAAATTAAATTGTTAGGACATGAACCTGTTTACTTTACCACAATGAAAATCATGTGATGTAACATTTGTGTTTGCCAAAATTTGACTAATTTTTGCTTTTTATATTTATCTGTTATGTCTGATTTTTCTAAGTTATTACGTGTTGATTTCTGTGTCTGTAAGATTTAAATGTGAGCATTGGGTAAATGTGACATTCATATCTGTGAAACTGTAAATCTTGTAAATTAGGATGTGTACCTGAATGCTATTTTACCTTAAATAAAGAAACCCTCTATGCATAATATGTACTTCTGAAAATTAACAATGTCTAAAAAATATTAGTAGTAGTTTATGAACAGTACCACGTGGCTGCAAAATTAAATCATAAACTATTACTGAACTATCCGAATATCCACAGCATGATGATATTGTTTTGTAAACGTTTTCAACATTGCACTTCAGGTCCTTTTCCTGCCCCAGAAACACTTATTTCTGGGACAGCCATTTATTCCATTGAGATATTAAGCTACACTATACCACCGCAAAGTTCCGCATTGTTCCAACAACAAACCAATCTTAAGCTTCCACAACTTTCCGTCTTGCCTTTGTGGGTGGAGGATCTATGTCAGCAGTTTTCTTTTTAAAAATCAAGACACCAATTCAATCACAAAAGGTCTAAGCTGTCTTTATAAGGGCGCTGTTCCATCGAGGTTTGTTCGTAACTTACCGATGTCAGGGCCTCGAGTGACGGACAGGTGTTATAGTTTACGTGCCCTTCATGTCCTTGAATCAAGCAGAATCATTTTGTCTCACCTTCCAGTTCTGAGACCATTTTCCACCAAGTAGACCCCCACGACACATTCTAAGGTATAATTGGCATTGCTCCTTGTCAGGCAATTAGATTAATATTCACGCTTCATTGAAAGAGAGATAACCCGAAGATCAAGTCCTACACAGCTTCTGTTGCCTGAAGATGGAGTCATGGCTGACAAAGGGGTTTTAAAAGAACTCTGGCAATCTTTCTGCCTGTGGACAAAATATTGAGGTCTCCTGGAAATTCTTTAAGGTACAAACTTGTCGATTTTATTGGAGTCAGCACATCCCCCACTCAAGCAGAGCTTCGTGTGATCTCATGGTGCGAATTGTATACCTGTGCTGTGCGCGTCTGCAAGATAGGCGAACATGTCCAGCGTCCCCATTGGGTGATATTTCAGTCACGTGAGACAATGCGGAAGTGGACCCTTTTCAGACAAAAACAAAACAGCCGTGGGTGTCGTTGATGTTATTCAATCGGCACTGACGTTATTCGGCCGCCGTGGAGTTGTTTCATAAACTGCACCGCGTAATCCGACAGCTACACCCGGTGTTTGGAAGGATGCTGAACGCCGCCGCCGCGGAGAGGAACAAGGAGCCCATCCTGGCAGCGCTCCGGGACAGCGTGAACACGGGGAGGTCCCTGCAGGCGCTGGAGATCTCCTCCGGTACCGGCCAGCACGTCACACACTTCGCTCAGGCCCTGCGGAACATCATCTGGCAGCCCTCAGAGTACGACCCCCAGTCTCTTACCAGGTAAACGCGCTGTTGGTGTTCAGTTAGTGGGGGGAAATAAAGGTACCGTATAAACTATTATTTGTTATTTTACGGGATTGATCGTAGATTCTGCGTAGTAAACTTCAAATAGAGGCCATCGGACGCGGGTATAACGGTAGGTCATCTGATACTACTGGTGCATAACTGTTTTGTTGGATGGTGCTCGCCTTTACAATAATGTCTTTTGTTCCTATTATCAGTATCGAAGCTTACAGAGCCCACTACCAGCTGCACAATGTGAGGCCTGCCATCCACCTGGATGCTTCTCTGCCCTACCAGTACTGGGGAGGCATTCAGCCAGAGAGTCTGGATCTGGTCGTCAACATCAATATGATCCACATCTCCCCAATGGCTTGCACTGAGGTAAGAACAGAGGCCTCAACCGTCGGGTGACTGGGTCGTATCTAACCCAAAAGCTCCCAGATTTGATCAATAATAATTGATTGAATCTGATGAATTCCACAATGGGAAAATCAGATGCATTAAAGCACAGAATAAACTAAAATTTTTAAACATCATATGCATTATTCTCTAATTGAGAGAAACCGTGTAGAATGAGGTGAAGACTTTACTGTATCAATGCACCACAAAATGTTCTTTTTGCTCTGGGTCCTCCTAGTGGTTAAAGCCACAATCCTACACAAACATAGTGGTTTCTAATTTCTAATTTCTATTTTTTCTTTTTCTTTCAAGGGTTTATTCAAAGGGGCTGGAGTAGTGCTGAAGCCACAAGGCCTTCTATTTACATATGGCGTGAGTAGAAAAAGCATGTTGTTATAAACATGCACTTGCCACATTCATCTTATTATAAAATCCAAATATAATGTCAATAAATGCTAAATACCAACCTTTGTTGTTACCTTCAGCCCTATGCAGTGAATGGTCAGATCACCCCTCAAAGTAATATTGACTTTGACTTCAGCCTACGGCAGAGGTAACGTGTTTTTTGAATCCTTGTCATGAGTACGGATGTTAATCCTTTTATAGAGAGATTTGAAAATAATGGACTCGTTTTCTTGTCAAAAACATGGGCAGTCATGGATTTCACATTGACATGCACTAGCATTCATCTGCTCTGCGTAAGAGAGAATAGTATTGTACAGATAATCATGACATTTTTTCATCTATTCAATAAATAATGCAACGGCGGCTGTGGGATATACTATAAGGCTGTATTTTTTAATCCTACAGAAATTCAGAATGGGGACTCAGGGACATCTCCCTCCTCAGTTATACAGCACAAAAAAATGGTTTATTCCTGGAGAAAATGGCAAGTGAACACATCATTTGATCACACAATACAATTTATTTCCCATAAAACACAAAAAGATAACACCGTTAACAATGCAGTTGTGGTAATGTCAATATCTTCTTTTCTAGGTGGACATGCCTGCAAACAACAAGTGTCTTCTGTTCAGGAAGGAGAGTTTGGTGTGAAGCATCCTGTGGTTCCTCCTCTGGGTGCAGACCAGTATTGGAGCAGGACGGTCGAAACGCCTTAACTTACACTTGAAACTCGGATACATTGCCAAATTTTCTAGAACTTTTAAGGAATTGTTTCCCCATATTCAAAAACAGGGTGAAACCAATGAAGATGTTTGATGCAAACTAAAATATTGTAATCCATTATATAGTCTTCTGTATTGCACTCTTGAGTAAAACTGCTCACTGATATGCTGTCTTTATGTTATTTGCTTTTATACAGTCAACTACTCTCTTTTCTTCATTCAGTTTGAAGACTTTGTGTAAAACTAAGTTAGAAGAAGTGCTTTGCAAACAGGACTATTTAAGCATCAATGTGCTGCACATTAGATCTTGAAATCACATGTAACAAGATAAAAGCTATATAAACACCTATATGACTAGTATGAAAAGCCCCGTATAAAATGAAGATAATGCGATATAGGACTTTGTGTTTTATTATTGTATTTTTTAATGTCTATTCCATTAGCATCACAAGCTAGGCATTTTTGGTGATTAACTTGTGTGGCTGCTACCTTATTTTTCAGAAACGCGCAGAACACATGACAAAAAACGTATCTATATTTGAACTAATTTCTAATAACATTTCAGCATTGATATGAATGGACTTACAACACACCTGGAATGTACCACAACCTGTGTTGAAATGAATATATATTGTACATGCAAATTACATCTCATATCTACATTAACATATAAGGCATTGGGTCCTTTGATTTAGAGACTGATTAAATATCAGTTTCCAATCGTAATGCCTCTATTCAGTGCTAAAGGTAAAAGTGACCACAGTCCCGTGACTTTTACAATACCTCACAGGTCATTTTATTTAGGACCTCACGTAGCTTCTTTAGTCTGCGATCAGTTATGGCTCTGACGTAGCTGTCTGATTGGATGATGGCCATGCCATCCTGCACTACACCCATCACCAGTAGAGGGTTTTCCTCCATGGTGATGTTGGGACAGGGACAGCTCCAGTCTATCTTGGCAATAGTCACCTCTAGGTGTTTGGTATTGAACAAAGTCAACCCCATCTTTTCATCTCTCAGGACTTCTTCCAAGCTAAAGCGGGCCAACCCTGAGTCCAGATCCTCCACCAGCTCTGTCAGCCGGCCAACAATAGCAAAGTCACTCCTGCACAAGCTGGGCACCATTTTCCCCTTCGCTCGACAGGGCTTACATGGTTTCTTTTTGGGCTGCGGGCAGTTTGCCTCACACTCCTTTTTGGTGCTGAAGCTGTTGGCGTTTCCATGGCAGCCACCATAGGCATAGGCCTGGCACTGCTTCAAGATGGAATTCCAGGCCCAACGTGGCTCCCAAGATTTACACGGGCCCTGGACAGCAGGCAGAAAGCAGATGCCCATCCCTTCCCTCTGACAGGAAGCCTTACACTCCTCATAGGTCTCAAATCGGTTGCGGCTGTCGTCGCATCCGCCATTGCTGAAGGCCACGCAGGAGCCCTGCTTGCCGTCATAGTACCAGTCCACGTGACGCTCCCCACTGCACACTCTCAGGTCGACTTCGGCATGGCAGTCTGCTGGTGAGAATGGCCTTCCCATGGGCATCTCGGGATCTTCAGAGAAATCATCGCCGGCCCGGCGGATGACAGACAGCGGGTAGTCCGCGCGAAGGACCCCCGCCGAATTCCGCGCAATGCAAGTGTAGATACCCGTGTCCCACACCTGGGCGTTGTAAATTACGAGCTGACCGATGTTGGTGATAACTACATTGCCATACATCTGGTCAGGCCTCATGACGAGCTGCTCGCGCCGTTCGTTCCGTTTCTCCCAAGTTACATCAGGTCTGGGGGCTCCCACGACGTCACAGTGGAAGCTGACCGTACCTCCGACGTAGACCGACTGGTGGTGGGGGTTGGAGAACAGTGCGGGGGGCATGGGGTCCTCCTGGGACGATGTCGGGGTGGGGTTAGCCGTTGTGTCCCGAGGCAGTGGACTGGTGTGGGGCCCGGCCAGGTAGAAGCGACAGGGGACCACCGTTAAAGTCACCCCGCCAATGCAGGCCTCGGCGTCCATGTAGCAGCGGTTGAAGTACGTGAGGCCGTCCGAAGCGCACGTGAAGTTGGGCTCTTTCTCACACCGGTCCTGGCACTTGCAGATGGGCTGTCCTTCCCAGATGTCACAGGTTGCTCCCTGCTGGCTGCAGATAAAGTCCTCACAGGTAGCTGTGGAGTTGGTTGCACCATTTCCGTCTCCTCCAGCCTGCCCGTCCGGCTGGGCAGGGGTGCCATCGGAGAAACGTGCAGCCACGCAGCTGTTGAGACCACACACGTTGGTGCAGCATTTCTCAAAGTCAGCACAGTCCTGCACAGACACAATGCACACACAAAAACAACGTTTATGAAAGAAGACATTCATGTAAAAAAAAAAATCAACCGATCATCAGTAAAACACTAATAAATAAATAACACCACCTCATCGACGTTGCATTCTCTCTCGCAGGTGCTTTGCGCATCAACCCAGAGATTGGAATTCAGCTTATTGGGACAAAATCCTTCGTGTTCAACTGTGGATCCTGCATCACTTGAACAAAAAGAAAGTTCTGGAAATTTGCAAACCAGGAGGAGCAGCAAATACGCGCGCATCCATCCTTTTACTAGTTTATTTACGTCGGGCGCATTATTCCAACGTTTACGCTTCAAACCCTCGAGAAGTTGTAGAGGAATTTTATGCATTATTGCTTTTTTGGATAAGTCTCCAACCGGGTAAATCCATTCCTTCTACAGGTGTTCAATTCTGAAATAAGTCCGTGGCCGATGTGCAATTGCGATCGTCCGTTTCGCACGTAAGCATCGAGGAAATTAGCTCGCTCTGCGCAAAGAGGAGACTTGTTGCAATTCCAAAGAACAAGACAAGAGTTCCCACGCGCTGGACTGAACAGAAAAAAACACCCAAAGAGCCGCGTGTAAAATGCAGCTCGGTCGCATGCAACATTTGCCACGACGAACCAAAACTCCCGCAACAATGGGCCAACTCTCATTCGGGTCGATTTCCCCGAACAGCGAGCGAAAGTGCACAATGAGAGAGAAAGACGCAACATCAGCCTTTCAGAGTGTGAATGGAGGTGGAAAGGGCAGCCCCCTCTGACCGCCCCCACGGTCCTCCAGTGTCTGAAACTCTTATGGAGCGGCACCATGCGCCAAGCAACTGGACAAACATTGTAAAAACATCAAAGGGAGCTTTGCGTCGCGGTGGCAAGCTGCCCCAACAGCCGTGCGCACGGTACTACGCATTCCGGTGAGAAGTCCAACGTTAAAACGTGTCCAGACAAGCGCTTCCAGAGGTGCCATTCACACATGAGATAATGGGGCCGTTGAAGTCGTCGGTTGTTATTCGATCTTTGGCATTGATTGAATGTCTCCATTGGGTTTTTGCACAAACATTTCTTGCAAAAATCAAAGTGTTTTAAAAAAGAAAGAAAGAAGAAGCAGCGGAAAGTGTGAAAACCAAACACGGGGCGTGTCGCATCGTGTCTGGTAGCAAAAAAAACCGTGTTGTTTACGTCCTTCGTGTCTAGACGTCGCTCAATTTAGCGCCGACGCTCATTCACACGCAGCTCAGAGATGCCTCGGTCAGGTGGGAAGGCGCAAAGCGCCACATTTTCAATGGTGCGCGACTCCTGTTTGCCCCCGCGCAGCGTGGCGGGGCGATGGGAAGCTGCACCCGGCAGCTTTTCTTTTGAGAGTGACCCCCCGCAACCTTTGGGTGACTTTTGACCGCGTTGTATTTATGCGCCAGAGCGACGCGCCCGGCGATCCAAAACTGCCCAATACCGAGAGAGCGGCTAATCAATTCAGCAAACCCCCCCCCCACCATCATCACCACCACCCTCCCCAGCCAGGGTTTTATTGCACTCAAAACGGTTTGGACAAAAGGCTTCAAAAAAATATTCCCACAATTCCAGACAAAGATAAATGAACGAATCACCGAGGAGTCGACGATGAGAGCAGAGAGTGAACCTGTGGCTTTACCATTTATTTTGTTCGGTGGCTGTTTCAGTGGATACAGAATTATAATTGATTGCACATCCAAACCATTAAAAACATTCACATAAAGTGCTTTAAATGTTCTGTGAGCCTGCTGTGCATTAAAGAAGACACGCACTACTTTTGTATGACCTCGAGGAGCCTTTCACAGACCATCACACTGGGTGATGTGTGATAAAATAAAAAATATTTGAGTAGATTTGATTAAAAGAAGCATTTCATTTAAAATCAAAGATTTTAAAAGTCCCCTCAGAAGCCTTATGTTCTTTTGGCAGTATGTTCTCTACCATAAAAGACCATGTAAACCCTCCTAATGTACACAAACAAATCACAGGGTAAGATTAATGTCATTTATAGTACGAATACCCAACGTTTATAAAAATATCACAATAGCGGATGTGACCTTCCACCTCTGATTCCTACAGTTCCAAACGTTTCCACATGGCCACAGAAAAGCAAGCAGGAGACTCGTTGTTTTACATTCAGAAATACATTTGCATATAAATAAAACATCCAACAAGCACAAAATGTTAAAAACTCCTCACCAATGTAATGTGAGCTTATAAATTCCTGGACAATGACACGATTACAGCCCCTTTTGGAGGCATAAAGCTGTGACGTAGCAAACAATCTGCACAACAACCCAATGGGTTAATAGATGGTCCTGCTGGTGGGGGTTTAAACCAGTCAGCTTTAGAGGCAAAAACGGCATGAGAAAGTCAACGGATGTCCAGACCGAAGACGGATGGAGATGGACGTTGAATTCATTTGGGCTCAAAGGGGACACCAGGGAGGTCGAGCTTGACGTACAATGGTTTGGGGACTTGGTACTTGTCTCAACTCCTGTCAGTCTGGAAAACTCGCTCTGCCGCTTTCATGACATTCAATTAAAAAAAAAAAAAAAGAAATACGTTTTAAATAAATAGCTCAGCAACGTTGAGGTTGCAATGGAATTTTTGCAAGGTAAACAAGAGCAGAAGACACACAAGTAAGTTTTACACAAAAGCATTCGAGCAGAAAACGAGCACAAGAAGCTCCTTTCTGGGATCGATCACCAAACACCACCAAAACAACTTGCACAAACAGCACATATACAACTTTAAATACAATTTTACATATAAAAAAAAGCTTGCCATTTTCCCTCCAAGCATTTGTAGTGTTAACAAGTGAGCCACAAATCACAGGGAAATCTGGTTCTACTTGGTAATAGTGAGCCCCTATAGTTTAGAAAATGGGTAAACAGGCACCCACAAGAGGGCACTAGCAAAGCCCAAAGACAACGGGAACCCATCCAAGCACCCAAGGCACTTCACAAAGGTCAACGTGAGCTCACGGCAACATCCGTTTCTGGTGAAGGCTGCTCGTGGTTCTCCCTGTTCCTTAATGGCCTTGTGACCCCAAGTAGAAACAACACTTTTAACACTTGCCCCATGGAGGCAACCATAAGTCCACTCATCACTATGAAATCTTACAGCTCCCCTTCAAGGATAACGAGGACTCCTTCGGGGGACTCTGAGGAGGCCTGAAGGACTTTGAGCGTTTCAGACTGTTGGCTTTGCTTCCGCCGCCGCCCGAGGCCGCGCTGTTGGCCACCGAGTAAGAGCGTCCGTGCATCATGACTGCGTTCATGCCGTTGGCCATGGAGAAAGACTTGAGGTGGGACTTGATGGCCACGGGGAGGGGCAGTTTGTCGATGAGGTGCACCGGTGTGCAGGAGACGATGGAACGGCAGCAGAGATCTTGTAGGCTGAAGACTGTGGAACAAACAAGACGGAAAAGGGTTGTATAGGACCGGCTGCCATGTAATATACGAACTAAAGTTTAACTGCAGGCGGGATGGGACCCACATTGCTCTCCGGCGCTCCTTTTGAGTCTGCAACTGCACGCCACTAAAAATGTCATGTGGCGCACCGCAATGTCTCCAGTCAGCTTGGATGTTAGCATCAGATAGCTGTTTCAGTTTTGCTATATACACAGTAAGCTACATCGGTCCCTAAATAAATGAATACATTCTTGTGAACTGCAGCGATTCGAAACACTAGAACTCTACAACAAATAAAACCCTCCGCCCTGTAATTCAGGCAGGAGCGCTGGTGAATTATCAACTGGATTTCTATTTGAGATGCGATTTAGTTTACATGTTTTACTATTAAGAGGTGCTATTGGAATTGTTTTGGCTCAATAACCCTCCAAGTACAAATAACACAGGTAGTTTGACTGTTAATGATAAAGTGGATCTACATTGGTCGTGTCCCCTTACCCTGGGGTGGGGGAGAGGTAAATATTTACGCTAAACAAATAAAACGTAATCTTTCTGCGAGAGCTATGTGGGGAAAAAAAAACAAAAAAACACATGTATTGCTAACGTGTCAGAAAACCAATTCAAGAAAATCTCACCTCTGTTGGGCTTCCAGAACTTCTCCATCCCGTGTCTCATCAGCACAATGCGTGAAAGCTCTGTGAAAGATTCGATGACGTTGAAGTTGCACAGCGGACTGACCTCAAAGAAAGTCATGCTGTTCTTTTCTGCATAGGCCCTCGCCTGCTCCGTCGGCACCTGCCGCCTGAACGCCAAGTGAAGGCGATTTCCCACCAGGATTCTGGGTACACCTGGGGCATGCTGACGGAAACCGACAAAATGGGAATCAAAACGGCTTCTGTGGCAGCAAATGCACCAACTGATATTCATTGATTTCTCTCCGGGGATGAAAGGATGCAGAGGGTAAACACAATTCCTGTGCACTTCCTACATTTCTCTTGTCAGACTCGAATAGAGATACCTCGTCAATTTCTCGTATCCAGCGGTCAATGCCATCAAACGACCAGCCGTTGGTGATGTCGTACACGAGCAGGATGCCCTGTGGAATAAAAGACAGACGTGTCGACACGTACACAGTGACACAATGGCGACGAAGAAAAACAATTGCCCCACGGTTATCACCTGTGCTCCGCGAGAGTAAGACCTGAAGATGGTGCAGAACCTGCCCTGTCCCGATGTGTCCCTACGGAAGAGACAGGCGAGCGTGTAAAGTTAGTACACTACAGGTTTTGCCTTGATGATTCTGCTTGGTTAAATCACCCACCATAACTCTAGTTTAACTCTCCTCCCATCCAGCAGAATCGTGGTGGTCTTGTAATCAATCCCTGAGATCACACACGATGGAGTTAAAGTTAACGTGTGTCAATCCAGGCTTTTTAAAACAACAGCTGAGTTAGTTACTCACCGCTGCTGTAGGCGTACGGGGACTCTACTGATCCGTCTTGTAAACTGTCCAAAATTTCTCCTTTTCCAACGTCGCTGTCTCCAACCAAAAGGAATTTCAGGAGATAATCGTAGCTCTTGACTGGACTACTCTGTGTGCCCATCATCCCACGCATTGGATCCGGTTCACAGAGAGCTTTTAAAGCTCGCCCAACGTCCACTACTTCGGGGACAGGGACAAGCCGGACGGTCCCAACGCTGGAGGCTAAAGGCTAGGCGGTCGCCGCTGACGTTAGCTGGCAAGCTAGCTAGTGCGCTAACCACGAATTCATTATACTAACTCCGTTCTTTGTGAAGTCAATCGGATAAAAAAAATAACTGTTAGTTCGTCTGGACAATATCGACGTAGCTTTTTAAAGTGCGCCACTAGCTCTTGAAGCTCAGGCCGGACACGTCGACGTGACTTTATTGTTCACTTTACTAATCAAAACAACCTCAACTAGCTGTTAGCTGCGTTGTTAGCTAGCGCAGATAGTAATATATTCTAGTGCCAACAGATGACACACAGGAAAACGAGGCTGCAAAATTGCACATAAAGTAATAATCTATCAAGTGAAATATGACAGTTTCAACTTTGTTTTTAAAGAAAAAAAAGTCAATGAGGGCTGTTGAGCGCTAGTACACAGCGTTCAGTCGAGTGGACTGCGTTGGAACTTCCTGGTTATGAGGTCACCGCCTACGTAACATCCGGGTTCCATTTAAACTATCACTACATCTTGTTTTGTATTATTTATTTGTCGTATGAATTGAATTGACCGAGCAGGCTATCTCCATGAACGAGGTGTCTTGATTTGAAAATTATTTGAAAAACTAAATCTTCAAAAAGATATATTAATGTAGCATGTAATGCTATGTTATGTCAAAAGTGGTACATTGATTTCAAATGGATCAACCAATCCAGTTTTAAGCAAAGTGCCATTGACATTGACATAGGGTACGAGAATGTCAATGGCTGTAGGAGTTTTTAGTTTCAACCAGATTGTATAAAAGTTCTACTTATAGATCTGGGTCATCAATGTCTACTTTTTTTTGTTTTTTAGGACTTTAGTTAACCATTGACATACTGCAGTGCAGTCACATTGTATTCATGTCAGTTTGGTCTTGGCTGTTGGAGGTTGCTTCACTTATGTGTCTGATTGGCAAATGCATAGAGACCAAGAGGACAAACATATTGTTGCGGCAATCTTAATTTAATGCAGGATTATTTAATAATAAAACAACATTTTCTAAAACATAACCAGGGGAATACAAAATAAAACGGGAAAAAACACTAACAAAACTCAACTGCTGGAATGTTAACACGTGATCTTTAACTTCAGCATCAATTCATGAACAGCTGCAGACAATGCGGATGCTAATTCAAAGGGCTTATTCCTTTTTTGACAACGTGGCAGTATTGTGTTCTAAATTATTCACTGATGAACTTGAATCTTTTTTGTGAAGGAGCAGCTTCATAATAGACTAATTTCAGCAACAACGACAAATATGACACTTTCAGTTTAGAGGAGTATCAGTATCAAATATTTAGTTTGTTTACTAAAAGCTAAATTGCTTCTCTCCTGTATCTGACGTTTAAAAACAGAATTTAAACTGCACAGTTACTTATAGGTTACTTTACATATGTTAACTAAGGAACAGTTAATCAACATAATCATGTATCAATATGCATGCGTTTCTGAGCATTTCCTGAAAATGCGTCACAGCATTTTTGTACATACAGTTGTGGACCACAAGGGGATGGAAGAGATTCACCTTCTTTGCATGGTCCAATTCAGCAGGAAGTTCAATAATCTTCTGTCTTAAAGGGTTCCCGATGAGAACATGGTGCAGCAGTTTTTTCTTTAGGCTTCTCTCCATGAAGGCCAGTAAGTCCCGTAGCCTACAGTCCACGAGGTTGGGTTTCCATTGCGACGCGTCTTTGGTTAAAAGCAAATGCATTAGTGCAGCTTTGAAATGAAAATCCTTGAGAGCACTGCTTCCTGACAGAGCTGTCTGTCTCTTGTGAAGAAAAAGTGCAATTTCAAGAGTTTGTCTGTGGCATGAGTTTAGATGCAAGCGTTTAGAGATGTTCTCCAACAAGCTATCTTCATAGGAGGTCAGGGAGAGTGTCCATGAAGCATCTACGTTGTTCGGGGAGCAACGAGTAATGAATAAATGGGCATCGCTGTTGACTTTAACCACAGGACGCAGAGTGAAGCTAATCTTCTTCCCTGATCTGAAACGAACTATCAGAGCACCTGGAGCGTTAACGTAGGGAATGTTGAGCTCAAACTCGTACTTATGTGAAATCTGATCCCATGCTTGTTTGATAGTGCTCTGAAACCATTTGGTAACCTGCAGTTTTGATAGGAAAGGGGAGTTATTTGTGCAAAGGAGGACGTCACGAACGTCAGTCATTTTTGTCTGCATACTCTCAGTCTCAGAATGCAGCAAGCACACCATGTCGTCCGAATTGGGAGACTGACAGTGGCAGCCATTTGGGATTTTCTCATTTTCCACCAGTTTGATTTGACCACAGACTTGCATGTCAGGCAGCAGGTCACTCTGCTCGCCGTTCCACAGCCGACACTGGAATCTATATGGATGAGGTGGGTTAATGGGGACGATGATGTCGCACACGTCCACTATCTGAAAGCCCTCTATCACCATACCGCCATTGCTATGACAGATGGTCCTCATGGCTGCAAACAAATCCTTTATAAACCCCTCCAAGAATTCCTTCCACTTCTTATCCGATGAACCTTCAAAGCATTTAGAATGAAATTTCTGCAGAGTCTCATTGTCTGGTAGCAGCACTTCAGCAGTGGTGCAGATAGCTGAGAAGGCCTTGGTTTCTACTTGTGTCATTTGGGATGGTTTTCCTAGGTATTTCCTGAATAAGCGGACCATAGAAAGGATGGAGAGTGTGTTCCATATGTACCAGAGATAAACCCCCTCCCAGTCAGTAGTGTCCTCGGAGGTCTCATTTTCTGGTGTCATGGCGTGAAGGTGTGACGGAGCCGATTCTTGTTCTTTGGGACCAAGCATCTCCTTCTCGTCCGTTTTTTTTTGTTGCCCTTGTGGTTTGCTCGGGTCTGCAAAAGAGCCACTGGTCTGTCTGTCTTCTCCCTGTTTACTGTTCTTGACGAGTTGTAAATTTCCATTTAGAGTAGTCTCAGGGTCACTTTTGGAGCTTTGAGGCCGGCTCGGATCAGAGTTTTCGATATCGTGTTCTCTTTCTGACTGAACGTTTTCTGTATCATCCTGAGAAAGTCTTTTATCAGTGTGCGTCATTTCCTCTTTGACAGGAGCCATTTTAAGGTCCAGTTTCTCTCCCCCCAACAACAGCCTCTCTTCATGCTTCTGCATGTCGTTGGAGGTGATCTCATCCAATTCCTCAACCCCCGGCTTGTCTCTCGGATACGTCAGTAGAGCTACCAGAAACACTCGCAGCAGAATATCTTGCATTGTTAATACGCTCTGTGAATAAGTCAGACAGCATAAAGGAGTGTTAAAAATAATTGCAGTCATTTTGAAAAATGTCTCAGTGTTCTTTGAAATATGTAAAAGAAGGGAGGCAGAGAAAAGGCATGCATGGATTAGAGTAAAAGTCCCTGCAAATATTAGAAAAATGTTCCTGCGGGCAAATTTGATACTAATGCAAAGCAAGTGAGAAAGAAGCTACTTCCTCGATGGCCTGGAAGCATCCTCCTTTCCTCGTTCCTGTGCCAACATTGCATATCAAACACGATTTATTACTGCACTCAATATAAAACCAGAACAAGAACAAGAATACCCACCGAAAGTAACGATTAAGTATCTCAGCGTTGCGATTTTCCAGTGATGCGTGAATAAGTACAGAGGAGGAAGCAAGAAACTACGCGTGCACAGCAACAGACTCACTGATCGCTTCCTATTTAAGATTTCGTTGTAGGTCTTCCGTGACTTACTTCCTGCATGCGCGGCCCGTCTGCTCTGCTGTAACATTTTCCTGTGCAACACCAGATAGACAGACTTCCTGTAAGTTTAACTGCAGACTCACAATAGTACAAAGTAAATCATTGAATGGAATGATGAAGGACCATTTGTCCAGCCACTATTGTTAAAATGAAATGCTTTGCATCTGTGAATATTTGAGCAAACCCCTGTTGTTTTATCCCCTTGTGGGCTTCTCACTGGCTTGGCGCGCGCTCTGCCTCATTCAGCAGGTGCAGTTGCCTTCATATTTTTCCTGTGATAAGCTATTGGTTTTTTTTTAATGTCGGAACAGATTCACTCTTCACCTGGCAAACTACGAGCCAAAGGCACGGATATTTAAATATATTTTTGCATGTCTGGAACACTGCATCACAGAGGATCAGGTGACTTAAATGAACACACATACTAAAGTCGTGTTAGAATGACTATAAAAGGAATTATGAAAATGAATAAATAGTAAAGTATCTAGCTGGAAGTGTGTTTATCAGAACTGTAACATCTTTGCTTTGGAGTAAAATATGCACTGAATGGCAATTGGTTGTTGTATCACACTGAGCACCTGTGAAGGGAGGGTCACGATGACAGATGATGTGGTCGGCTTTGAACCTCACCATCGAGTATTCGAGAAACGCCTTTCAGTCAGTCAGAGCTACGATATCTAGTAAGTAAATAGAACACTGCAAGTCGATTACCATGAACTATCTTGTTGCTGTGTGATTATTTTTCATCTCCTTTTGTTCATCCAACGTTAAGAACATAGGTGAGTCGGTTTGTAATGATTCTTCTATTGCAACAATTTATGCCTGACTTTGTATCATCATTTCTATTATCAAACTGTTTAAACCCGATAAAAGATTGATAAGAAGAAGAGTCGTACAGTCATTTAGGGTTATAAATGTTTTTTAACATCTTCACCAATCTATTGAAATAAGTAATCAATGCTTTAAAGCAATATGCAGACAGATGAGCCTCTACAGTATCTCGATCAAATTTTATAACAATTTATAGCTAACTGGTTAAGGGTCTTGGATTATTATTTCAAGCAAGCTTTACTAATGAGTTATTAACCTGGAAATAATGACTTACTAACTTTTGCTGTTGGATTATTGAACAGTGAGCTGCCGTTGGCCCTTTGTTAGTAATGTATCCACATGCATAATTGTAGGCTTTGTTGTTGTTAATGCTATATATTACATCTTTTATAATAATAAATCCATTAGTTGCAATCAATGATCCCTGTAAAAGACGATATGATCAGAGAGTTCCGGCCAAACCTTCATTTAACACCGTAGAATAATGGGGAAACTTTTCAAGCAAAATATGTGTATGCAAAGCAATGAAAATCTGCATGTTTTGACGCTTTTTCTATTACTTTTTTAACTGTCTGGTTTTAAACGTCCTACTGCACTTGCTTTCATAGACACAATTCCATCCAAACCCAAGATCCACCACATCACCCAAAATGGATAAGTTTCGTATGATGTTCCAGTTCCTCCAATCCAACCAGGAATCCTTTATGAACGGGATCTGGGGTATCATGGCACTCGCCAGTGCGCAGATGTACTCCGCCTTTGAGTTCACCTGCCCTTGTATGCCGGAATACAACTACACCTATGGGATCGGACTGCTCATCATTCCGAGTGTATGGTTCTTTCTCATAGGTTTTGTACTGAACAATAAAGTGTCAGTGCTCACAGAAGAATGGAAAAGACCGACAGGGGAACGAAGCAAGGATCCAACAATCCTCCGCTACATGTTTTGCTCAATCACACAGAGATCCTTAATAGCACCCGCAGTGTGGGTGTCTGTCACTCTTATGGATGGGAAGAGCTTCCTCTGTGCTTTCAGCGTAAACTTGGATATCGAGAAGTTTGGGAATTACAGTCTGCTGACGGGGATGTCGGAGACAGAGAAACTCCGACTGCTGGCAAGGATTCCATGCAAAGACCTATTTGAACACCAGGAAGTGAGAGTGGCAGCGTCAAGATACATCAAGTGTATATCACAGGTAGCCGTTCGATCCCTCCTCCTCCTGTTCTTTAAATTGTTTTAAAATTAGAGGTAATTAACTGGCAAGCATGGAAATCAATTAAATAGCACATTTAAATGAAGTAGAAGGAATCCTGCACGAAATGTAAAAAAAAAAAAAGCTGAAGTCAACTATAAATCACACAGGACATTTTGACACAAAGTTTGCTGGGACCCGTGTACTGTAATGAGCATACATGTTAGCTGTAAGGAAACCTGTGGATTTCACAGAGCAAACATGTTTTTATTCATCCTTGTGTATTTAGTAGTTGGGAAGTGTCTGACAATAATGGTTCTGTATGAAATCAGTCACAATAAAATAGACAGCATGGCCCAAGTTGTGCACATTTTCAGCAGGCAGTTTTCAAACCATTACAGTAAATGATGACCAAGCAAATCCATTTTATCTTGCTTTATTCGTGAAAAACTCCTTAACTCAAATCTCCCCACCCAAATCCAGTCTTGCACTTGCACAAGATTTCCTTTTTTAAATGTATTATTCATGCTACCGGGACCTACTTCAATCCATCCAAGAACACCCACACTGTTATTTAGGTCTTTGATCAGCCCAAAGGCATTCAAGCCGGCTCAAAAGTAACATGTCTCTAAAAACTCTATTCATATGCATTTTTTGTTAAGGAGCTACGAAACTGTCGGGAAGCTCCTCCATATGCTTTTTTAAAATCACACGTTGGACTATGTGATTCCAACGATCTCTAAGCAGCCAGATTCCTAAACATCCATCTATGGTTTCTACATTTCTTTGTAAACCGCATTCTTTAGTGCTGAAAATGACACATTTAATAATGTCTAAATCTTACAGGCCTGTGGATGGATGTTTCTGCTCATGATGACCCTCACAGCCTTCCTGATCCGAGCTATCCGGCCGTGCTTCACTCAAGCTGCCTTCCTCAAGACCAAGTACTGGTCTCACTACATTGACATCGAGCGCAAGATGTTTGATGACACCTGTAAGGAGCACGCAAAGAGCTTTGCCAAGGTTTGCATCCACCAGTACTTTGAGAACATCAGTGGGGAGATGCGTACCATGCACAACCATGGCTCCAGCAAGGATGGCAGCGACGATGAAGACGAGGATAACAAGAGAAGTGACGAAGACAAGCTTCTGGGTATCAGGGCCCAGGATGATATGAATAAGGTTTTGTGGAACTGGCACGCCTCTAAGCCAGCTCTGGCTCTGAGAAAAGAACAAATGGACGGTGAAGACAATGGCAAACGGAGCGGAGGGGACAACGGAGCAGCAAATGGGTTTGCAATGGGACGCACCCACGAAGTGGAGAGAAGGGAATGGGCAGTGTACTACAGTAAGGTCTGACAAGTTCAAAAGCTGGCATTTCAGACAATCAGACAGATGTGTTTTTCAGGAATTGTTTTGTTAGCTATCAGTAATTTATCATAGCTAGTTAAAAATATAATTGAATAATATTTATTACGTCAAATAAATATAGTTTGACTGATGGCGTGACACTTTGCCCCAACACAATGATCAACGTCGTTCTGGTTTACTTCAGTTAAATATAAAATTGTTATTGTGTAGACAAAGAATTCTTTTGTTGATTTTACAGTAGTCACAACTATTTTATTTACATGTCCTGAACTACTGAAAATATTCTGCACAGCGCATCACATTAGAAAACAGAACAGTTTCATGCACGTAAAGCCCCAGCGGCCTCCTGCTTTAAAGAGAGATTATGTAACTTTGATAGAAGAATAAAATAAATGTTTTGTCACAAATGAAAAGTTGAATTAATAAAAAATAGAACTCAATCTTTTTCAATTTAATACACGGGAGGTTTTGCTGTTGCAGCCTGACTTGTTCAGCTATGACCAGTAGCTTATCGTAGCTATTGCTGAACAACCAACATCATTGAGTCAGTGTCTGATTCCCTGGAACTGCCACTCGTGACCACTGAGGCAATTGTTTTTATGCCAAATTCAAACTGAACAGTGATCGGATTAAAACAAACACTTTATTAAACACAAGTTTTAGTCGTATAAAAATTTGCCTTTTTAAAGAGACATATTTTCCATTACAACACTGATGATTCTCATTTATTATGTTTTAAAGCACTTTTCTCCTTATACCTTTTTATCTTACGGAAGTACGAGCAAACACTGTGATTAATGCAAATACAAAAGGTTGGATCTGGCAAAACAATTTACATGCCACTAAGAAAACAAGGCCGCCATTTCAATCGCGTTCCAGTAGAACCTGCCTATCCGCCCCCCCCCCCCCTCCCCCCTCCTACACGTCAGCACAACAATGCAGATACAAAACACCGATCTCATTTGATTCTGGAGCCTGTAAACATCCAGCAGTGCATGTGTGCCGTCAAGCCAGCTGTTCCTGTATTCAGCAGTAATGGCATTACTGGAGCAGGAAGGGAGGAGGGGAGGGCGAATGGCATTAAATCCGGTTGAGGCCTCTGTCTCCCACCCTCCCCCGGAGGACTGGTGAAGCTGCACTCCCCTTGACCGTCTCACAGCCTTCCCGGTGGCCCAGCAGCTGTTTCCCCCCCCTCCCACCCTCCCACCAGCGACCGGGCAGCTAAGGCTGCTGGTGTGGGGGTTGGAAATGCAGGCAAAGTCTTTGTCCGGGGCTCTGACTTTTCTCTCTTGTGTTTCCCCGGTTTATCCCCCTTTAACGTCTTTCTCCCTGCTTTGTTCCCTCAGTCGACAGATGTCACTTCCCCTCTTCTGTTTCTGCCTTTCTCCTCCTTTTCCCCAACAGTGACATGATGTTCAAAGATAGATCAAAACAAAGCAAAGAGGAATCTCTGTATGTGTGAAGTGAGGGAATGATGAACGCGGCGGCATCGTCTCTGCTTTTGCTGACCTCCACTTGACAAAGAAATGGCCTTGTTTTGGTTGTCAGGACGTCAGCCATGCGCATGCTACTGGCGGGGGCCTCCCTCCGCTTTGCTGCAAACGTCTCTTTTCCCTCCCTCTCTCCCTCTCTCTTTCTCCCTCTCACATATAAATGCACGGGGGCGTGCGCACACAGACAAACACACATCAGCATGCTTGCAGGCGCCCGATTCGTCAATGTCAGGCTCATTCTGCCTTCCTTCTGCCTACAGATTGGAGGACTGAGGTTGCGAGGGAGGGCCGAGGGGAAGGAGAGTTGCGAGGCAAAACGGCTGGTCACATGAGCACAGATCTGTTTACAAACCCAAGGCAGGAGCAGGGAGCAGGAGCAGGAGCGAGGGGTGGAAGTGGAAGGGAAAAGGCGAATTGCAGGCCGTCGCTGAGCCACATCTCGGATGGGGAAGAGGGGACGAGGGGGAAGCCTGCCCTTGACAAAGCCAGCTGGAGGCGGGAGGGGGGGGGTCTGAATGCGACGTGCCAGACACACTTCTGCACACACACCACCACCTTTGTCTGTGATTTTCTTCTTTTTTTTTTTGTCCTCTCAATTGAAGGAGCAGATGGTTAGAGGGAGAGTAGGATCCCCCCCCCACCCACGCCCACCTCACACACACACACACACACACACACACTGACTGACACACAAAACACACGCTCACCAGCCGAACACCAATCCCAGCCAGAGGACTGTTGTTGACTGCATGGATCTGTCCTTCACTTTGTTTGGGCTTTGAGGGGAGCAGCACATCTTTGCCTTCCGAGCAGAGGAGGAATACCCGCTGCAAGATCACAGGACTGGAGGAGGGAGACAACGGAAGAGTGGGGGTTGAAATTCCTTCTGTTAAAAAAAAAAAAAAAAAAAGCAGCTTTGGGAGGAAGACAAAGCACAGATTAATACCAGATAATTACCTCCATTGGACGAGCGGTGTCATTTTGAGCGAGGGACGTCATCGAACTCGATGAGGGGACAACACTCCACGGGCAAAGTATAGACGAGCCTTTCTGCTGGAAATGTAAGTATTTCCTGTTTCCGAGCAGCCTGTGTTGTTTTGGACATTGTGACAGAGGGAGATTCAGCTTTTCGCAGTAACAACTACTGAGTAGCACGAGGCAGCTGAATAACAATCAGCTCTTGTCAACAACATTTCTTTGTTTCTTCTTCCCTCTGCTGTGATGACATCATTCTCAGTGGAATCCAGCAGCATAGGAGGTCTTCGCTCCCGGTCCAAAGCCTGGTCTTAAATCTCCCAATCCTTACACAGGGTGGTTAATCCAGATTTGGGAATGGTGGGTTCCCAGACTGCCGGGCCAACAAAACTGCACCTCGCAAGGATTTGTGGAATCTGAGCAAATCGGGGGGGGAAACCTTCATGGTTGTTTCCTGAGGAGCCGACACAACCCGACAAAAGAGCGATCCAGCTGAGAGGGGACTGGATCCGGGCCCCGAACAGATTCAGTGTCCTCAGCCTCGGCCCACGGGCTTGGCTCGTCTCCAGCGTTCTCCTGACAGGGGCTGGATTTGCTGCTGCTGCTCTGGGGGTTCAATTTCATGCGACCATCCCAATGGTGTAACGGTAAGTGAGTGGATTTCTCTGCAGTCTGCCAAATAAACAAGACGTGGTGGCGCGTGTACTTACTTGTTTATCATGAACTCACTTTGCCAGTTGCTGGCTTGTGGGATTCCAATTGTGGGCGAACTTGTGAAATAGTAAATTACTGAGAGAGTGAAGGCTGCACCCAAAATACAAGAATAATTCAAGGTCATGTTTGTTTGATGGCCGAGACAACTGAAACTAAAAATTGAAGATTGTATCCCTTGACTTTACTACACTGTTGTTTCATTGTGTTGACTGATTCTGCAACGCCTCCATGTCTGGTTCATAATCTCTCATTATGGTACCCTAGGACTCCCCTACACTAAACCCCACGTCTCTATCCCCCAACCCACCAGCCAGGCCAGATATTCAGTCCATACCCCCCTACGAAGTGCAAGCTGTACCCATTCATCTCCTCTAAAGAGAGACACATGGACATTTAGAGGCTGGCAAAGAACATCCTCGCTGCAAATTAATAGGAACACATGTGGTCTGTGGAAGTGGGGGCTTCCTCCGCTATTGTTTATCCAAATGATCCTTCAGTCCCCAGAGTTCTGTTTAATATTCACCAAGCCCCTGCCACCTGCAACACACACACACACACACACACACACACACACACACACACCATTCAGACAGGCACTAGACATCCCTACCCATCCATCCCCCAGTGCTGACGCACACACACACACAAACACTCCACCAGCCAACTCCATAGAGTCTGTGGAACAGATGGTGGTGAAGCGGAAGTGGTGTCTGTCCTCCATGTTTGCCATGTTCACAATCAAGTAACACACTGTCACACACTTTGAGGGGTCCCTGGAAACGCCTGCATCAAAACAAACCCCAGCAATTATATTAAAACTCCTCACTAAATCTCTTATTAAACTCTAGATTTAGGTTGTTGTTTAGGTTGATGCTCAAAGATGTCCTGCTTCTCTGCCCTGATTTTCTTGCTAATCACAGTTTAAATGCAATGTTTACCGCTTTCAGATAATAATCACTCCTTGACCGGGGGAAATGATTTACACAGATCCCTGGAGCTTCACTGCTCTCCAAAGAGCAACAGAACAACACGAACTGCAGCGTCATAATTCTATGCTGCCAATTAGGACTCGTCAATGCTAACAACTGAATACTGTACTGTTACCGGAAAATAAACTATTAAGTGGCCAGACTTCTCTATTTTTTGAGTGTGGCTGTCAACAAACATTGAAATACAGAAACCTGTAGACTAAAAAGGTTTTGAGGTAAACTCATGATAGTCCCACAGAATGACACTAACCCTTTCCATCGACCCGTGTAGGAAATACTAATGTGTGTTAAGTATGGGATCGTACTCTCTGCTCTTCTTACCAGGGTGCCTGTGTGGTTTGGGTTCTGAACACTACTGCACTATGACGTCTGACATCTACCACCTGCCGCTCAATGTGTACGTCATTGTGCTGGGCATCGGCCTCTTCGTCTTCATGCTCAGCCTCATCTTCTGCTGCTACCTTTTCAGGTAGGTCTGAGGCTGAGGGGATCGCAGATGGAAACTCCACATTTAAAGGGCCCGAAAGGATGCAATTACACAAGTAGTAGTGCCATTATCAGTTATTTCTAAAATATTGATTATTACAAGCCTCAAAAGCCCAGCATCACTTGGGCTGTAGATCAATGGGAATGAAAATGTAATTGATCTTGTCGTGAATTTCTTTATTTATACAGAACAAAGTTCTGTATGCAAATGCGTTTTCATTCTTAGTGATTGTAGTGCACTCTGTACAGAGAGGTTTGACCAATAACAAGGATTCAAGATTCAACATATTTATTGTCATTCTTATTTTGCTATGTCCTCCTTCCACAAAGCTACAGATGTAAAAAATAAAACAAAATAGTAAAAAAATAGAGTAAAAGGAAATAAATTATATACACTAAAGAGCACAATGTATAAATATGTGCATGTGTTACGCATGAGTGCACCATGGGTTTTTGCCAATAATGCACAAGAATGATGTGTGTGTAATGACATGGAGCCATATCTCCCTGTAACCAAGTGAAGTTGCAGATGTTGTTCTCCCTCACTCAGGTTGAAACAACAAGGAACACGGGAGCAGTTCAGCTACAATGAGGTATGTAGTCACTGCAGTAAATATCCCTCCCCGGGACCATGTAACACTAGTTTCTGAGGCGGGTTATAAATATCATTTCACACTGTTATTATCAACCGTGCAGCCCAACACAGCCATTTATACGCGACCTTGACTTCACGCATGTCCTTAGCTGCCCTCTGATTCAAAGCCGTTCATCGAGCTGCAGTGTGAAGGAGCCGGACCACGTGGGCAGGTAGCAGCAGGGTGTCAGTGTTGTGCGGCTTCGGAGAAGGTTACATTCAAGCGGAAGCTGTCTGTATCTGTATTCATAACGATTTCTTCCCTGTTGCAATTAGTTCTAAGCTGATCACATAAGGACATTGAAAACATCTGAAATGATGCTTTTCGCCGTAGAATACCTGCCAACATAGCCGACACATCAATCACACGACAATACTTCAACTCTTCTCCTTTTTCTAAACTGTAGGTGGTGCTCAAGGGTGCCAGCAAGAAACTGAGTCTTCTTGGAGTAGGTTGTTTTTGATTTTTCTCACATTTCTTGTGTTGTGTCGCAAATGTTGTGACCTGCATTGCCCATTTGTAGTTTTACACATTTCACGACCGCACGCCTGCGTGGCCCCTCGGATGACCCATCGTGAGCCTCGGTTGGATGTGATTGACATGCTGTACGTGTTATTCTCCAATGGAGATGGCCTGAAAATACCTCAACTCAAATGCAGCCATCTAAAAAGAAATGGAGGGTCTGCTTGACTTCCTTCTTGTAGCAAAATTGGAACTCCAGGAATAACTGCACTCACTCAAAATGGGCTACAAAAAGATCTCTCTCATCGCTTCTAAAAATAGTGCTTTCTAAAGTTTGTTTGTTATACGATTTGAGGGAATTTTTTATTTTTCAAACAATGCGTGAATTTTTATTCTTTGTTCCTGCAGCAAACCTGTGCGGTGTGTCTGGAGGAATTCCGGACCAGAGATGAACTTGGAGTGTGCCCGTGCTCACATGCATTTCACAAGAAGTGAGTCTGGCAACAACCTCAGTGACGTGATGTTGTCCAGCCAAGATAAAGCGTATCAGATAATTAGCTTTAGAGGGTTGAAGCTCTCAGCCAGACTACCACTTTCCTACGAGCTCACTGGTTCGCGATAGTAGCTTTATGGTAATACTGGCATCAATAGTTCATGTTCAGATATACCCTAAAATAACTATTCCTTAAACCCGTTTTTCATCATCTGACAACCCATTTTCACCAATAATGATCCATCTAATTTATGTAGCTATATCTGCAAAAACCTGCTAAACTAATGTTTCAGTTAACAGCTTTTTTTTCCTATATTAGTTTTACAAATTGACTTTGAAATGTTCTTTCCTCCTTATCCAATGTTAATTTTAAAACATGGCAGAAAAACGTGAAAAAGCCTCATGTTTTAAACCAGCAATACAATACAACAATAGCTTCCTTTTAGTCCATAAAGTAGTCCCTGCTGTTAAACTGATAACGTCGCCGCTGTTGTTTTTAAGCTAAACTGTTACCGAATTTGTCCTGTCAGGTGCCTGCTTAAGTGGCTGGAGATCCGCAGCGTGTGCCCCATGTGTAACAAACCCATCCTCCGGCTGCACACAGACGCCCCCCAGGGTGCCGAGGGGCCGTTGGATCCGGAGGAGGTTTGAGCGAGCTGGCAGAGCCGAGAGAGGACTCTCCTCACGGACAACGCACACACACACACATATTAAATACACTACAGATGACGAGCAGTGGTCATCTTAAAGACATCTCACAAGATGCGTTGACAGTGATCCAAGTGGCTGCCCTGCAGATGACCTTTGAGCAACATGCCTTCATGGGAATCGGATCTTGACGGCACCAAAATGATTGTCAGATCGGTTAAGGAGCAGGTGGATGATCTCGTTAAAAAAAAAAAGTAAAGATAGTAGAAATGCTCTTAGTTCTACATTCATAATTGCACTGTTCACCAAAAAAAAAAAAAAACATGAGACCAACAACATTACAGGCATGGAGAAGGACATCGGGATCAGTATGGATACCTCTAATATCTCAGGGGTGTTACCAATACAGCCAGCACAAACCGCGTCAGCCACCCTATAACCCCGTGCCACACATGCATCTTCAGTACTGCCGATGTAGAGGAAATGCTCCAGCGGTCAGAGGTCAGCCTCGACGTCCAGCGGGAACCAAGACCGGTGGGATTACAACCATGGCGAGATAAGTAGACGATGTCGTTACAGATTGTGTCCCGTGCTCTTTCCTTTTAGAAAGAGACTGATAGAAAAGTAGTCTTGCCTGTATGTATTGTATGTAAACATGTCCCTATATATATTGTTATTTTGTATTTGTTGCTTTTAAATAAAACGTCACGTAATGTATTGTAATGGAGTTGCATTTATTGACAGGCCAGACAGGTTATTAGATCATGCTCCCACAAATGTTTTATTAAAAAATGTTACTACATGAATGATCATCTGCAAAGCTTTTTTTCTCATAAAAGACATACTATGAGGAAATGTCAAATCGCAGATTGTTCCAACTCACTTACCGTAAAAATGACTTAATTATAAGGATCATTTTGAGAAGGAACCTTTAATCTGGAGCCACAGGCTTGTTTGCAAACAGGTGCGTGACTCAGACCGGGTTCAGCAACCTGTAGGCCGCGCGCACACTCAATGTGTGAATCATAGTGTGTATTTGGTCATCCGTTGGCAGCCTCGTTGCCTCCCGCTTCCACAAACTCCACGGCCTTCTCCTTGACTGCCTGGATGGTCTGCGGGGTGCCGTGCTTCTTCTCGTACTCCAGATAGCGCTTGAAGAAGAACTCGATCTTTTTCACTGAGACACTCAGATCACACGATCAAACAGCGCCCTGCAGGAGACGAGTAGTTGTAAAACACCAAACAGCATTCGTCATATTTGATCATAAGACTGGCCTTTACACATCAGGTTGTCATGTAACGGCTAAGGCTCATTAGCTTACATGTAGCGAGGACAGAATCCTTTATATTAAAATATATACGAGGAATCAATCAAAATGTGTTGAAAGTGACAGCGGGGACTCAGGGAGCAAAGTCAGGCACACAAACGGTTGGAACCGGTGGAGAAACACAGCCGGGACGGCAGAATCTGGACGGTCCCATACGCTGCACTTTGACGCAGGGTCAAAAAAGGTGGGTGGCTGTACAATACAACAACTTCGATCAAATGGTTTTGTGAGAACACGGTGTCTTACTCTCTTTGGCGGGCAGACTCTTCAGCGCCCTCTGCAGGAGAACAGTGGCGCCGTCGCTCTGGCCCTGCTGCAGCAGGAAGGTCCCGTAGCTCAGCCGCACGGCCTTATTCTGACGGAAACGCTTCACCATCGTCTTGTACAGGCCCTCGGCCTCCTGGACAAACGTGACAAACGCACGAAACCGTCTACAGAACACAGGGTCACCGCATCTGTCCAGACAAATACACCCAGTCGATGGTACCTTGGTCTTTTTGGACTTTGCGTAGATGTCAGCCAGCTGCTGATACACAGGCATGGGCTCGCAGAACTGCTGCGCGCACTCAAACACCACCTTCAGGCTCTCCTCCGAGCCACCCACACGTTCAGCTTCTCTACAGCTTCAGCTTCTCCTGTCACGGTGTGGTTTTATTTCCGGTCTTATGTTGTAGTTTTCTACTTCTTGTCTCCATGGGTAACTTCACTTCCTTCCTTGTCCTGTCATCATCTGTGATTGTCTGATTGTTTCCACTTGTGTCCAATCACCTGCATCTCCCTAATGTATTTAAGCGGTGTGTGTCTCCTGTCACGTCACTGTCAATCGTCCTGGATGTCTCTCGTTCCTGCCTGCCTTTTTGCCCCCAGTTTCTGTGTGTTTTTGCCCGTTGGCCTTTTGTGTTTTTTGCATTTTGACTATTTAAAAAAAAAAAAAAAAAAAAAAGAGGCTCCCCGGCCGTTTGCCTGTCCACCGGGCCGCCTGCCAGAGTTTCCCGGGCGGTCCGTCCAACGTTTCTGGTTTCCCTCCCTCCCCTTGTCTGGAGCCGTGTGTGTCTCCTGTCACTTGTCGAGTCAATCGCCCTGGTTGTCGCTCGTTCCTGCCTGCCTTTTTGCCCCCAGTTCCTGTGTGTTTTTTCCCGTTGGCCTTTTGCGTTTTGACTATTAAAGTCCTTTTTGTTTCCCGCAAACTCTGCGGATGCAGGTTTCACAGAAGAGTTAGTTAAACATGCATATTTCGTCTTTGGATATGTAAAATATTTTAAAACTAAATTAGATGGAAGCTTCAAATAAGCAGAGTTGGCTTTTTGCTTCTTCCTGCACAGTGATATATTTATATTATATATTGTTATTTATAACACTGCACTGTGGAAATGGCGTCTCCGAGCAGTAAAAAGGCTGAGTTTTTAAATACACATGAAGGACATTCTCCGTGCCAGTTACGAGAAGCTGCAAAGCAGGTTGAGATAAGAACCCAGGTGAAGCTGAGGGTAGCACACACACACAAGATCCTCAGTTGCCGGTGCAAATCATAATTAATTGACCGTCCTCCCTTCTCAGGGCACAGCTGCAAACTAACATTTTGTATCATGCTGCTCTTTGCACATCAGGGTCAAATACAGGACACTTGAGACACGGCTTTTGCACAAAACAATGTTATAACACATTTTACCTACCTAATTACATTGCTTACTTTCACAGAATTCGATTTGGGCTTTGTCGCTCTTGTCCTCCTCTTCTCGGAAGTACACCTCTACTCCGCTGTCATTGTCATTGGTCTTTGCTTTCTTTGAGATCGGGGACTAATTGCTTCTAACAAATTAAAACCACAGTAAAGAGACACGGGCATCAGTGACCATCGAGCTTGGCTGTTTCGATTTTATTACAGTCTTACTCAAGAGCTAATAATTGATAACTGGATACATTGACCCATGATTGGTCACCTACCATGTGTTTACTGCTTAATAAAAAGCAGGATGGGAGGAAACATCAAACGTCAACATGAGCAAAAGTCCGTTTGTTACCTGCACACTCTGACGCTGCGCGCTTCTTCGTCGTCGCCTAAGAGACAGACGTCTTCTCTCCCGCAGGACGCAGCTGCAGGCCGAGTGTCTCTGGAAGGACGTCCGTGTCCTCCGGGAGCAGAGGGAGGTGGACCAACCCCTCCTCTTGGTCAATACTGAGGACAAGAAGAGAATAGAGTGTTGGACGTGAAGACAGCGTTTTTCATTTCTTTTTCATTTTAATGCACTTATCAACACGGAAAAGTGGATTGGCTTGCTTTATGCAAATGTTTTATTGAAAAGAAACATCCAAAATAAAATTATAAAGTACAAATTTCAGGTAAAAGGTTTTTGTATGAGAGTTTTGGATTGACTTGGAAATGATTTGCCTAAAAAACCGATTTACATGTTGATGTAAATTTGTTTAATATACAATCATATGCAGTCGTGCTGGTCGAGCTCTACGTGTTCTTTTCTACATGTATTGTGAATGACTGTAGGACTGTCGCTCAAACAGGCTCAAGTTGGGGAACCACAACATGTAAAGAAAAACATTTGAGAAAAAAAAAAAAACGTTAATCTCCCGAGAAAGAAATTGACGCCGTTAAAATGAGTGCATTATCGCGGTTAATAATGCGTATAACTGACAACACTAATAAATATAAAATATCCTATGCAAATTAGTCAAGAAATGGTGCATTCGGCGGTCCAAAAGTTGAACAATCCTTTGAAGCCTAAAGGTAACACGGAAAGCAACACGCTTGTTTTGTCCGTAAACAAATATTCCATATTTGTTCATCATGAACAACACACTGCAAATATCTTTCTCTGGATGTATCTGTCAGCCCTGTGAGGCGGGGGACTTAAAATCTAATAAAAAATAAGATACATTTATAATTAAAAAAAACATCAACGCCACCTAGTTGCGGAGTCTAGGTCTCCATAAAAACAGGTTCTTTTTCACCAGAGGAAGAACAGCATGGATCACAAGACTTAAAAGCGGGGTTTAAAAGGAGGATTTTATTATTAACTAAAAACCCATAAACTACAATTGTATTAAATGTCCAGCTGGAACAAAGTGCTAAAAAAGATTAAGAATTCGACCAGCCACTGCTGCTGATCCGTCCTGCCCTTTCTTCCAGTTTCCGGTTCCGTTCCTTTCCTGAGTGAGGTGTCCAGCCCGTCTCGTTCCTCTCCTCGTTTGCACCCCGCCTGCTCGTCCGCTGTCTTGCCGTCCTCTCGCTTGATTTCACTGTGGCTTCTGCTCTCCTGTGGCTTCTCCTTCCATGCCGTGCTTAGTGTCCTTTATAGCAGCTGTGTTGATTGGAGAGGGGAGGTCCTTTTATTGTGTAATGTGGTTGGCCAGGGCTCTCTGTAATTGATTAATCCCTCCAGGTGCATGTAGTTTACTGAAAGGTGGGTTAATACGTAAAAATGTAATAAAACAAACCATGCTAAAATGTAATAAAACAAATCATGCTAAAATGTAATAAAACAAACCATGCTAAAATGTAATAAAACAAACCATTCTAAAATGTATAAAACAAACCATGCTAAAATGTAATAAAACAAACCATTCTAAAATGTATAAAACAAACCATGCTAAAATGTAATAAAACAAACCATGCTAAAATGTAATAAAACAAACCATGCTAAAATGTAATAAAACAAACCATTCTAAAATGTAATAAAACAAACCATGCTAAAATGTAATAAAACAAACCATGCTAAAATGTAATAAAACCAAACCATGCTAAAATATAACAAACCAATAATTTACATATATCCATGTTTACAGCCTTTCTGCTGACAATTATATTCTTAACTAATAACCTACAATAGATTCTATAATATCATGAGAGACATTTTGTCATAGTGTAATAATTTACAAATATCTGGAGAGCATGTTTGGCTTAAAGCACAATTTAAAATACATGGGTGTCACCAGGAACATCAGTTGATATGCAAAAATAATCAATAAATAGTGCCACTGATCAGTTAAGATAATGATTAACTGCTCTTAAAGAATCACTTCTATCAAAATTTCGATGGATCGATTGACCGGAAGCCTGTAACCATTCTGTAATCCAATATTGCATGCATTTGCATCTTTCTGAAATGTACATGCAACGACCGCTGAGCTACCTGTCTGATACATATGACACAACGGCCAGTTGTGGACTTCTGCAGTTGTCGTGGCGATAGTTCAGTTGTTGTCATGTAGTTTGTTTGTCATAATGGTGTGAAATGGTTCTCCCAGTTACCGTTAAGATCCGTCAGTCGGATATGGGTGTCGTCCTTGTCTCCCGGTCCTTGGACACTTGACCTCTTTCCAGGCAATGAGAGAGATTGTGTTTTGGCTGTTGACTGTTAATTATGAATGGGATATTGGGGTAAATTGTTATCAATACTAAACTTTCCGTATACTCAATACCCTATACATGTCATTATTTCTCACTGAAGTGGTAACGTACATAGTAGACCAAAACCATCATGTACAAAACAGTAAATGTGTCATTTTTGCGGTTTTCAAAGTTTCTCACTCGTTTGAAACAACAAACACAACAAACACATACATGATCAATATTAGTTGGAGTGGAGCCTGAGAGCTCAATACCTGTTATTAACTGTCTGACCCTGGAGTCATTTACCATTCAGCTGACTCAAAAGTCCCTTTGCAGTCAACTGAGTTCAGTGGATTCTTAACTGATGAACCGCAATCAAACCGCAATTAAACACACAGACACGCACACAAAAGCAAAAAAAGGAAAAAAAAGAAAATCATTTATGAAAAAGAGGATCTCCCTGGGGACTTTTTTATATTTTGCTTTTAGACAGGGAATCAGATATCTTTTGGAGCTGGTCTCTTTCTTTAGTCAGGTTGGTGTTACTGGTCTGTAACTGGTCTCTTTCTTTAGTCAGGTTAGTGTTACTGGTCTGTAACTGGTCTCTTTCTTTAGTCAGGTTGGTGTTACTGGTCTGTAACTGGTCTCTTTCTTTAGTCAGGTTGGTGTAACTGCTCTGTAACTGGTCTCTTTCTTTAGTCAGGTTGGTGGACCTGGTCTGTAACAGGGCCATCTCCATTTCCCTCTCAGAGTTGACTTTGGTGCCTGTGTTTGACATAAAAAAACTAATAAAGACCAGTACCGTCATCTCACAACTTCATCATCATTCTGACAAAATACTCACAAAGGTGAACCGAAGTTATGAGTCCAGCCAGAAGGAAGAAACTCAGGAGACTCAGAAACACTGCAGCAGCTCTGAAGGAATTCTTCTTCACGTCTTCAACGCCTGGAAACTCCATGCAACGTTTGGTGAATTGAATAAAGTCAGGTCAGCCTTATTGTCTCTCCTCATAACACAACACACCAGACTACAAAGGTGTGCCTAGATACAGTAGTGTTCACAGAAGTTGAGGGATTTGTATTGTTGTGTATGTTTAAAAGTTGCTCATTGAACTGCAACAATGCAAAAGTGATACGTGATAGCCCAGAACCTACATATTTACTAGTATTAATAGCCCCTTGTGACCTCTGGTTTTGTATTCCTTTAAGATTTTATTCTTTTTACTACTCAAAAGTAAATACCGAATGTTTATTACCTGTGGATGCAGATTTTCTTCTGTTTGGCCCTCGAGTGTGGATCAACACATTTCCATAAATGTTTTCAGACATTTCCCCATCTCTCTGGCTGGGATGTCGTGATGGTCCCTCTACATTCATATAGATACCCAGATCTTCATCCATGATGTGCTGTTGTTCTGATGGTGCAGTTTGGTCCTGTGCTGCCTGAAGCCATCAGAGTCTGCAGAGCATGCTTTGGAAATGTGTCTGTGTTCTAAATCGTGCACAGAGAGACTTCTAAAGGAGGCAGTGCTCTTTGTGATGTGTTTCTCACATCATCAGGAAACTGATGGCGGTGGGACCTTTGGCCTATTAGTTGCAGTTGCATGGTGGTACTTTCCATTTTGGTTTGGGTGAATATTAATATCAGTCTGTCTGCGTGTCAACTGAAAGATATATAGGTCTAAAGGTCTAAAGGCGGATGTTCAGCTGCAGCACTGACTTCATTCATTACTATATTTAATGATTAATGTTAAATAATCTTTTTGTTTCCCACACAAACAGGTAAAGTAAACACAAATAACTGTTGATGTATAGCTCCATAGAAGCTCTACCAAACTCTTACCACATCTGAATCGTGCATGATGGGTTATTATTGATCCACAGGCTACATTTGATTTTTTTAGGATTGCTGTTCTCCACTTGCTTTATGCCAGGCAATCATCTCACTCATATTAAAAGACAGGGGTTAATTATAAGACATGTATGTATTGGTTAATTCATTTATTAACCCATACATCAACATACATCAAGCTCAAATGTCACTCCACAAAGACATTGGAAAAACTGTTCCTTGCATTGCTTATTTTACATACAGATACGCCACTGTGATGATTCACAGTGGTCACATTGTTGACCACCATTAAACAGCACTATGAACTGGCTAATGGGTTTATCAGACATAAGGGAATAGGTTGAAACAAGGAGACATGATTGGTTGACAATGGTCACATCATTGGAATGCTGCTTTTCATTTGGAAGTTCTTCACTATGTAGCGTGAACACAGTGTGACAAATTTGTTTGGTACCTTTCCTACCTCTTATATAAATCTTTTTATTCATTTTACAACATATTCCAGACAGAAAAGTAGAACATGGCTACCTCAAAAGGGTGTGTATTAACAGGATATTACATTCAGTTGTGTTCATTCTACTGTCACGCACCAACCGTCAAGACAAATTCCTTGTATGTTTGACATATTTTGGCAATAAATGTTTCCTGATTCCTGATTCCTGATCCTGGTATCACTTGGAGGTAGGTAAGTGTGACAAACTGCCACTGGATACAGAAATAGCAAATATAACAAACAAGTAAACAAACAAACACACACACACAACGCTCTGAGGAGATGTGAGTTGTAGGCTGGATAAGACGTAGGCAGAAGATCCCCAAAACAATTTCCTACCTCCTAAGTCGTTACATCATTCCTCCATTAAAAGCCACGACAGAGTCAAATGTTTGTCCATTCAGATAATGAAGAAGAGGAAACACTGAGTTATAATGCTATCTTCATTTCACAGATCCATTGGTTTTGATCATTACAATTTCTATCATTCCAGCTGTCCCGTTCTTCAAAGAACCTTATTTCAACACATCTTTCATTTTTTGAAGTTGTGCCTAGATAATCGTTTGGCTCCCCCGGGCCCCAGTAGCTGAAACAACAAACAAAGAATAGTTTAATACAATCCAGGAATGATCTGAGGCATAGTGAGCGGGTTTGCCATTGGAATAAAGTAAAGTGTGAACCTTTTGCTCAGTGGTGAGCCATCCACCCAAATCCAAGTGTTATTGTCTTCTCCAGTTGACAGTCCAATCCATGTGTATTGCAACTCAAACTTTCTTGTGAAATCCTTTTTTAACATGAGAAAATGAGTTATCACAATAAAAATGGAGCCAATTTACAGTCATTATAAAAGTGTTGCCTTTTCTCTTATTATTGTCTGTCCTGACCTTAAAATCATTCACACATTATTACCTGCTCATTTTCACTGTTGATGATCACCAGGTCGGCACCTCTATTCCGACAGTCATCCCTGCTCTCCTGCCAGGATTTCTTAGAAGAAGAAATGTAATAGAAACTGGGACGTATATACACCCAGCCTTCTTGGAAATAGCGATCTGTTATGAAATAAAGACAATCTTACATATATGGCTACAAGAAATGTACAGAATTTAAAGTGATTTAGAACTGGTTATATATGATGAAGCTTAAAGTATTAAACAACATAATACAATATGAATTGACAAAACATAACATAATAAATCACAAAATAACAAACTTTTGATGACACTGTGGCGGAGATGTTAATTTATGTTTTACCGCTGAGGTCTGACAGTAGTTGCTACTGGTACATCTATCTATCGATCGATCGATCTATCTATATGTATGTATATATTCCTGTTACGAAGCTTTCCACTTCATCTTTTTCAGGAACAAGCCAGAAAAGCTAAAGACTGCATGCCCCTGGTGTATATATCCCTGGTATATACGTAAATGTAAAACTCAACATAAAGTTGTCCAGTATTAATCGTCTCAATATTAATATAGTTATTATTATTATTATATTATTAATATAATTATATATATAAAGATATATTCAATTTTGTCACCAAATACTGAAACCTCGGTATAAAAGTCCTATTTACAATAGTGGATCATCAAATCAATCTGGTTGGCAAAATATTAGTTGTGTTGTAATCTAAGAACATAAGTAATACCCAGCTTGACCCAAAATGAAAGCTCTTGTTGTTGGTAGGACAAGTTTTATTGTCGTACTGACCAAAGGGAAGCAGTTCTTTCCTCAGCTCGATGGTCTCCGCAGTGAGATTTGTGTATCTCGCTTTTGTGACTGAAAAGAGCCAAAACATTATTTTGGAGAATTCATGTGAACACCCAATTAAACCAACCCATATCTAACATGCACAGGGACCAATTTGTGGTGCAGCATCTTGCTCAAGGGCCCTTTTGTGCAGAAAGAGATTGTGACACTGTGTGATCTAATCTACACTTTAATATAAGGAAGGAACAGGCTGAAAACTCTGCCTGGGTTTAGTGAAGTCAAACATATGAATAAAAAGTCCCATCCTCTTCTTGCTTAATGAATGTAATAAGCCCTATGACGGTTTCCTAAACTTTATCAAACTTTTCTAATTGAAAATCAATGACTTGAAAAGAAACATGGAGCACAGACACGGAGATGTGAGGCTTTGCTATGTTACCCGTTATCAATTAATCTAAAGAGGGACATTTTTGACAAAAACACATCTGAAAGAATCATGTCTTGTCAATGCAATTATTGAACTATGGTGTCTGGCATATTTCCTAGTGTTGAAGTCAACAGTTTAGAATGACTCACAGAGAGCGAGACGCAGGGAAATGTTGAGAGCAGCTTGAAGGACACAAAGGAGTCCGAAGCTCACAGCAACCAGCTTGAAGAGTTTTCTCCCTGCGTTTAGGTATCAAACAGACGTGCGTTTAGGTATCAAACAGACGTGCACACAACACAAGTACTTCAACACATATATATATATATATATATATATATATATATATATATATATATATATATATATATATATATATATATATATATATATAAAGGCCTCCAGCATCAAATGTCTCAATAAACTTGAGCCGACGAATAATATTTATATACATTTTTACATGTGAATGACTCTCTCTCTGTCCTTCCACAACAAAACGTTATTGAAATTGTGAATTCTTTAAAAAAGTGTAGTTCTTCTGTCTCACCTGTCTCATCTGCAGCAGTGCCTCGTTCGGGCTGTTGGGCATCGTTCTTTGGCTCAGGTAGATTCACATAGTCTCTGGTAATCCCAGATTCCTCTTTACGCACAAACCTGGCCATTGTTACAAGCTGACTGGAGAGGTGCTGGAGGTTTTAAACTAAGACGTGTTGTGTAATCTACTTCTTCTTTGGTCTGGTTCTCCTTATTTTCCCTCCACTTCAACAGCTTCTCTTTTTTTGACTGCTGCTAAAACCAGAATCTGGTTATGAAAGTTTTGCCTAAGAACTTAATGAGTGATTTTTTGGAGACACCGATTTGTGTGTTTATCCAGACTATGCATCTTTTTGTTTTTTCAGTAAGCAGACATTACTGCAATACTCGCTGATACTTTATGAGCAGTCAGTTCATTTTGTTAATAATTGCATGTAAATAAATCGCCACTACATCTGGCAGAATCTGAAGCCTAAACCTTTCATCTGTTCCTCAACAGATCATACAAGCAAATGAAGGATGTATCTGCAACTTACATGTCTGATAAACATTATGTTTGTCATTGAATGGAAGTCATCTTCCAATATAAGATCTGGAAACCACATGGAAAGACAGTCAGGTGTGCTCTAATAATTCATGTCCTCCTCTGTGACCTTCGGGCCACTGTGAGGCATTTAGATGCAGAATTACAATGATATGTGCAATGTTGAAATACCAAATGTCATCACGAGTAGAGCTCGAGGTGACAAATCCAAACTTTCAACATCGCTTCTCGTCATGGAACCAAATCGGTTTCTTCATACAAAGCAGAAGTGTGCTGCAAGCGAAATATCTCTTAAGAAATATCAATAAAGCTGAAACTCTTTTGTGAAGTCGGGATCTTTATCTCCATCAGCCTCAGTTATTGATCAATTTAATAATAAGTAGTACATTCACTCTGGGTGCAGGAACATAAAGTGGCAACAACTGTTTTAACATTTTCATCTGACTTGATATTCTGTGGCTTTCTCGGGTAAATGTTCTCAGCTGCGGTCAGATGTAGGAACAACCCGTAACCAGGAAATACACCATTTCCTGCACGCACGTTTACACTTCTCTTTTATAAGTAAAATGCACCTTCAGTTTTCTAGAGTCAGTTCAGAGTGATTTGATGAAGCATTTTCCCTTTATATAATTGAGATGTATATAATATCCAACAACTCTTTTGTCAAACAAACAAAACCTGAAAATCAGTAACAAAAAAGAGTGTTTCCATTCCTAATAAATCTTTTGGTCGTTTCAAGGACATTTTCACTTTTGCCCTTTGAGTTGGTGCAGATCAAGGACCGTTGAGATAGTTTGAGGAGTTATACCACATACGTACAAAGGTAAAGGGAAGATGAGGTTATGGCATGTACCAACAGTTTATTTTATTTCATAAAATTAGTAAGTCAGTAAAGTGAAAAAGTTTTAAGTGAGAGTCGGATATTGTCTTTCAGCATAACTATTTATTCCCCTATTTGACATCCTCTGAATTGATTGAATAGGGGAGAATATCAGCTCACTCTTGACAAATAGGGAACAAAAGAGGGAAGACACATCAAATACAAAGGAAACCAGGAGGAGGCAGTAGAATATGACGATGAGCGACCAAGTCTTGGGCAGAAACCCAGTGGGGGGGAAAAATCAAACAAGTAATTAAGCACATTGTACAACCTTGTCAAATGGCAGTTATGGCATTTATATATTTGTCCACTGAGCACAGTATATATGCAAAACCTTCAGTATGTCTGTTATACATGTCTGTTTGTAAAGGTATGAGCTGGAGGGAAATACTCTAAAAATATATATCTGAAATCCTAAACATATAACAAAGCGAATATGTAAAAATATATTTAAGTGAAGAATGAAAGCAAATGTTTATTCCAAAAAATTATAGAACTGGGTCAAAACTATATTCAACCCAAAAATACTTGTCAATACTTGTATGTAGAAGAAGTAGAAGTTAAAATAGGGCAGGAAACATAAAATTGACCACATATTTATTAAGAGGGCGGCACGGTGGCATGGTGGTTAGCACTGTTGCCTCACAGCAAGAAGGTCCTGGGTTCGATTCCGCCCAGTGGCCTTTCTGTGTGGAGTCTGCATGTTCTCCCCGTGTCTGCGTGGGTTCTCTCCGGGTTCTCCGGCTTCCTCCCACAGTCCAAAGACATGCTCTGGGGATCAGGTTAATTGGGGACTCTAAATTGCCCGTAGATGTGTGAGTGTGAATGGTTATATGTCTCTGTGTAGCCCTGCGATTGGCTGGCGACCAATCCAGGATGTACCCTGTCTATCGCCCGAAGTTGGCTGGGATGGACTCCAGCCCCCCCGCGACCCTGTGTGCAGGATAAGCGGTTTGACAATGGATGGATGGATGGACATATTTATTAAGCAGTGATTTAAAATATGTCTTTCTTTAGCAGAAGAAGTTCCACATGCTTTTATACTTCCAATAGAAAATACAATTAAAGCAGGATGCAATAATGATCTGTTGGAATAATTGAAATATCATTACATCTTATTTAGGGTTGGATTTAGGTGAGTTGTCAATAATAATACTCATCATATTCAGTGTTTAAAAGGAAGCACAGAACTAGATATTCATATTCAAATTCAGAGCATTTACACTTAATTGGACACTTTACCTGGAGAGTAGCTTGCTTAGCATTATGTTAAACTGCCTTGTCAACTTCAGCTTAAACTAGAGAACCAAGTATTGAGTATTTCCTTGTTTCTAACTCATTGTTTAGTTAGTTTGAATGCTTGGTTTGGAGTTATGAAGGACATTTCTTCTCCAAAGTGTTTTGTGGTCACACTGGTCATCATTCTAGCTGTTTTCCAAATAACAGCTGTTCTTTTCTACATCTTCATCTCTTAACCGATGTCCATTTGGCTCCAAAGGGTTTAAAAAACTGAAACCCCAAAACAAAGTACACTTTTTATTTAAAAGAAGGCACACCGAGAAACGGCACAGCAACTCAATATCAACTCAAAATGTGTGTTTCCTTAGAAAAGGTGTTTGATCAAGATTGAAAAAAGTAGTTATCAACATCTGTTGAGAAAACTTAATTAATGTGTTGTCTTAGTCACAGTAGGTCAAACAATATTACTTTAGAACACCATAGAGTATGTTACCTCTTCAACTCTGCTCCGACCTGCAAGTATTAAAATAAATCTCCTGTGATTTTTCATCCAGGGTCAACTAGAATTTTTTTTTACAGATGCATTTCACAACCTTTTGAGATCCATCATGTTTTTTTTTAATGGGGGTCGAAACGTTATTGTAATGTTCAGAAGGGTTGACTTGTAAATAACAGAACAATGAAAGAAAGCTTATTGTACGTATTGGTAAGGGCCTGGCCTACAACAGATGAGTAAAGTCATTCACCTTTTGGTCAGCGGCGTCCCATCCACCCATTTCCATCTCTTCTTACCCGTCCATGAAATACGCCATTATACGCCCGTCTTTGGTTGGATAACGCATTTGCTTTAAATTGGGGGGAAAACAATAGCCAGGTAGTTAAGAAACAAAGTTTGGACCATAGTACAATATCCATGAGCCGTAAAAGCAAAATGCTGCACTACTCAGACTGAGTCTGGATAAAGGAAAACCCCTCTGATGTTGAATTACAAAAGAATTTGATTATAAAAGTACCATTTTGAAGCCTTGAATTTCCACAATTCGGACATCTTACAATACGGACTTTGGGGAGAGAAACGTGTAAAGGTGTCGACCTTTCAATCACAAAGTAGCTCTAAAGCATGATCCCCCTTATGTTCTGTATTACTCTAAATGGACCATAATTCACAGAATGACAATCACACTGTGTTTAAGAAGATTTAAAACTAGCAATTGAAACAATGTTTACTACGGTACTAAATTAAGTGACAAGTAGGGTCATTTTCTCATCAATACTTGACTTCGTTTTGGAAGCAGAGGAGTCTCCCCCTGCTGGTCAGCAGAAAGAATATAAGCTTAGGACACTACTGCTTTGGCTTCGCTCCTCAAAACTAGCGTGGCCCCTGGTTAAGTCTGACCAATACGTACATTTTTGAAAACGAAGACTAAATTGTTGAAAAGACGTGAGTTTACCAAAGTTACTGAACGCGACAGTTGTGGCTGAAGTAAGATTCAAATACTTTGCACTCAAACATCAACATTTTGATCTGAATACATAAACAACAATACTAAATACATTGGTTTTAAGCTGTCGAAAGGGATTGAGAGTTAAGTCAAGTTAAGGTAAAGTTACTCTTTGATCACAGAGAAGAGTTATAACCAGTGCTGTAGGGGTAAAATTAGAGGTGGGTAAACTATGAATTGTCTGATCATACAGACCTCGGTGCGATGCAGCGCAACACAAAGCGTTGCGACTCTGTAAGGCTGTCTTGGCTATATTGCATTATGTTATCAGTTAAAGTAATATACAATCAATGACAGTGAATACATGTGTTTGTAGTTTATTACATTTCAAGAAAACAGTAGAAAAGTATGTGTAGCCCTCAAAAAAATGATGGGGGTTGAGGGGGAGACAAAAGAAAGGACCTCTATAGGACCTTAGAAGGCCCAGGGTGTTACAGCTGAACCGTATAGTATGAAAAAAGCCATCCTGCAAGTTAACACTTAACCATCAAGAGAAAGCTCCAAAAGTCAACGTAGCTAATGAATCCATCGAACAGGCGGGTGGATCCACGTGTGTGTGTGTGTGTGTGTGTGTGTGTGTGTGTGTGTGTGTGTGTGTGTGTGTGTGTGTGTGTGTGTGTGTGTGTGTGTGTGTGTGTGTAAACGTTCTCTCCACTACAGCCATGGTGATAACAGTAAGTGGGGTTCAAGCTATTCGTTTGGACTGCAAGAACTAAGAAATACACACTTACTTTGTATCTTTGTGAGACAAATATTTAGTTCATTGCCCAAGTGTTGAACTCCTTTCAAGAGGTTGTCTCTTTCTTTAGTCAGGTTGGTGTAACTGGTCTGTAACAGGATTATCTCCATTTCCCTCTGTGAGATGCCTTTGGTGACTGTGTTTGACATATAAACAAACAAATACAGATAGACGGTCAACCAGTACTCTCATCTCGAGGCTTCATCAGCAAAGTACAAAGTACTCACACAGGCAAACCGAAGTTATGAGTCCTGTCAGAAGGAAGAAACTCAGGAGACCCAGAAGCACTGCCACGGCTCTAAAGGAACTCTTCTTCACATCTCCAACACCTGAAGGTCGAGGTCCGACATTTAACTTCACTTCTTCACCATCTTGCTCGTCGACCCTTAAAATAATTGCTAATGCAGTAGTTGTTGTTCTACTGTCATTCCTGCGCTGCCTGTGCAAAGCACATGAACAAACAATGTGTCTCCTTTCGTCGGCTGCATCCTCCAGAGGACCCAGCCTTCGTGGTCGACCTGGGCTAAACCGAGCGGCCCCTGAAATGAGACGGCCTGGCCTACGCGGGGATTTCCTGCTTGCGTCGTCAGCTTTTCCTCCGCCGCTCACGACCGCATCGGAGGAGCCGACGGAAAGTGACGGCTGCGTCTCAGTCATATGTACACGCGAAGCTACAGTCGACGTATTAAATGTGTTCACATTGTGTTTATTACCTGAGGGCGAGGGTCCACTTCTGCTTGGCTTCAGAGTGTTGATCATCACATTTTCATAAACACTTCAGAGCTTTGGGATATACTCCTTCGTTTGCCCGACAGGTCCTCCACATTGGCATAGATGTCGTTCAGTTCATACATGATGTTCAGCTGTGTTGACTGCACAGTTTGGCCCTTGGCGTCCCGATGTCTTGAGAGTGTGCTTCTGATATGAAGAAATGATTGTTCTGAGATGTGCTCAAACAAGGCGACAAACATAGAAACACAGATGGCAGCACACCATTCACGTATGTGGTACTGAGGTCACCGTCACAGGAAGCAGAGAGCTGGTTGGATGAGTCGTGTTAGTTGACCACTTTTACTTATTTAGCCTTTCAGGTGCATGGTGGAAATGTAAAATCCTCACTGCTAAGAACTAGTAAATGATGGTAATATAGATGGCTGGATAGGTACTCTTTACTTAAGGGAAACTTTAAAAAAGGATTTGCTACCTGCATTGTTGGTTCTGAGTATGACTTGTTCTGTACTTCTGATTTACTAAAAACAGGGAGCACTATAACCCTCGTAATAAATATTATAAATATAATATAAACATAATATAAACGTGTTGGACACAGCCGGAGAGAAGAAGTTGGTTAATCGACAGGCTTTTAATTAATAGTTGAACAATAATTTGTAGATAAATGAGATGATGATGTAACTGCTTCAAAATGTACATCACAAATAGTGATGGATAAAGGATTTCCTCTATTTCTTTCCATTTAGTAAATTCTATGTGGGCTCTTAATTCCCAGGAAAGCTGTACAGTATACTGATATAAGTAGTTCAGAGTTGAACTGGGTGAAGTGAGAAAACAGCCCGACTGAGGAGATACTGGTTATTGGCATATGTTTTATATATTTCTTGGATATTATTGTATTATTCAGGGAGGATGTACATCATTTTGTGTTGTTACACATAAAGAGTTTGCTGTTCCCATCAAATGGAAAAGGTTTGGCAATAGTTGGTATTTAATATCCACCTCATTGGAAAACTGGAATGACGGCAACAAGGTCTGTAAATCTTGCACGGTCATCACGCACAGCTTGTGGAACAGGTGAGTAGCAGAAAACAAAATATCTTTCCTTTAAACCTCAGTGCTCTACACATTTTCTTATCAATGCAACTAAAATACAAAAGCTGCTTCCCTTCCCAAATGCATTCAATTTATATTCATTCTTAAATTGTAGTGTGATAGTGACACTTTCTGAAATTTGAGATTTGAATCCAATACATGGAAAACCAAAGTATTTTTCATGTGAGAAACAAAATGTCCACTTTCCACTTAGTGACAAATGTAAACATTTGGCCTTTTCAAAAGGTGGAAGCGGTAAAAAAAAAACAAAAGGCTAGTGCTGAAAAAAAGCTTCATTTCTTCCTCAAATTGCCGAAAAGGGAAGAGAAAGTCTACAATGGCTTTTGCACAGCTGCAGAACAATGTGAACAAGATCAGATGTTACCACATGTGACATATTTTATGGTGGTAGAAATAGTGGAAATGTCACTTTATGTAAATAGCTTCTGCACACGCACAGTACGCAGGACACATTACTTATCCAAAGTATTTCACCGTACACAAAAGATAATTACTTGAGTAAACTAAAGGCCCTTAAAACTAATCGTTATGATCATTTCACAGGGAATATAAATTATTCCACCTTTTGTTTGACATGTTTTGTAAATAAATGCCTGTTGTTAGGCTTTATCTATTAGGTCATAGTATTATTGTATTGCACAAGATAATTACAATACAAACACATTCCCCGATTATTATGACAGATTTAAAAGTCATCGGTTTTTGTCCTTTTGTCTCGGCCTCCTTTCATCAGCGCTGAAAGCCTGAGAGTGTATGACAACCCGTGGATGGAGGCCACGTGCCCAAATACACCACCTGCAGAGGCTCACCACCCAGGTATGGTGTGTGGTGTGTGTGTGTGTGTGTGTGTGCGTGTCTGCAAACAGATTGCATTCCCTTTTTTGATGTTTCATTTAATGTAATGTTTAGTTTCAGTGCGGTTTGGTTGGGTTTTCCTGTAGTGAATTTATCTTCATTCTGGAGGGGAGTTCAAATTACATTTTCCTTTTGGTTTTATTAATTACGGCTTCTTCCCATCGTTAAAAACCACTGTTGTGAGAAAAAGCAACATGATTAAGTGGGATGTTTGAACGTTGTGTGCCAGAAGAATTTACTGAACACAACCAGTTTCCACATGTTGTCACTGTTCTGATATCATTATTATTATTGCATTTTTCTTTTAAATATATGTTTAATAAATGTTTTCCTAATTACCTAACTGGACTTTGTTGTCCTGATGTTGTTACACTGAATAACGTCGCTAGTGTGCGGTCACAAAATAGTACCAGCAGCGTGCCACCGCGTGACGCGCATTGATACGATGTTATCCGCCCGGTCTGACCTCACATCCGTCCCTCTTGACAGATTTTTGTCTGCCGGCATTTTCTTTTTGTTTTGCCTGTGCCGACTTTAGCTCCTAGATTAACCACCTGTGTTGTTGACCCGCTGTACGAACACCAGCGAAGTCTACTTCCGTCACCGTAGTCTGCTGCACAAATGCCCGGATTTTCAGACCGAGATCGCGGCAGAGATAGAGGGTAAGTCGAGAGCCAGCTCCGGGTTTCTCACCGTTAACAGCTGATGTTAGCCGTTAGCATCCCGTTGCTAGCGAGCCCGCTGTCATGGCCGTGTTCTCAAAACAAAGCCGTTGTCTTGTGTTAGTTTGTGTCGCCGCTTCTTGGTACTTCGCTGCACTCCTGTGACTCGCTGAATAGAGCAACACCGCTTCCATGAGATAAAGTGTTCTTGCCGTCCCGCCGCTTTTGCACGTTGTTCCCATGTGACGCAGTGGTGTCTCTTCTCAGGGATGCTCATCAGAGGCACATCGACTTGAGCAAGTCTTATTGTTTTAGTTTTCTACTAGTAGCAGACATTACAGTAACCCTGTAATGTCTCCTACAGGAGGTAAAGCTGAGCCCCACAGTGTTTGTGTGCCCTCCTATATAATGATACGTCTAAATTACTAACTAATTTGAAGCCTCTATATCTGATTGATTCATGTTGTGCTAAAAAATGTGGAAAAGAGGAATCTGTCACATACTGTGTCACAGTACTTTTTAGTAAATATCCATGCATTTGGAGGACTGACAAGAGACAGATCTTTTTTTATCCCTACTATAAATACCAAACTCTATGCATCCTGCACTTCTACTCAAGGTATGGTGGAGGACCTCCTCGTTTTGGTGGTGGTGGTGGAGGAGGTGGAGGTAACAGGAGCGGACCTCCTCCAGGAAAGTTTGGCAACCCTGGTGAGAAGCTGCGGAAGAAGCACTGGAACCTTGATGAGCTTCCAAAGTTTCAAAAGAACTTCTACCAGGAGCATCCGGATGCAACTCGCAGACCCCTTGTACGATTCACTTCTAGTCGTTTCTCTTCTTAATCCGATCTAATTCACTTGGTGTTGCAAGTACGCGTTTTGACTGTGTTCCCCGATTCCAGCAAGAGGTTGAACTGTACCGAAGAACCAAAGAAGTTACGGTCAAAGGCAGAGATCTCCCCAAACCAATTATAAAATTCCACGAAGCTGCATTTCCAAGTGAGTAGGGATAAATGCTTGACCAAACAAACATAGATATTTATATTTATTCGACCTATTATTATCATTTGTGTCATTGACAGATGTTTGAGGTCAAACGGTTAATCTTGCATCATCTTACTTCTGCAGGCTACGTCATGGAAGTCATTGTCAAACAAAACTGGACCGATCCAACTCCAATTCAGTCTCAGGGGTGGCCATGTGCCCTGAGTGGCAAAGACATGGTTGGCATCGCTCAAACTGGTTCTGGGAAAACCCTTGCAGTAAGTGGAGGACTTAATGATTGGGATCTTTCCATACCATTTGTACCCAGAACCCATACAAGATTCATTTGTTGTCACCTTTTGGTAATTAAGAAATGACACTTCATGCACAGATTCATAGATTAGTTAGAATTGATTGAACATATTCATGTGAGTACTGTAATCAACATTTCAGTAAAGATTGCAAACACAAGGGAAGAAATAAATCCTGCTATTTTATGGAAGTTAATGGCTGCCAGGCAGCTGGTGCTCTTTAGCTCACTGATACATGTGCTCTATGAATTAACACGTATACTTGAACTCTGTCCATTTTTTTCTTTCTTTAGTATCTTCTACCTGCAATTGTGCACATCCAACATCAGCCATTCTTGGAGCACGGAGATGGACCCATTGTAAGCATATCTGGAATTATTATTGATTCCAATTATTAATTGTTTATTACATGTCATTTAGCAGACGCTTTTATCCAACGAGAATTACATTACACTTTAAACCCATGGCTTTTTCACATTTTTGCTTGTGGAGCTATTAGGGGTTAGGTGTCTTGCTCAGGGACACTTCGACATGGAACATGGGGCAGCCTGGACTCAAACCACCAACCTTGTGCTTCCCAGCACACCTTCTCTAACCCCTGCACCACGATGACCCCCCGTTTATCCAAAAGAGTGATCCCCTAATTGATACAAATTGAGTTTTTTTGTTACTATTTTAGAAAACCCTTTTAAGCTACCACAATATTACAAGTAGATGCCCAAAAGAGGCCTGGGCCTCATCATGTGATCAATGTATTGATCTGTAAACCATTAAGAAGACACCCGTTGTCAAAATCCAATACTGTGCTCCATATCAAATAAGAATCAAGCTCATATCTTCAATGTTGACTGACAATTTGTCTTTGTAAAAGTAGTCCAATCCATACCAAAAGATTGTGTTATTAACATAGTTCCATTTTGGGAGGGAGCAGACAAATTGCTTGAGAATACAGAGGCATTATGTGGTCTACACAGATCATTGAAGCAGATCGCATGTTAGATACGGGATTTGAACTTCAGATCTGCAAGAGATGTGTGTGTGTGTGTGTGTGTGTGTGTGTGTGTGTGTGTGTGTGTGTGTGTGTGTGTGTGTGTGTGTGTGTGTGTGTGTGTGTGTGTGTGTGTGTGTGTGTGTGTAATATACTCACTTACAAATGTTACATATTCGATCAATTTATTTCCTTTTCTTTTAAAAAGGAAAAGATGACTGATCATTTATATCTGTCTCTCTTTAGTGCTTGGTGTTGGCGCCGACCCGTGAACTGGCTCAGCAGGTGCAGCAAGTGGCTGCTGAATACGGCAGGGCATCCCGTCTCAAGAGCACCTGCATCTACGGCGGTGCCCCCAAAGGACCCCAAATCAGGGACCTCGAGAGAGGCATGCGTACTTTTATTATTTCACTATTTAAATACATTCCTTCAACGTTACCATTGGGGATTTGTTTAACGGTTGCTTTTTAACATTAAATATATGTCTTCAGGTGTTGAGATCTGCATTGCTACCCCGGGTCGTCTCATTGACTTTCTTGAGTGTGGAAAGACTAATTTGCGTCGCTGCACCTATCTGGTGCTGGATGAAGCAGACCGCATGTTGGATATGGGATTTGAACCGCAGATCCGTAAGATAGTGGAACAAATTCGGGTATGTCGTGTACATTTTTTCAATCGGCACACAGTCTACACTAACATTGAGACAGTCTTGTAAAGTGAATCGTCAGGAAAGAACCACAACCACTAATATCCCCTCCCCCCTGTATGTGAGAAATATTTGGCCCAGTCCCCAAATAAAGACAGCGACTGAGCTTGTATGAAACAAATGTATCTCACAAGTTGACCAAACAACCTGTGATCAATACAGAATGTGCCCTGATGAACTGATTCTAGATATTAGACTTAATATTGTCATGGTGACATTTAATTTGAAGATGCAAAACAAGGTTAAAAGCCTCCTTCTTTGTCCTCACCAGCCGGACCGTCAGACCCTGATGTGGAGCGCCACCTGGCCTAAGGAAGTCCGCCAGCTGGCTGAGGACTTCCTGAAGGACTACGTCCAGATCAACATTGGCGCACTGCAGCTCAGTGCCAACCACAACATCCTACAGATAGTCGATGTTTGCAATGATATGGAGAAGGAAGACAAGTGAGTAGAAGATTCCTGGCCAGATTGTGTTTTTAATCTAAATGCAATCAATGACTATACTTGCATTATTAGAAACATAATAGCAGGGGTTGACAAAATGGGCCTTTTGCAGTTACCTGGGGCAGGTAAAACACAAAAATTATTCAATTCATTGTTTTTTCAGTAGCTCATGATGGGGGTTGTGATGGAGAGTTCGGATTGATTTCCAGTAAATAACAAAAAAAAAAAAAAAACTTTAGTCGTTGTAATTTTAAACCTGCAAATAAATGAAGCAGTCTCTAACGCACATCAATGTCTGAAAAATATCATTAATGTTTAAACCCTGAAATATCTGTTACAGATTTGTTTCTCTCAACAATTTTATATTTTGTAAACTACTTTTTCTCTCAACCTCGTCTATGCCTCTTTTCTGTTAGACTGATCCGTTTGCTGGAGGAGATAATGAGTGAGAAGGAGAATAAGACCATTATTTTTGTTGAGACCAAAAGGCGCTGTGATGAGATCACAAGGAGGATGAGAAGAGATGGGTAAGGATCAACTCTTTCTTCCCCTCGAAGAATGTTCCTTTTCTTTATTTGTTGATCTCAAAAGTAAAAATTCGGACTACGTTAAATGATTTTTGAGTCCCTCATTGCTCCTACTTGTTTTTGCAATAGTGTTTATTGTTCAATATGTCTGTCACAGGTGGCCAGCGATGGGAATTCATGGAGACAAGAGCCAGCAGGAGAGGGACTGGGTCCTAAACGGTTAGATTTGATACGTCACACGTAATGATTTAAAAGGTTTATGTACCCGTTTCAATTGCTGCTCTATAATTGAGTAAAATACTGTCATTCTCCCTTCAGAGTTCCGATATGGCAAAGCTCCAATCCTCATCGCTACAGATGTGGCCTCCCGTGGCTTGGGTCAGTATGTCATCAAGTATCACCACTTTCTTATCAGTGTTACACTTACTTTAAAGAAAGTGGGTTTGCTTTCTTTAACTTTTCTATGCATTTTCTGAGTTTTTCTCACCTTAAGGTGGAGTCTTTGTGGCAGGCGCTAGGCATGACAGTCCCAGGCCTCGAGAGGGAGAAGGATGACATATTGGAAGTGCTCAACTGGCTTGCCACCCAGTGGGCCTAGAGAGGTGAAAGCTCTTGTGTGCCAGGGATCTTCAAAAGGCTGTGTGGCTAAGCCTTTGTCTCTGATATGTCGGTGAAATACACACACATCTGTTCTGTCCTTGGATTTCACCTGAAAAACGCTGATTCCAACTCAAACATAAAAAAAAGAGAGGAAAAAATATTTATGTTTGATGTTGTGACTTTTGCCTTGCATGCTGTTGTGTTAGAGGGCGCTGTATTGCAAGTCACTTGTTTGAGATTTGGATCAATTGTTACCTTTTCGGAGCTCGTATCACATATCATGGGTGCTTGAGAGCCTGTTTGAGCTTTCAATCATTTTCTTTTCCCGTCAAAGTGCTGGATTTCTTGATATGAAGAGAGCAGTTTGAAATCTGTTATTCGTCTCAGAAAATTGACGAGACCTGGCACATGTGTTTAGTGGGTAGTGGGAACATCTAGTGAGAAGAGAAAGAGAGTGAGACAACTCAAACCAAAGTTCCTCCCTCGCCTGCGTTTTAAAGTCATGTCGAGACCTGCCAACGAGAGACATTTTATCAAGTGAACACTGGCTTCTCGGAAGATCTTGCCTTGATGAGACTGATGAAGTGGGTAGGGGAAAATGTCCCGTGCTCGGTCAGGCCACACGGTTCATGTTTGAGGCCTTTACCTTTTTTTTTCTTTTTCTTTTTTTTTTTTCTTCCTATTTTTCTTTTTGAAGGGGGCCCTGTTCAAATTAGCACTTTGTCTATTTTGTCTTGGCAAGACGTGCAGTGCGGCCTTTAATATCAAGCTTCTTTTGAGAGTGTACTGGGAAAAACGTACCTGCAAAATGTACCCCTGAATGGTCCTATATTGGCACCTGAGGAGGCCCCAGTGCATATCGTGGCCCACCTGCGTAGAAGCTCCTGGATGTCACTTGACAATTTGTGGGGGATTTCGCTGCATTGGGAAAGGACTAGTGAATGCATACTCCATTATGGTAAGACATAAATCCATTTTTTTTTTCTCTCCCTTGGTTAACAAAAGGGAGGGTGAATGTCGTTTGGATCTTTTTGATTATGGTAAGCAATTGGAGTGTGCATCGTTTCTCTCTTCCCACAGTAGTATTCCCATGGAGTAGATGTATACACAATCTTATGTTGTTTTAACAAGTTTTCCTCCACAGCCTAATGACCATCTTCTTCCCCCGGCCTCCACAGTTGCTAACATTTCCCCTTTGATCTGGCTGTTGTGGTGTGCAAAATCCTGTGTGGCCTCCATGTTTTGTTTTGCCACACTGCAACACTTTCACAGATGTGGAGGATGTGAAATTTGTCATCAATTATGACTACCCTAACTCCTCCGAGGATTATATCCATCGCATTGGACGCACAGCCCGAAGTCAAAAAACGGGCACAGCCTACACCTTCTTCACCCCCAACAACATGAAACAAGCCAGTGACCTGATCTCTGTGCTCCGCGAGGCCAATCAGGCCATTAATCCCAAACTGATCCAAATGGCAGATGACAGAGGAGGTAAAGTCTGACCCTTGTTGACATTCATCATGGTTTGTAAGGAAGAAGCAGTGTTTTAGTTTTTAGTAGTCATTCAAATTCTTGAACATAACGTCAATCCCCTGCAGATGTATTGTTTTTTTGTGACAATCATTTAAATGAAATCAGTGTCTCGAAGTCAGTTTTTAGACATGCACATCTTTACATATTTTTTTTCCCCCCTTTTTGTCTCTGTTCTGTCTTCATATCGTACAGGTCGCGGAAGGGGTGGAAGAGGCGGCTACAAGGATGACCGTCGGGATAGGTATTCTGGGGGTGGGAGAAGCAGCTTTGGCGGTAGTAGCTACAGGGACAGCGACAGAGGGTTTGGCAATGGGCCGAAGAGTGCCTTCGGTGGCAATAAGGCTCAAAATGGTGGCAGCTATGGAGGTAATGGTGGTAATTCAAGTGGTAGCTATGACGACAACAATTACAGCAACGGCCAGGGGAATTTTGGTGCTCCGGCAAATCAGGTGGGTGCCTTTGGTAACCAGAGCTTCCAGGGCCCCCCTCAATTTGGGGCGATGCAGAGGGCCGGTCAGAATGGCATGAACCACCCACCATTCTCATTCAACTCTCAGCCACCACCACCACAGGCTCAACAGCCACCACCTCCACCACCAATGGTGCCCTACTCCATGCCACCACCCTTCCCACAGTAGATATGATATACGCACAATATATGGAACCAACATGATTTTGGTTTAGTCCTGAAATATTACAGGTTTATTATTTTTACTGTTTAACTTTTGCTTTGCTTACAGCAGGGTTGGTATCATTTAGTAAACCCAAAGCATTAAATGGAGTCGTAGACAAGTCTCCTAGTGCAATTATGACTGCTGCACTTTTTCCTTGTTTTGGGAACATTCCTCAGTAATTTATTTTTACTAGGTAATGCAATGTTTTCAGTTTGTATTATGGTTTAAAGTGATGTTATGAATCATAAAAAAGGGTGTGTGATGCCCTTTTGAATAAAAATAATAAAATGGGATATGTGTTTGTTTTGAATTAATTATAGAACTGATATTGTTTTGATATCACTCTTGGTGATTACACCGTACACACACACACACGTGAATGAACATCACAGTTATGCATTCATTCATAAACCGAAGGCCTGAACAAACTTGTGGTGTCACCTTAGAGGTTGTACAGACATGAAGATGAAAGGAAATTATACATTGCGTCAGTATACGAATATTGAGGAGACATAAGAAGCAATGCATCACAACCTCAAATGTATTCTATTGAGCATCATAAAGTAATAAAATAACACTGAAGTCATGTACTTAAACTACCCACTGATTTATTTATTAAATGAGCACTAAAATAGCTTTATCCTATTACTTTTAAGCAAACACAAATGATACTATATAATACTCATATAGCGAATGGTTTCAGGTCATTGAGCTCACTGGAAGAACGTTATCCTAAAAAAGAAATACATCTAATGGGGAAATTGTTATTTATTTTCATAATGAAACACATTTGTTAAATGTTTAGGCCATTATACTTGTTTTTTTAAATAACTAAGGTGGTGTACATTTTCTATTCAAAAAGTAAACAAGACGCAAGCTTTTCAACCCCGATGCGTGATGACGTCACATGACTGAACACCCGACAGAATGACCCGGATGTGCAGAGACCACTTCCGGGTCATCACTCACGCGTAAGTCCTGTGGATTCAAACTGAACGGGCATCGTCTTTGAACATTACCAGTGTGACTGACAACCTGCACAGGCGAGTGGAACCTGTCAAAGGCCCGATGCGCGCTGGCATTAGACGAACCGTTAACATTAGCATAAATACAGTCAGTTAGCTGGTGAAAATATGCTCTCAAAGCTCCACAGGCGGATGATAAAGTCTCCTCTCGCGGAACTGGTATTTTTCGGTTCAACAGAAACAGTTAACGTTAACTCTTAATGTTTTGCTTCTAGTGAGATTAGTTGCTCGGTTAAGGCCCAGCAGACCCGTTAACGGTAATTCATTAGTTTATTTTAGGTTTCACTCATGAGTCACTTAGTAGACTTCTCTAGCGCCTCGCCATGCAGTCTCACTGTGTCAGAAGCGTCCTGTGCACATTGAAACGCCCACCACGCCGAGAAACACGGGCTCTGCAGCCTCCCAGCAGACACCGCGGCACGTCGTCGGGTGACGATCCGCATGGGGTCGGCAGGTTTATGCAGCTGTGTGTGGACAGACACTACGTCTCACCCGGTCACACCAACACCGAGCTGTTCCAACGTGGCGTGAGCTGCGTCTACGGGCCTCTGGGCGTGGAGCTGCGGAGAAACCTACTGGAGCAGTGGTGGCGGTCGGTGACCCGGTCCTCGGCTCAGGTGTTTGGGATCAACACGCTGTGCAGAAGCAGGGACACGGCAACGGGTGGCAGGGGCCAACTGGGGATTGTTGAGTCTGGCTGCCTAAAACACTTAATCGAAAAGCACGAACTGAGCAAGGAGCAGCTCATCCAGGAGTTAGAGAAGCTCATCCAGAGGTCCACCTCTCTGAGGACAGACTTTCTACAAGGTAGACTGCTGCATATCGCTGAGAGGTTGATTGTTTTGAGATTGGTGCCAGTATTTGCACTATACTGAATAACGATAACATAGAAAACCTCATTGGTTCAGAATCAGCCATGATGATACAATACAATGAGAAATAGCTGGTAGTTTTAAGGAATGTGATTGGCCTTGGTTGGCCATTTAGGGTAAGAGTCATGTTACTAGAGGTTAGGTCTTCCTTGGTACTTTGGTTTGTACCTATCAACACCGTAGAAGATATAATGCTATAAGCCACATCTTTAGTATCTGATATTGCACCTGATTTAGTTGAGGGATCAAAGGACGGAACAGGACCGATGACACAGATCCTCAACTTGTAACAAAGCCGTTTAATTACACTTTTATTTTACCTTATTTGTTGGGAGTACAAAAAAAAATAGTTTCAATGCCAAATGAAGAGTTTTACTACTCGTTCTCAGGGGCGTTGGAGCAGTTTGTCCCCTCGTTGGATCTGGTGAACAGGAAGCTGCCCTTTGGCCTGGCCGAGTTTGGTCCATGTTTCCGGCCCTCAGACGGCTCTGATGGGTGAGGCTCCATCCACTGTTTGTCCTTATGTGTAGACTCTTGCTTGTGTAAAGGTTTATTCCCTCACTACAGGTTCTCCATATGAAGTTCTGGAACTTGCGCAAATACATTTTCCTCCTTCAAACTCACTCTTGCTTGTTGATTTTCTGTTAATACACAAGTATTTGGCCGCAGTAATCAAGAAATCCGTGACTTTACAACCCACTCCTCAGCCATGTGATGCTAGCAATATGCCCAACTCACTGACGCTAATCCTATTAAGTGATCCATTAGTTTCGAGTTTCATGTACTAATAATGTAGACTCTGTTTTTAGTGCCCATTTCCAACAAAAATAACCCTTTAAAACAATCTAGGGACAATGTAGAGTCGAGTAAACACCTACTATGCTTTTAAACTCATGCACTTATTCAAACAAAACCATTTCACTCCGCCAGAGATTGGACAACAGCACAAAGACAATATGAGTCTTTGTGATCTTGGATAGAGGGCGAGCTAGCCCGACCTTTCTGATACAATACATGTTTGGGTTTGAGAATAATAGTGTACATTGATATTTAAATACAGCAATCTGCAATAAAGGATAAGATATTAGTCCCGCTGTAAATATATTGTAATGGTTCTGTTCCTGCCAGCCCAGCTGAAGTCACCCAGACGTCACTGGCATGGTTCTGCTCTCCTCGTACCTCTTCCCAGTGGCTGGATCACTGGGCGCAACAGAGACTGAAGTGGTGGAGGAAAGTGAGTATTGTTAGATACTGAATTGTATAGTATTGCACGACACTGAATGTAAACCAGAACAGATTGTTGACATTTCATAGGTTGAGAAAACAGGATGTAGAAAAGATTCCCATGTTTTTTGCAGATTTTGGTTCGATTACAAAATAACCAGAAGGTGGTTTTGCAGTACATTACTCGCCTGTATTGTGCAGCGCTAGTTTGAGCACAAAAAGGGTTATTTTCCTGTTTTCCTGGGCTACTTACATGAAATGAGTGCAATTTTATGACTTCCCATGATTGATATTTATTCTTAATACCTAAATATACACTCCACAGTTGTCCCCGGAGTGCAACTGAAAGATTTGAGTTTAGAGAGGAGGAGACTTTGGGTATCTTTAAATCATTACAACATCAATATAACTTCAGTTACATGAAATCAGACCAGCCCGTGTCTGTCCAGTTTGCCCTGTCTCCATCGGACTTCAGCAGTATTGACGTCCCAGCGGAGGAACTCGAGGAGGCGACGTCTCGCGGCGTGAGGATCGTATACAGCTTCCCATGGGGACGGGAGCCCCTGGAGACGCTGTGGAGCAGAGGACACACGGAGCTGCTGCAGACACACAAAGGAGTCCATTCCAAATTGCAGGTCAGTCAGCCTGTCTTTATGTCTTTAACTGTCTCTATGTCTGCACACAGTTTTTTATCCGTCAAGCTGCCATTACCAAATAGTAACGTCGATGGTGCAGAAGCACTTTAGTTTGCAAGCTTTATCTATGAATAATGCTCAACTGCATCATAGAGATACTTCCAGAAAAATGTCCACGCCCAACCCTTTAGGCATGTTCTAAGGATTCCACAAACAAGTGCGTATTCACTTCTGTTATTGCCTTTCTTCATTGTGATCACGTGCCGATTCGTTACACAATTCCAGTGTCGAGATGGTCGTAAGTCGGTTCCTCATGTCGTCTCGGTGACCGGGAACATGGACCGGGGCGTGATGGCCTTTCTGTGCAACTCACTCCAGCAGCTCAAGAAAGAAGACGGCATGCAGAAGCTGCTGAGGAGAAAGGTAATGACCCTCTTGTATTCCAATGTCTAACCGGACAGTCGCCCTCTTTTTTTTTTGTGTGATCGTCTGTCACAAGTTCCAACTCTGTGTGTTTGCTGTTGATTTCAGGTCCTGAAGCTGCATCCTGTGTTGGCTCCGGTCAAAGTGGCTTTAGACATTGGCAGGGGAGCCAATATGGAGCTGAGGCAGGTAAGAAGCACATCTGTAAACATCATTTATTAATTGATGTTTGTAAAATCTTGATTCAACGTGTGAATAGATATGATGTTGACTGTGCTCGATTCAGCAGGTGGTAGTGAAAGTAGATGAAATAGTATTTGATTACTTTGCAAGGTCTGTGAAAGGGCTGCGAGCAGGAGTTCATGGAGGCTTAGATCTTCTGCGTGGCCTGGCGTATCTCGGAAACAGTGCCAACGTCAATGGAGCAGCTGAACGCAAAGTAAAGTATAATTCACTGTTGCAATGGAAGCAAAGTTCCTCATTAGGAGCGAATCATCTCTTGCTGTGGACTGACGCGTGTCTCCGTGTCGATGCGTTGTAGGTATGATGAGATGGGAGTGCTGTTCGCTGTGGTGGTCAGTGAGAACACGCTGGAGAGCGGCCTCCTTCAAGTACGCAGCAGAGACACCACCATCAGGGAAACCAAGCACATCTCTGAGATCAAGAACTTTCTCTCCAGATACATTTCTGCTGCCGACAACTTGTGAATGGACCTTCTGTTTTGGCAACTAAAAGGGAAAGCCTATATATTGCGGTCCATATTTTGCATCCCTTACTTGTGAGGATCATGTCTTCACAGCATGGCATTTAATGGAACTGAGTCTTTTCCAGAATCCCCTTTGACTCATTGTGACTTACCTTGATTGGGTATTTCGGAAATTTGTGGGAATTTTGAACTTCATTTTTAAAAGGCTAAGAAACCATTTTGTGACATTTGAAAAGAATATGTGCAAATTTTGCTCAATGTTTATCTGGACTCAACCATGGGGTATGTACCTCCAGTTTTTAATTGGGTGCGACTTGGAGTGTCCCACTCACCCTACAGTCTCCCTCACTACTTCCAAGCCAAAGAGGTGGTTAAGTGCACACTTCACTGTCAGAATTGAATTGAGTGGTATTTACGTATTTAGAGGAGGATTGAAATCGTGTTCTATCAGGTTTCTGTCTGACATTCTATTATACAGTGTCTCTTAAATATTATATTTTTTGTTGGTCGGTTTGTTATGGTCTATGTGGCTCCCTATAAGGTGTCGTATTTTAGTTGATTATCAATGTGCCACGTGAGAATTAATGTTCCTTTTGTGGGTCAAAGATCATTCTTGACTGCTTCAAGGTCCATTTATTAGCGGTTTATGAGCTTTCAATCAAACTACATGATGTTCATCCTATTTCACGTATAAATACATATTTAAACTGTATGCAACCAGGACTTTAATCAATCATATTAATCTACAGTATAGTCACACCAGACAGATAGTTCATCATATGTATGCTCCTGAATAGTAGTTTGTTTCATTATAACTTTCTCCCTTGATTTCCTCCTTCCTTCCTTCTGTTGTTATTCGTTGTGACTGAGATGTTTGTCATAATTATTTCAGAGGTAATATTTATGCTTCCATCAAAAATGATGCATTGCTTCATTGGAAATATTGCACTGCAGTGTACTGCTATGAACACGCCGTGGACCATCTACTAAATCTCGCGAGAGTTGACTAATCTTGCCCCTCCCACCGCCGTCACTGGTCGCTGCTTCTACAGTTTACTGAGCATGTGTATGCGCCGTTAGCATTTAGAGATGGCCTCAGACAAGCAAAACGACGCTAAATTGTCCCCCATGGATGAAAACAAAGAAAATTCCTCGGATGGAGGACTTGGACTCGAAAGTATCCTTCGCACGACTGGACATGCAGCGGCTATTTTGGTTTTGCTGCAGTTTTACCGGTTTCAAGCTCTGAAGCTAACGGTCGCTCGCTAGCTAGCTTGGTTAGCGTATAACGTCAGCTAGCGTTATTGGGCTACGTGTCATACTGAAGCACTCTTGTCAGTGGCTCTCCGGTAAATCTGATTACTTGACATGTCTCAAACTTTGTTTTACGATTCCGATAGTGGTAAACAAACCAAGAATGTTCCTGTTTCATTAGGTAACTTAAGTTACGTCGCCGTTTACAGAAAATGATCACAGCCCTTTTCTGGGTCCGGAATCCCACTGCTTGCATTGCTGTCACTCGCAGACCTGAATGAATGACAAATGGATCACGATGTGTAATAATGAAGATAAAAGTTGTCCCTTAACATTGATTCTCAGTTTTGCAAATAATCAAGGAGTCCCAGCAGCAGCATGGTCTCAGACACGGAGACTACCAGAGATACCGGTGAGCTGTGCACAAACACCCCCCGTGATACCGTTGTGACTGGGCCGTATTTGTACCGATGAATGTCTGTGGGGAAATGGCGAGTACTGTATCGCTGTTCACATAGAGGTGCGCAGTTTATTTCACGTTCAAAAGCCCCAGGTATTTTGGAGACCAAATCCTTGGTGCATGCACTGAGATGATGTTATAATGGAAACGCCTGCTACCATATGGCTCACGTGAGACCTCTGTCTCCTAATATCAATGCATTAACTTCACTTGTACCATACACAGCCTGATACTGTCAAACACACAGATTTAATTGTTTACTGTCTGCTACTTGTAGCTTAAACATGATCAGTTAAGTTAACAAATTAAGAATGACAATATCAAATCTTCCGCGATTTCAGCATCTCCCTTTTTCAAAGAAAGCCCTGGAATTGTTAAATGTGCAAATTTCCTGTGGGTTGACTTGTCCATTGATAACAAGATGGAACCATACCCACAAGTGTTATTAGTTGAATGCAATGGAAATAACTTTGTAACTCTGTGCAGGGGTTACTGCTCCCGTAGACTGCGGCGTCTGCGCAAGACTCTTGGTTTCAGGATGGGCAACCGACACAAGTTCATTGGGAAAAAAATAACTGTCGAAATGCTTTCTGACAGCAGGTAAGGAATGGAACGTCTGAGCCTGGCATTCATGTGCAGGTTTTTTTCCATCATACAATAGTTTATCTGGGTTCTGTTGCAATGTTGTGCATCTACATAACGAGTGTTTGACCTTTTGTAACTAAAGCCCACCTCTGATCTGCTATTTCCATTTTGAAATCCTATTTGTTATGTGTCACTGCATCCGCGGGAACGCTGTTTAGCTAACAGTGAAAACAGATCCATCCTTTATCGACTCACCGGCCACTTTATTATGTACACCTGGCTAGTAAAAAGTTGGACACCCTTCTGCCTTAACTCTTCATGGCAGACTTTCAACAAGGTGCTGGAAACATCCCTCAGAGGTTTTGGTCCGTATTGACATGATAGCATCACCCTGTTGCTGCAGATTTGTTGGCTGCACATATATGATGAGAAACTTCCACCACATCCCAAAGGTGCTCTATTGCATTGAGATGCAGTGACTGGAGGCCATTGGAGGACAGTGAACTCATTGTCATGTTCAAGTAACCAGTTTGAGATGATAAGAGCTTTGTGGCTTTGTGCATTATCCTGCTGGAAATAGCCATCAGAAGATGGATCACTGGTCATAAAGGGAGGGACATGTTCAGCAACAATACTCAAGTGGTACTAAGGGGATCAAAGTGCGCCAAGAAATTATCCCCCACACCACCACCAGCCTGGACCATTGATACAGAGAAGGATGGTTCCATACTTTCATGTTGTTTACGCCAATTTCTGACTCGACCATCTAAATGTCACAGGTGAAATCAAGACTCATCAGACCAGGCAACGTTTTACTACTCTTACTGTCCAATTTTAGTGACCCTAAGCAAATTATGTTCATTTTCCTGTTCCTAGCTGACGGGCTACAGCAGCAGACGCCACTCCTATCTTCTTCAAGGTTCCACTTCTGTATTCCTTGGTTTTAACGAGGGATATATTTTCTCTTTTTGTGGACCATTCTCTTAAAGCCCCAGAGATGGTTGTGTGTCAAAATCCCAGTAGATCACCATCAGCCACGTTCAAAGTTACTTAAATCCCCTTTCTTCCTCGTTCTGATGCTCTGTTTGAACTCCAGCAAGTTGTCTTGACCACGTCTACATTCCTAAATGCATTGAGTTGCAGACATGTGATTGGCTGATTAGGAATTTGCATTAGCAACAAATTTAATGAGTGTACCTAATAAAACGGCTGTTGTGTGAGATAAATAAATTATACATATATATTACACTCACTAGCTGCTCTGACAGTGGGCCCAGGTGAAGTGGAATAGAATAGCTGATCTACATAGGAGATGAGTCTGCAACTGGTTTGGTACACCTCACTTCTAGTCAACCTTGTAAAGAATGTATTTGCTCAAAACAAATGGCTGACTGACTTCGTCCAAGTAACTAATTCATCGACCTTCCCTTCAGGTATCTGCTGCTGGTTTTGATGGAGGCCGAGCGTGCGTGGAGCTACGCCATGCAGCTGAAGCAGGAGGCGAACACTGAGCCACGCAAGCGCTTCCACCTGCTGGCACGACTACGCAAGGCTGCCAAGCACAGCGAGAAACTGGAGAAGCTCTGTGAGAGCCCACGCGTTGATGCCAAGACCAAACTTGAGGCGCAGGTACACCGTATAGTTTAAGTTGACTTTCACCTGCTTTAAGCACACGTGCAAAGAATAAGGGGTGTAGGTGTGCTGTGAGATTGCCGGCCCTCGCCTAAAGTGCCTTTAACTCACATCAGCCCGATGTCTCTGTACCAGACACATAGAATGTGTCATTTAAAGTTGTGATTCAGTGAGGAACCATCACGTTATCCTCACAACAGACACCAATAATGGCCCGTGTGTTTCTTGTCAGGCCTACACTTCATACCTCACTGGTATGGTGGAGTTTGAACTGCAGGAGTGGAAGCTTGCCATGGAGGCCTTCAACAAGTGCAAGTGAGTGAACATTCTCCATACTTTTAGTTTGCCGTGTTTGAATTGCTGTGACATTTCGGAAATTCTAAACGACCCCAATTTGCTCTTGTAGGACCATCTATGAGAAGCTGGCCAGTGCTTTCACAGAGGAGCTGGCTCTTCTGTATCGCCAGCGTGTGGACGAGATTTCGCCCAACATCCGCTACTGTGCTTACAACATTGGTGAGTGACACGTGCACTCGTACGGAGACAATCTGATCCCTCTCAACTTAACTGATTGCTGTCATAGGCTTATTTTTATGAATCCAGAGACCCATCCCAAGCTGGACATTTGCCAAAGATCACATCGCCCTCCTTTCCAACAAAGATGCACACACACACACACACACTATGTAACTGGATTCAAATAATTTTATTTTGTATAGCCCAAAATAGCAAATTACAAATTTGCCTCATAGGGCTTTACAGTCTGTACACAACCCCTGTCCCGAGAAAAATCCCCCCCAAAAAAATCATCATTTTTTCTGTCTTATTGCAGGCGACCAGAACGCCATCAATGACTTGATGCAGATGAGACTGACGGGAGGAGGAGGAGGCATGATGGCAGAGAAACTGGAGGTGAACAAATAGGAGAACATTAGTTTATTCTCTCGTGTCAGTTATGTTTTTTTGTATCCGTGATGTCCTAATATCATGTCGAGGTCCGGCCAACACACACATACACATTTTCTCCTCAACTTAAGTCTCTATTAGAAGAAAAAAATGTGTGTTTAATTTTAAAAAACATTGAAGGATTAAAAAAAAATATATATAGACTAAATCCTAAGAAATGTCTTCGCTGTTGTTGGTCAGACAATCTTGTGTCTTGTAAAAATGTTTCTTAAATGTTTTTTTTCTCCTTTAGGCTCTGATCACTCAGGCAAGAACCAAGCAGGCGGCCACCATGAGCGAGGTGGAGTGGCGAGGGCGGACGGTGCCTGTGAAGATCGACAAGGCCCGCATCTTCCTGTTGGGTCTGGCTGACAATGAAGCCGCTATCGCTCAGGTCAGTTTATTTAGTTGCTGCTTTGGTGGGGATGAAAATAAACCGCCCTGCTGTTGAAGCCGTTCTTAGCAGCTCTTAATACTGTCACACGATGAAAGGGTTCAAATGGGATGTCAATTTCCTAACCATGTGCACATGCTTCTCAAAACATGGCTGTGTGGACCGTGCACGTCAGAAAACAATAGTGCAGAATAGATTGCTATCTTTTTGTTAACTTGGGTAACTTACGGTAACTTAGCTTTATTCCAGTTTCGCCATGTTGGTAGGACGGTTCCGTTTTTGTTTGTGTTTCTTCTACTTACAGCACACTGACAACCCCTGATATGGTTTATCTTGAAGTGTTGCAGATTTCTTATATTACTTAAGTTATATTGCAGTCAGACCAACCATTGAGAGAAGCGATTAATATGTTCCTTTTGGTTCCATGTCAATTTGGCGACCTTCAGATGAAGTCTCAAAATGGGCCTGTGGCGTAAGTTTAAAATTTTTTTAAAAATCCAACAGTCTATGCAGTTTCCTAACCCTTCAGTAGGTGGCCCTCTGCTCTTTGCAGTCTCGTGTCATATCTGCCGCCACGGCTCCTTTTGTCCTCAAGGCTGAGCACGGCCTGCAGACGTACCTTTCACACCTTCATCCACTCAGGTCGGTGGCATGCAGCCACTGCATTCTGTGCATTTCAGTCCACCCATGAATACGCAGCGACGCCCAACAGGACCCTCCTGGGACTCCATTGCTAAACTAATAGTGGTTTCCGAATGTTTGGGAAGCTGCTTTGAAGTTGAATTATAGCAGTTTTTTACTTGTTTTAAATTCCTCAACACAAAAATATAAACTAAAAAAAATCCTCGTGAATTATGTTTGAGTGACCGAATGAAATGTATTTCTCCTAGATTGCTCAATAGAAAGTTGGGTGTAGTATTTCGCACCAGCAACTGGGGACCGGAAACGCCATATCGGGCCAGACACCAGTTCTAATGGAGGAGCTCCGCACACTCCTCCCAACTCTAATCGGTTTGTCCGAGAGACGGTGCTCGACGGGTCGAGCCGGTCATGCTAGGCGTTGCTAGGGTGTTGACACGAGTGAGTGGTTCTATAAAGACTCAGCCTCCTGGGTGGATGAGAGCAGCCCTGTAATCTGTGTGTTATTACTACAAGGAATGTTCTAGTAAAAAAAGTTTAACATCCCCTTTTTTTTAATGGTGAGTAAGTGACAATAATGTCATCCATAAAGGTGTCTCTCAATTATTACTCAAGCTTAGATCTAAATAATGATTCTGTATCAGTCATTGTCTTACAGTTGCGCCGACCCGGCACTGCCTCTTTCCTTAAATATGTCCATTAGACGTATCAGAGGTACCATATTGACTATTGTAGAGTAACACAGGCCTATTGTGCGATTGTGTCGATGAAAGAATGGGGAGGTGAAAACCAGCCCTGTAACCTGCAAAGATTTGAACCCTGAAACTCCAGAGAGACAGATGACAGCAGATGAGTAATGTGCAGGAATGTACCGCCAGCCTGCTGGGCCACATGCCTTCAGCCTTTCTCTGTTTGCCACGTTCACATCTCTGCTGAAACTGTTGCTCCTAGCGTGGAATAACTCCAACTTCTTAATGGATTAAATAGTTGTGTTTGCATGGTTGAATTTTTGTTTAGTGTCATTGTAGGTCAGGTGGAAGGTAGTTGGGATCGAGTCAGGGTTCATATATCGAATCCATTAAGTCTAAATAATTGACGTAATAATAATAAGTTTAAGAATTTGTTTTGTTCTTTTTCATTTTTAAGACTCAAGCATAGAGAATCGAGAATAGAGCGGCAAAAGTCCCGCCCCTTCCTCTGGACCACCATGGGACCTTATTTAAGGAAAAAAATGTGCGCTTGTCAACGGCGAGTTTTTTCAACTGAACCATGAATTAAAACATTTGTCAATTTAAAATAATTTAGTATAAAATATATATTTACATAAATAAGTCCCTACACACATAAAAGTCATTTAAGCAACGTGTCTCATTGAAACCGCAATGGCTGTTTTGTAACAATATTTACTAACACAAAAAGTGGCCTTCCTCATTCACTGCTCATAAAGGGTTGCTGGATAAAACATGTCAAGTTAAGGCCGATAGCAGAGTCTCCGAGCTAGCTGGTGGAGTTGTATTGTGTGCGAGGGATGCAATTCACTTTGCTGGTTCACACTAGATTATACCACAACAAACTGCGACTATCTTCTTTTCTCTGGGTGAGAGTTCAGTTTTTAAATTGTCACAATGTAAATGTTTTGTCCTTTCATTGTAAGAATATCACCATCTGGTATTTTAGAATCAATGCTGGGACAGTCCTTATCAGCCAGGGATAAAGAAAACCATTAGATTTAGTTTTTTCTAATTTCCTGTGTTTTTTTGTTCGCTGCACCGATCTAATGTCACTGAATGCACCCACTAGTGTTACTTGCAGCATTTTCTCTCTTCATAGTAAATTCACTTGTATGTCGAGGCAATATTATAATTATACTAAGAAGCAGAAAGTGTTGACAATCATTCGCAGCCACTATGTTCCCTATTCTGATCCTACTTCTTGCTTGTTTTGGTCAGACGGCTAACGAGGAGACCAAAGAGCATCTTTATGAGACGCTGCTGGCCGAGTGCAGAGACACAATCCAGGCTGTGAGGGAGGAACTCAAGAGCGAGGTGGTAAGATACTGCAGCTTAAAAATGTTGATAGTTGTAGGGGTGGGACAGCTCAGTCATCCGGTTTACTAAATAGCTAAGTTAAGACATATGACAAACAAAAATGTTAGGGGAGGGTGGGGGGGGTTCAACCTACTTAATCGAATTATTCCTCGTCTTTGTAGAAGCAGCGAGAGCGGAGCACTGACTGTGACAACAGCAAGGTGTCCAACCTGCAGTTCCTGCACAGGTAAAAGAAAATGTTCTTAAAACATTGACTTGATTTGTGCTGAATACTCTCGGCCCGCCGCATGCAGACTACCCGGTTTGATTGATTTAATGTTGGCTCTCACAAGGGGAAGTCCTGAAACGTGTAATTGCAGATGTGAACTGAAATATAGATTTTTGCCTTCCTCCTTCCTGATATTCATTTTGTGTGTCATGCATTACAACGAAACACAGTAAAATAGCCAGGCCACAGAACAGATGATTATGATTATATCCTTTAATAAGCGAATAATACACTTCCTGTCTGTCTCACCCTGCAGTTACCTGAGTTACATCAAGCTGTGTACGCTGGTGAAGAGGAATGAGAGCATGGCCCGTACCCTGCAGGCCAAACTGAAGGAACCCGATGCGGACGAGAACAAGAGAGGGCCCCGTCCACAGGATCTCATTCGCCTCTACGACATCATCCTGCAGGTACACTACCATCCAAATAGCAGCACATGTTTTAGTTGGTATACTACGTTAAGTTTCCTGGCTGACTCTCGGTATCTGTGTGACAATTTGTTTGTTTTGTCAACCGGGTACGATGTTTGCCCCACCACGTCGCTTCCCTCTCAGTGTTAACTCGCCTTCTGTTTCCCCCATCGCTTAACTGACCTTCCGCTGTCGGCCCGTCTCTCCAGAGTCTGGCTGAGCTCTCCACCCTGCAGGGCCTGGAGGATGACCACACCTTCCAGAAGGAGGTGTCCCTCAAGACGCTGGTCTACAAGGCCAACAGGTCCGACGCAGTTATTAACTATGCAGCCATAGAGGCCACCATGTATTTCTCATGCAGTTCTCCTCCTGTGTTCATGTCTGTCACTTTCACATACGTGTGTTGTTAATGTCTTTGTCCCCTGACAGGTGTTTCTTCATAGCTCAGTCGTATGTGCTGGTGAAGAAGTGGAGTGAGGCATTAGTGCTCTATGAGAGGGTTCTGAAATATGCCAAGGAGGTCCAGTCTAAGACCAAGAATCTCAACAACAGCCTCAAGGTTGGTGGTGTTAACAAAGAAAACAAGACAATCTCATAGTTCCTCACTTTTATAAAAAAATGTCATTTATCATGACGAGGTCCGCTCACCCATGTGTTGATAAGAACGCAGCAAAATGCATATAAAGAGTATTTTCTGAGTCTGATTCAGTTGTCAAATGAGTAACAGTGACCACCTGTACTCTTACCTGCATCGTCACTGTTGTCTCTGTGCTTCTGCAGGATCTCCCTGATGTCCAGGAGCTCATTGCTGAGGTCAATGCTGAGAAATACTCCCTTCAAGCTGCTGCTATCTTAGGTGAGAGCCCCTTTTGCGTTCATTTTTCTAGCCTACTCATTTGTTCTCGTCGTATAAGAACCCACTGGGTCCGACCTCTTTGTTCTGGCTCGTTCGGAGTACAACCCTGCAAAAATGTGTTTGTTTCAGACACCGATGAGACTGCTGAAGTTCCCTCTCAGACGCATGTCAAAGACAACACGGTAAGACGACAAAATCCTACGCAGTTTCAAGTTTGTCCAAACGTTTGACTAGCACTGTATACAGATGTCTGTGAATGAACCAAATGGGACAATTAACGCTTCTTATGACATTATTTTGAATGTTGATGGATGCTGCTACAATGACGCAAAGCCCAGCACCGATTAGAGCTGAGCTCTATTAGAAAACAAGTCATTGTTTTTTACTTTAAACACAAACCGTTTTTACCATGCAGCATATATCTAGTTATTTTGGCATAAACGGATAAGTAGATAATGCTTTCCACAACCATAAGCCGCTCCTCCTCTCTGCTCTGATTGATGCTAATGACATGAAAAACCATGACTGGATTAACGACTAAAGCAGGGGTTTGCGTTTGGTGCAGTAAGCCGTTCTGCTGGATAACTGATTTATTGATCAAAGCGTGCACTTCTTCTTTCATGCAGCCCCTCTGCAACCGCCTGGAGACCTTCCGCCTGGAACCGGCCCTCGTGGGAAAGCAGCCCAATTTGGTCCAGTTCCCTCCCGACTTCCAGCCAATTCCCTGCAAGCCCCTGTTCTTTGACCTAGCTCTCAACCATGTGGCCTTCCCACCGCTGGATGACAAGGTGGAGCAGAAGGGCAAGGGTGGTCTCACCGGCTACATCAAGGGTATCTTTGGCTTTGGCAGCTAAATCCAACACCCAGGCTTTGGATTCAACCAAGTCCACCAAAAACAACCAAACCTGGCTCAGTTGTTAGAATGATTTTAAATTACTTTGATTCTTTTTCTCTGCTGCTGTGGCGCCTAAGTGCATGAGGGGGGAAGTTTGCAAGAAGGTATGGAAGGGATCTGATTAGCTTGGAGTAGCAATATGACCCAAGTTCACCTGCAAGTTCACCTTTAGTACAAACATCAGGCTGCATGGGTTCCTAGCATACGGGCTTCCTCCTTCACCTGAGCTATGGGGGCGTCAGTCAGTCAGGTTTTACAGGTAACCATGTCGGTGTCAAATCAGCAAACAAAACCACTTAGGCATCATTAGTAGTGTTTCTTCCTTTTTTTTGTTTTGTCATGTAAGCGCCTTCATGTCATTATGTCTAGTCTTTTGTGGGCTTTTCTGCATCTTTTTTTTGCATAAAAGTGCAGTTTTGTTATTGCAAATACTCTAACTTAAAAACAAACCAAGTAGTGCTTATCGACATGTATTCAACAGACGGAAGCTTTCCCAGTTTTTTTAGGTTTCTGCTGGGATCCAATTCTTCCCTCCACCACCATAGTTTTTTTTAATTTGTCAATTAAAAACGGGTCATAATACACATGTTGTCCTGTAAGACAATAGGCACTAAAAGTGCCGTTATGTTAGATAAGCGTCCAACTGCTTTGACCCGCCCAGTGCGACCAAGTGCTAGTCGCCATTTTTAACACCCCTCACTGAAGGGCGTGCTCCTTGTGGGCTGCATGGTTCCAGCTCTTCACAATGAAATCAATCAATTAACGTCATGTCGTCTATTTTCTGTCTTCAGTGACGTCATGTCCCTATAGAAACCTTCAGTGGGATATTGTTTGTCATTATATCCACATCAAAGCTTCTCATTTCATTGGATCCTGAAGGGCCCTTGTTTGCTGGTGATAGCTGGCTAAACATGTGCTGGAGGATCAGTTCAGTCTCACTTGAACTTTTAACTACTTCGCTAACTCATTTTGGTTTGGATTGAAGTATTTCTTTTTTCTTTTCAGTATTTTCTTTTTTTTAAATAAAGATGGAAGTTCTGGTGGTGTTCCAGATCTTTACTTTGATTTGGCCTGGAATATTAAACGTGATCAATATTTGTTGGAACCATAAGTGGAAAAAGAAATTAATTGACGGAAATGTATAATTTGAGCTAATTTCCAGACGTATGATTAAAATAGATTTTCACCAAAGACTGATCGGTTGAGTATCTTTGTTCATTTCTGTTCCCTTGACATTTCAACTTTATTGTGATTTTGAAGAGGGATCATGACGGAAGAGAAAAAATGGCTTTTGTTGTCACGTGATCTGTCATTTTGTTTAGAATGACTCTTTCAAAATCAAAGCTCTTAACCACAAAAATGTCACAAATGCCTGAAGGGAGTGAAGAGGTGTGTGCGCGAGTCCTGCTGTCCCTCTGTTTCGGGTGTGGGTGTGTTGGGAGTGTGTTGGATGCCTGAGCAGGGTGTGAATGTGTTTTTAGCTTTTCTTTGCACATATGATTTGCCTTTTGGTTCAATAAAGACGGGTGTGTTTGATACTCAAGCACCCAAATAGCTTTATTTCTCAATTTCAGCATCAAAATCACAAGTATATTTAATTAAATGTATCCGTACACACACACGGCATCTCTACCTGATAAATCATAGCTGACGCTCATAACTTTCAACACACATGCCTCCGTCACTTAAGGAACGCAAACATGCTCTGCATGGAGGCACTGAAAACATTTGTTACACGACAGCACCATTAGTTTTAACCACTGCTATAATCTATTCATTTATTCAAGTGAAAGACATGGAAGTTCACATGTTTTCACAGAAATGACACTATTTAGCGGACCTGCATATGTTTTCTTATGCGGATTGTTTAGGCTGCGCATTAAAGCTTCAGTAAGATTTTCTTTTTCAGCCAGACCACCGTGCTGTTTCTCTGCTGCTTCCAATTAAAATTAAAAGCACATTTTACGTTCCGTTAACTAGTCAAATTAACCTGAAATTGACATGTATCCCAGTTAGCTTTGGCTCTGTCTAGCTGCTGTATGCCTCCATGCATTCGACATGGGACAGTTCTGTGCAGAATGCATCAGAGGCTGCAATGCTTGTCGGTTAAATTGTGTTTGCATGACCCAAAGCATTATGGGAAATTCATAGCGGTTACCAGATCAAATAGCTGAATCGCAACAACAGTTCGATTGTTTGCTACATAAATGGGAAAAATAGAAAACTTTGATTCCCAGACTTTTTGCAAATACTCACTTTGTCCAATACGTTGTGTTATGACTGAAATTAAACTAATGACAAAACCTGGTAATTGTAGCTTTTCACAGTTCTGTTTTTCTCAACACGTTCAATCCATGTTGGCCTAACAGCTGATCAATGAAACAATCTCACCATAAGGTCCCTTTAGCAGCGGTTCTGGAGCTTTAAATTTCATCTCATCTCATTGTCTTGTTCATATATATATATATATATATATATATATATATATATATATATATAAAATAGCCCAGATCTTGCCCAAAATCTCTTTTTGAAATATTTTATAAGAAGCTGTTTTGTGACTCCACATTCATATGTGCGACAAAGAAAGTCTTTTTTAGACAAGTGGACACACCCAGAGACACCAGATGACTGGCCTGATGAACGGTGTGTGCTGTTCCCCACTTTGCTGCAAGAAAAGCTGCCCAGCTGCATTCTTGGCCATGCTTGTCTTTTTGTTGATATGCTGCAGAGACGCCCTGATCCTGAATGACTAGCATGTCTTTAGATTCCACACATGAGACGCTGCAATGCATGGAGCCATCTCTTATCAGCATTTTACAGTGCGTAACTAACTTACAGCCCTCACGCTGTCCGGCTCCTTCCTTTGTTGACTGTATACATTGTGCGTTTGTGTTCGCAGCAACAACTTAATCTGTCAGTGTGAAGATGGGTGTGAACACAGCAAGTCACACAGTTTAAGATACCTCTTGTAATATTAGGTGGTAAATGAAAATACCTCAGCCATCCAACTCTTCCCAAAGCCAATTAGATGTTGACTTAAAAAAAAAAGAATGAGGATGTAGATGAAAGTTACCACGAGGCTAACTGAAACATCAGGGCGTCTAACTTCGTTCCAATGGCCATCAGGGGGCGACTCCTCTGGTTGTAAAAAGAAGTCTGATTGAATAGAAGTCTGAGAAAATAACCCTACTTGATTTAGTTGTTCTGTAAACAGAAGTTTATTTTCTCAATCTCGAGTTTTCTTCCACACTGCATGATTTTCATCTGGTACTTTTAATGAAAGTCTGATTCCCTTAACACTGCGGTAGTCTTTTCATAACTCCTCATGAATTCTCCTAGCCACTTTTCCTTGACCTACCTCGACTAAAAGACTAACAAATTGTAGCACTTAAATTGTACTTGTAACGCCACTCATCTATAGCTAATTGTAAATTGGCTTATTTGAGGAAATTGCACTTTCTTGTTTCTTGTTCTGAGTTTGTACCCTATGGTTGAACGGACTTATTGTAGGTCGATTTGGATGAAAGCGTCAGCTTAATGTAATGTAATAATGTGAGAAATGCACGAGGTCAAGGACAGATGGTAGGTTCCGTACAATAGACGTTAGGGGGTATTTTTTCTCTGGTCTGCACAACACTTGGCTCTTGACAACGATAAAATTGCTGAACACAAGGTTCCAAAGCGCCAGTCTACAACCAATTGGTGAGGTGAATATGGTCGCTATACGGCCGCTTCTTAGATACAGTCTGTTGGTGGGACACCTACTGAAATAGATCTGACGTGCAAAGAGGAGAGAGAGGGAGACTCCCAAGAATTCAGTGTCCCCCAAGATCCATGGATTATGTATCATTGGTAATTGGTATTACAATAGGGAGAATTAAAAGGGTTACTATTAGGACCCTGCTTTTGAGATATTTAAGAGTGTCCCAGGGCCCAGATGAAAAGGAAGGGCAGGGCGGCGGGAGGAAGGGGGGAGAGCGCAGGGAACAGGTCGGTCCAGTCCTCCTTCCTTCGCCAGGTGGATGTCTGGGCGGTGACACACCTGCTAACCTGTCTGGGAGGAGCTGCCAGCGTCAGATCCTGTGCTGACGGGAGTGTGTCACAGAGGCACCAAAGACAGAGGAGAGACGAGTGGGATCCACAAGGTGAGGAAGACCGGGACCGAGAAGGAGTAAGAGAGCGAGAGCGAGAGAATTTAGTTTCCCTGACTCCACTCACCGTCCAGCATGTTTAAGAAAAAGGAGAGTAAGGATGCTACGCTCAAGTCCTCGGCCAAGACGAGCAAGTGAGTTTTTTTTCTTCCTCAGGAATCCATTAAAACAATGCATGTCTGAATGTATGTGTGTGGTGACACTGTATCTCTGTTGGAGTCACCCCTCCTGTGTCATGTTTCCTGTGCGCGCCGTTGTCCTTCTTCCCGCCCCGCCGTTGCCCTCCTTTTGCATCACGCCGTAGTGAAAGTCTGTCTGATTTTTTTTAACTGAATTGGAGCGCCGAGGTTAATCTTCAGTGATGGGGAAAGCTTCCAGGGATGTTCACCAGGCTGTTTGCGGGTCCCTGAGGTCAGGTTTACTTTGGTGGGTCACTGGAGGTGGGACGTTGTGCAAAGACATGAGTGGTGGAACTCAAAAGAATGACTGCAGGTGGAAATCAGTGTTTTTCTTTCACCAGATCTCAGTCGAGACTTACACTGCTTGGTGGGGCGGAGAAGCCCGGTTGCAAATACTGAAAAGAAGTTGTTAAAAAATGTTTTTTGAAGTGAAATGTGTGAAAGGCCCCCTTCGTGTGTTAAATGTGAGGAGACGTAGACAGTAAGGAGACAAATGTTCATTCATTGTCGTTTATAAAGTGTCAAAAGAAAGTTGCTGATTTCACTGCACATGAAGAGAAGTCCACTTCCCTGTGTCCTGTATTTGTAGTAATGATGAGAACAAGTTGTATTCGTATTCTCAAACAAAGTGTGATTAATTATCACATATAACGGCATAACATAAAGTTTTGAGGCAAGACCACCAGTTTGACGGCTGGCGGACGGCGAGACACATTCAGCAGTCAAAATGAGTCATACATTCCTCACCTTTTGTCCCTGTTTGATGTCACAATACTGACATGGTTTCGCGGGCAGTTGGTGACCAGCTGGTTTCACCTTGCTCGTACAAATGTGCTTTGGGCCGGGCCGTCTCTGCTGCTCAGCTGGTTTCTTTCTCTCAGGAGGGCGTTGGTTCCCAACCGTGCTTCGCAGTGCAGTACATGTAACTCGCTCCATTCAGCCCTGAAGAGATTTCCATCACCAATTAAATCAGTGAAGACGTTGATGAACAGGGTGGCGCTATTATTGATTCATATTTGGATTTCTTGGTTCAAATTTTTCCTTATGAATGATGAATCGATAGCTGGTTTTGTTGGTTTCGTACCAGTAGAATTGTCTTTGCTGCTGAGGACTGTCATGATTCAAGAGCAACTGTTTCTTTGTGGGTGATTAATGGACAGGGCAGACCTTTTAATTAGCATATTCCAATTAAATATTATGGCTCTCTGATGTGTTGAGAACAACTACCACTTTGTGCTGCTTTCAACCTCTTCAAGCTCAAATTCAACTCAAAGCAATCTCCTTGTCTACAACTGGGAGATGGGAGGTGATTAAAATATTGTTTCTAAATCAGATTGCTTTGTGTTGCAAGTTTAGTGATGTTCCAAAAATGCAGGCAAGCCCTTCCAACTCACGTAGTTTAGCCAGTTATCCGACTTTCAAGTCAAATCAGCCGTATCTGCTCACCATTCATGATTGTAACAAAATGCTCACCAAGTATTGTTTAACCGATTATATTATCTATACAAGTGTATTCTTTGTCATTGGAAGCTGCCGTTTACCTCGCTTAACACAGTGTCATTTGCAGACGTGTCCACTTTTAAAACTCACATAAGCAACATACACTGTTGAAGGGTTTCAGTGAACAAGCCTCGCCAGTGCAGTTGTTCAAATGCCAGTGTTTGTGCAACAATGCAACAATTCACCTCAAATACCGCTCCTGTGACGTCCTGACGAACACCAGGACAGAGGAAAGACACTAAACGTGGGAAGAACTGGTGTGTGTCTCTCCTGCAGAGTTTGCAGAAATAGAGAGGCCTTTGATTGAAGAGGTCTGCTAAATAGTACTGTTCTTTTAGGTTGTTGTGTGAGTGACTTAACCATG